AAGGGCCACAGTGAAGCATTAAAATGTAAAATGGACTCACTAGACCAAGGCTGAAAATGCTGTTACCTGAATGACTTTTGAACAATTTTTCACGCAAAAGCAATTATGTAGAAATATACCAGAGTGGATGAAGACTGCTTGCAATGTGCTTTAGCTCATACTATAATAAAAAACATTTCTCTACTACTGTAAACGATCTGTCTAAATATGGGCTTTTCATACATCTTCACAAAAAGGCTCCCCAAACACATAGACATATAATTTCAGTCTGCTATCATTTACACCTGTTTTGATGACTAACCATGATGACATCTGTGATCGTGTCACTCTTATAATTTGCCTTATATATCCTATCTTAAAATAAAATAACAGTGAATTAAGCCAGTTTTCCTTATTTTGCAGCATGACCCCCTCAGGCCTCCTCAGGGGTCTGCAGACAGGTTTGATCAGTGATTGCAGTATGACATCCCCTGCTGAGACTCCATTTTCCAGCTACAGGCTTTGCCTGCTTAGCAGCTGGTTAGATTAAAAGGTGTGCTCTTTCACTCAATTTATTTTCTGATCTTCTCGTACATGGACTGACACCATTTGACAGATAAATATGGTTATTATCATGAGGCTGGCAAAGATTTGTGAGTGTGGAATATACACCTATATTTTGAGTTCAAGCAAAGTTAACAAAACAATTGTGAGCATACAGAAAGTTTAGTAGTTAAACTATTGGTTCTCTGTCTGGCTAATTAGAAAGAGTTTTATGTTGTGTTTTAATTATTTTATCCTGTGATTTAATGCTAATTCTGCCTGCAAACTAGCATTCCCTTGTGGTGCAATAAAGGCATCATTTCATTGAATACAACAAGTGAACGAGGCAAGCTGGACCAACCGCAGCTGAAGCTTAAAACACGATGAGCACGGTGACATAAGCAAACCCTCTGGTAAGAATCCAGAAATTGAGACTTAATGAGCAGTCATGCCACCATGAAAACAACACGCAACACTACCCAGAATGCCTTTCGCCGGCCTTTCCATATTCTCTCAGAGACAGGTCCTGAAATTACCTCAAAGAAGCCTATCAGCCTTTATCACTTCGACACACACGGGGCAGCGGCGATCTAGTGGTGAAATGTTATAGCTGTGACTTTCTGAGCCTCCATCAGCCGGCTGATTAGGACAGGCCGGGTCAGGACTGATCACCTGAGCCTCAGACCACATTACAATTACACTGATAGAATACTGACCTTTTCAACTTATGCTAGTGCGGGAGAGTGTCACTGCTGCCTTTAGTGTTGTCCTGGGTGTATCTACTGAAGCACTAAATAATTAGAAATACACAAAGCGGTCACAGCAACAGTACACATACACAGACGATCACACTTCCACCCGGTTCACACACATTATACACAGTGCTTTTATCTTTTTGCAATCCAATCTTAATGACTCCATTAACTGAGAGGCCATTAGCGGCATTCACTTTATGGCCAGCCAAACAGCCCAGCCGGGAGCACATTATGGAAAGGGCATGTGTGTCCTAATGTCCATTTCTTGTCACCCACCCCGCGCCCCCACACAAACACACACACACACATGCTCTCTCTCTCTCTCACACTCATACACTCACTCAATCTTTCCCCCAAGGCCAGCTAGCCTGAAGCAAGCAGGAGCGGACTAACGACTAAGCAAACAGGGCCATTTTTTGTGCTCCATTAGGCAATGAGGAGCAAAGGTTTAGCGCAGGCTGCAGTGCCTCGCACTGGTGGTCAAGCGGTAGAAGATTGAAGGCAGAGGAAACTGAAGTGCAGCTCAGTGTTAGAAGAGATTTCATATCCCAAATTAGCCTGGTTCGCTTTGGAGCTGGGGCTGTCTGAGACACTTCAGGCATCATGAGGCATGATAGCAGAATTCAATCACAGTCCCAGGTTGATAGGAAAATGATGGATTCAGTGTCGATAACAATCTAACAGTGATGTATTCCTACTGTAACATTTACATTTGTTCATTTCATTGATGCTTTTATCCAAACAGACTCACAATTGCTATATATGTCAGAGGTCACACGCCTCTGGATCAACTAGGGTTTAAGTGTCTTGCTCAGGGATACATTGGTGGATGTATCACAGTGGGAATTGAACCTGTGTCTCTCATACCAAAGGCATGTGTCTTATCCACTGTACCATCACCACCCCACATATATACAGTATGTATGACAATAAATGTATTGTATGCCTTTTTGAGAAGAATGAAGCATTCCCTGCTACATTACGGCACAGTTAAAAAACTAACAGCTGCTGACGAACCTTTGAAGAAAGAACAGCAGTTCCCACCCAAGAACTGTAAAATGATGTGTTGGAGAATTAACAAGAAATCTCATATCGTCAAGCACAATCAAAATCGGAACCAGCACAAATCTAAACCAGCAATTAGAAAATGTAACCCTGAAGGATGATGGAATCACTGATCTGAAAGGACCTAACTGGTACAAACAGGGGCAATAGGAAGCTCAGAAACCCAATATGAAAGATTATCTTTTGAACCATGTGCATTTCTGCCACAATTTAGACCAAGTCGAGTGAAATGATCGTACAGCACGCAGTACCAACACAGTATACTGCTGCTGTAAAAAGAAGTTAAAAAATGGGAGAGCGAATGACACGAAACTGGTAATTTGGCACATCATCTCCTTAATTGTCTTTCTGTTTCTGCATGTCTGCATCTGGCTTAGCAGAGTACATGTGCTTCAACATAGATGCATTTTGACTGGAGCTGTACTGGTTATGCAGAGTGACTCATACAGTTATTTTGTGGCTATGGGGCTCAGCTGGGGAGGTTTGGGGTCAAAGTTCATTTGATGTCACTGAAGCAAATGCAGCCCATGACATGTACACGAAACCTCCACTAGATGACAAATGTGCTGCACAGGAACAGAAACTGAAATCAATGGTTGCCAACTCGCATTGGCTGACGGCTGTTTTAAGCTGCATGTTTGTGCTGTGTGTCATATTTCATTGATTTTGTTTTTTGCCCTCTGCTCTGGTTTGTTATTTGTTACTGTTATACTATACCATCACATGCTAAATGTGTCTTTTGTGTTTCCTGCTGCAAGCTAATCTTTAGCACTGCAGGCAAATGGTTGCTCCTGCTGAGAGGAGCGTGGAGATACTTCATATCTCAAAGGAGGGAGTTGAGCCTAGTCCAACCCTGATATTAGCTCACTACTGTAGGAGCAGTGGGGTTCAGGTGGTTGTATTTCACTTCCACTGAGCAGTACTGGACACCGGTTTCTGCTGCCTGCTTGTTTTTACCCTCTCCCAGGGGGTGGGAGACTATTTATCAGCTACCAGAAGAACATGTATCGATGTGCAACACAGCCTGGGAATTCAGCTTTTATTACACTTTAAACTGCAAGGTCAACTTGGCAGGAATCCGTGTCAAAGCTGTCAAGCGCGGAAACATGAAACAAATAGCCCACGCAGAGGATGCGGTGTAAAACATCGAGATAAGGGGCAGACGTCTCACCACGAGAGCCTTGGTTTATGTTTACACGTGTGGTAATTTACTGAGAGGTTCCCCATTTACTTGATTTTTAGTCCCTTTCGGAGCTGATATTAACAACTGAAGAAAAGATAAGGCGAGTCAAAATTTATGTCACATAATTGGACATAATGACAACACCCAGCAATTTAAGGTAAAAACCCGGGAGTTATTTTTTCCTCATTATCCTTTTGTTTATGGCCACTTGTCGTATGAAAAGTCACACCAGCTCTTTCAGAGAAGCCATGTTGTGAAGCGTGGGCCCTTGTGACAGCGCAGTGTAGTCAGTACTCATGCCTTTGATGCCATCATGCCACTCCTCTCTTCTCTGGGTCTTCTGACAGTGACAAATGGGATCGGCAGCAGTGTGTTATCAGTCTGCAGCTGCAGTAATCGTATTATTTAGTAATCTTTATTCTGAGAGGCTGACCAACAGTGTGAACAAAGCGGGGCCTTGCTAAGCCCATCAGAGTGCTCCCATGGAGCAGAGGTCTTTTCCTGCTCCGCGGCCCCACTAGACCTATGCGCTCCCTTTTCCCTCTCTGTTTCTCACCCTCCCTCTTCTATGTGTCCTCCTCTCTGTTGCTTTCTGTCTCACACTCTCATTTCATTCCCGCTCGCTTTTTCCCCCTTCCTTTTTTTCCACCCTCCCAACATTTCTGTCTCTGTAACACTCTGAGCTAGGAGTTTGTGTAATGGCGTTATTCACAGTTCATTGGTCTGTTTGAAGGGACTATCTTGATTGAGCGTCTCCCGGTGCAGGGCCTGGTGACTGTGGGAGTGTATAAAGATGTGGATGTGTCCGCGGAGATAGATGGGCTTAGTAATATGCAGGACATTGCAGAGGCTGAGTTTCATCCCAGGCAACACATAGGGAGATAAAAGGAGGCTGAAATTATATGCAGCCGGGGTATAATGCTCAGGGCATTAGATGTGAAATGGAGGCAACAAAGAACTAGTCAGGGAATCAGAGTCATTCTCATTAGCTGGTTCACCCTCTTCAGTTTTAGCCCCCCATCCCATTTCCAACTCACCCTAATGAATGCAAGTACACTGACACAACCAAAAAACTGCTCTTAGAAGCAAAAATACTCACCACTAATTAGTTCAAATTAACCTCAGGACCAATATGTAGGCACACACACCCACACCCACACATACACAAAAAGGCACCTCCTTCGCCTCTTTCTGACACCGCTCTGATGCTGTTGTAAGCTTGGCTGTAAGATCAAAATCTCTTTCTTTGGCAGACACACACACACACACACACACACACACATGCTCAAATCGCCTCGAGCACAGGAAGCACAGGAAGCACAGGAAAGCAAATCCGCTGTGAAGACACCATAAAACCAACACTGCAGAAAGACAGACCATGTCTGTGTTCCAGCACCCGTGAGAAGAATACAGGCTAATGACATGCAGCGTACATGTACAGACACACACATAGAAAGAGAGAGAGTCCTACTTACAGAATGAATCAGACGTTATCAGAAGCACTGTGCCATATTATCGCTCTAGTAGTGAGTCAACATAGGCATTGAGACCACAGGGTTTTTAGAACTTCAGCCGAAGGAGGTTTGGGGCACCGTGGGGGAGTCAGAGGGGTTCACAGTGTGTCATTGGGGGGTGAGGACATATAGAGGGATTCTAGAAGATTCCAGTATTTATAGTCAGATAATTCCTTTAGAACAAGGCAAGAAAAATCAACAGCTGATGAAAGGAGAGGTTCAATTCTGTGTACAAAGAAAATGAGGGATTGATTTGGCCGGTGTTATTCTTTACTTCTTTTACTTTAAGAAAAAAAGCAAAAAAAATAGCAAGAGCCTGTCTTGACAAACAAAAAAATTAAAGGGGTGAAAGATTTGTCAATCAAAATGGGGCTCCACTTTTCCTTTTGTGCTTTCTTTTTCTGCTTTCCTCTGCCTGCCCACCTCTTGTTTTCCTTGGGACTTCGGAGGGCCTATGAGCAGAGGAACGCCGGCATCAGAAAACCAATCACTTTGCCAGACGACGATAGAACATAAAGGAGTAAATGACAAGCAGATGAAGGGGAGGATTTCCGACACCTGCTCTCTCCCTCTGTTTCTCTGCCTGCCTCCCTCCCCAACCTGTATTTCCTTTCTAGTAACAGCCCCCTCCCTCCTGGCCTGTTTTTTTTAGTGCATGGGCTTGACTGAGGTGGATGCAGATGGAGTGAGATTCTCCAGAAGCTACAAACACAGGGATGCTCCTTCTTTCTGTCTGTCTCTGCTTTCTTTCCTTCTCCCTGTCTCTTCCTCACACACTGCATAGAATGACAATGAATCGCACGCTGTCTACTGTGCCGGCACTGGATGCCTGCCTGGCTCTCTGCCTGACACTTGGAATAGGCTGTGTACCTGTCTTCCTGTCTGTCTATCTTCCTCTCTGTCTGTCTTAGCAGCTTCAGAACTTGCCTATCATTCAGTATAGCTGTCTGTTTAACGGCCAATCTTTCAGTCTGTCTTCCTTCCAAACACTAAGATACAGACTAGTCAGGTGCAGGGGGGACATAACCCTACTCTTCTGTTCAAGTGCCCCCCCTGGTGTAAATCCTGACCCCTCCCCTGCACATTGTGCTAACTAGTCTCCAACACGGCACAGACGAATTAGAAAGAGACTCCAAGAGGATTTTGAACAATCCTGGTTAATTCTCTATTTTTTCTTTTCTTGCCTTCTCTGCTTCTGTCTCTGTCTTCTTCTTTCTCTCTCTACCTGTTTTCTGATTTTTTCTCTCCTTCTCCTCTCCTCAGTGCCAGTCTCTTTGCTCGTTATCTATTCTGGACAGTCTGTCCCTCCTCTCTCTCCATCACCGAGGGAGGATGAAGAAGAATGGTGCTGCTTCATAATGTATTTCTCCGCAATGTGTGAGAAAGATGGTGTAAAAGAAGGGGGGGGGGGGGGGTAATTGTTCCTTTAAAAAAAAAAAAAGGAAAAATAAAACCTTCTTCCCCCACAACAAATCAGAAGAGAGATCCTCTCGAGGGATGATTTTCAATTATTCGCTTTTGCCAATCTGGAAAAGTGGCCCAGCTCTGAGGTGTGCACAAAAATGTCGTAATCTCGATAGGATATCCAGTCGATAAATCCGGACATGTCCAAAAGCTCCATACCATTGCTCAAGCATCACTGTAGCCTATTTATTTCAGATGAAGTCCAAGAAGCTCAAACGTATGCTCAACAGGTTCACTGGATCGTTGTAAGTCAACTCCTCTGAGGCTTGTCACCCTCTGCTTTTCTCTACTTCCTGTAGACGGCTTCTGGTATCTCTGTCTAGCTTGTCCGGCCTCAACTCTTCAGGCTCAGTCCTCGCTGGGATGGTTCAAACTGATGGCTGGAGATGGTTAGGTGCGGAAAGCTGGTTGCTGGAGGCTGTATGTTGGCTTCCATGCTGCCCATTTGGTGTCTATCTCTGCAAGGCTTCAGATCTAGAAGGAGAAAAAGAAGAGAGGCAAAGTGGAGAGGAGAGAGCGTGAGAGTGCATGAAAGGTTAGCATGGTGACATTTGTGTCACTCTGCCTTATCGCGTACGTCATTCTCCCCCTCGTCACACTCCACCCTGCCTGTCATCCTGCTGTCTATTCCGTCCTTGTCACTCTTCCTCCGACTTTGCTGCTTGTTTGCTCCTTCTTCCTCTCCACTCACTTGATTTGATCCTTTCACTCTCTCCCAACAAGCATATCTTCAAACACTCTCCCCCGTCACATCTCTCTTTTATTCCCTCCATCCAATTTTATATCTGGCCTAGGCTGCTTTCATCCAATCATTTCTCCTGTCTTTCTGTTCAATTCCAAGTTGGCTGTCCACCACACTCAGTGTCCAAGGCAGGATGCTTGTGAGGGAGCGCACTGAAAGACAGAGGGAGACCCCTGACTGAATGGACTGAATGTGCCTGAGGCAGGTGGGGGACTGCAGTCCAAGCTCATAGTATTGGTCAAATACAAGTGGTCATACTTGAATGGTGCAATGTCATTTTTATTTTAAATTCAAATTAGCATTCACATTTTTTTCATTAGGGTGTGTCCAGAGTGATTGTTCCTAAAACACAAGGTCCATCTGATCCACTGAATGCCCTGTTTCCCTCAGTAAACTGTTGTTGCTCTCTTTGCTAAGGTAAATATAAATAAGAGACATGAGAGCTGTGCTGAATGGATAATCATAATCATCTCAGAGGTAATTAGAGGAAGGATGGTGCAGAAAAACTAGATTTTGGAAAAACTGACAACTTGGCTGTATCGACTGGCATCACTTTCACTCTCAAACAAATAAGAGGGTAGTAATAATAAGCTCATGCTTCGGTACAATATACCATATGAGGAGCACAGTTTAATATTGTACTGTAAACAAAACAGTACTGGGGTTTTAAGCTTTATTATATATACTTTTCTCAAAGGTTCTAGTCTTATGAATTAGAAAAACTTTAAGATTTTCAGGCAGCATTTAGAGACCTGTTGGGTCATAACGTTGACATTTGATTGTGCTTTCTTTCACCTTTATACCGTGTCATATATATGTCACAAGACATATTCTCACCATTTAACAGTCAAACTATCAATTTTCCAGGCAGATCACAAATGGCAAAACTAATGTCCTGAGCTTAGACAAACTTCAATGTTTGAGGAGCTTGTTTTTTCCCCTCTTAATAAATCATACCGCCTTTTCGTCAAATGGATGGCCTAAATCTAAAAATAACGCAAGGATGTCAAATCTTAGCTACTCAACAGGTAGTCTCGCCTCTGTTACTATGCAACAGTTTGTACCTGTTGAATATATAAAAGTCATTTTTGAATTCTAATCAAAAGGCTCATTCCTGAGTGATAGATACCTTATTTCATTCAGAACAGTACAGAAATGCATGCTTTCATTTCTTATATGTAAACTCAGAGCCACGCAGTGACGATATCATCTCTTTTAACAGGACAAAATAAAATCATTACAAAGCTTAAGGGACTCCTTCCTTTTTTTCCAGAGTACAGGTGAGGCGATGGTCCATTTAAAATTAAACATTTAAGGCCATTCAGTATATCAGCTACAATCGATACTGCTGTGTGGATACATGTGACCCCAAACCATATTCTCACAGGGCCATTTAGGAAAAGACCATGTGTGTTGGCTCCCTGATTAGATTAGTGCTCAGTGTCTGTATGTGACTGTCTAACTGTGCTCCCAGCCTTTTTTGGCACCGTTAGCATGACATTGTGTCACACGTGAAAAGATGTAGCTGGGTGCGAATTGGTGTGCAGCAGGTATGTCAGCAAGGAGCGCAAAGACGGAGGTGTGTGTAAAACTAGTTACAACATGTGTGTATATGTGTGTGTGTGTGTGTGTGTGTGTGTGTGTGTCACAGCTGTCATGCCTGAAGCAATTAAACACACTGATCTACTTCATAACCTTCTGTTCTACCAATCCCACACACTGAGGCTGAACACACACCTCTGCCCTCTCTGCACTGTGTCACAGACACACACACATGAAACGCTATCAAAATGATTGACACAGACACAGAAATAGCAATCCTTTCACACACACATCCACAGCATCTCCATTCATTGCCTGTGTCAGGAAAGAGACTCAAACGTCTTCCGTGTGTCTGAATTCAAACAGAATTTAGATAGGAGCTTGGAGAGACCGAGAGTGGGATGGAGACGAGGGGGGAGGGGGGACACAGCCGAAGTGGGGAAGGGAGAGAGAATAAGGGGGAGAGGGGGAGATAAGTAACACATTGAAGTGAGCCATTCAGATTTCATCCAAATTCATCAAAGTGGACAGGCATGTTTATATTTCAGTGGTGGGGGGGGAGATGAGGAGAGATGGATGCTTGATAAAAAAGAGGATGGAAGGAGGGATGGAGGGAAACAGGTGGGGGAGTGGTAGGGAGGTGGGTTGGACAGGGTGAGTGGGTGAGAGACAGAGAAATGAAGGGAAAACCCATCAGTGGTGAAAATGCTCTGAACATAACTGCAGGCTGAAGAAGAGGAGGCAGACAGTAAGAAATAAGAGAATGAGAGGTGAAAGAGAATGAAAAGAGGGAAGAAAAAAGGAGCAAGAGAAGGACAGACACTCACCCATTTCAGCGGGCTCTCCACAGGCGAGCACAATCCCTGCTCTGTGATCCCATCCTGGGGAAAGGCGCAGCGAGATCCTGGAGCTCCCTCCGCTGAATACCAATGGGGCTGCTATTATCAGCTCACACACACGCACACTCACACACACACACCAGCACTGTGGAGCAAAAGGCACAAACACACAGAGTCAAGTCTGGGGTAGTTGTTTAAATTAGAGAACAAACCAAAAAAAAGCTGTTCGCCGATGCAAATAGCATATCACAATAGAAGAGACACTGCCGCACAACTGCATTTGCATTCCGTTCTTCCTCTCTTATTTTCTCTTTCTTCATGAAAAAAGCATCAGAGACAGTGCACTAGCCAGAGGCATCAATCCACACACACACACACACACACACAGCATTTGTAGCCTATACAAATACTTACTGAGCATATATTCAATCCCAGCGAGTCCCACAGTCGACTCTATTCTGGCTCACAGCTCCTCTGCTTCCAAGGATGTTAGAGAGAAATGAGTTGCCCGCTATTTTCCTTTCCCTCCCCGTGGGTTCCACACAGTAGTATCTGGTGCAGAGATAAAAGGATATGAAGGCAGCCTCTTCGTCCTCTGTTATTTTCTCCACATATGCAGTGTACATCCAGTTTTTCTGTATCCATTTGTTGATTCAGGTCCGATCCATCCGCCTGCCTGTGGACTTCGCTGTGATTCTGTGACACGCGACAGCAAACTGCATTCACTTAGTCACCCTCCCCTCTGCCTCTCTCTTCTCTGTCTCTCCCATTGCTCAATAGTATACCCGTAGACCTCCTTTGGCTTTCTCCAATCTAATCAGCTCTAGCGCGCTCTCTCTCTCTCTCTCTCTCTCTCTCCTCTCTCCCTCCTCCTTCCCAACACCCACTCCTTTTACGCTCTCTCTACCTCCAAGGTATTTTTCTCAAAGATGAATATCACCCCCACCCCTCCCTCTCTCTTCTCTCTGTCAGTCTGTGCAATAAGCATTTGAAATAAAGGAAAGTTATAAAAAATACACACTGTCTTAAACAGACACACATACACAAACACACATACAAACAAAGAGAAGGAGAGAGAGAGTGAGAGTAAACTACCCTGACAGAGTTTGACATGGCTACATGCTCAGGGTGACAAACACCATCATAACGACACGCGACTCGACTCATACCCTGTGACACACATCATGCACAAACATATACATACCTACACACACACACACACATACAGCAGAATCAACTGTAAATACAAAATTGGGCTCAAATGCTGAGGCACATATTGACATTTTGTCACTGATATGCACAAACACAAGCGGGGGTAGTAGAAGCAAACACAGACAGGCATAAAACCTATCACAGCATGAGGTTAGATCAAACATGTATGCAACTGTACACAGTTGTGTAATGTAACTAAGTGCATTTTCTTAGGTACTGTACAATTCTAAGGTATTCAGCTGTATTTGTACTTTACCTGATTAGTTCCATTTTACGCTACATTAAACTTTTTTTAACAACCGCAATTGATTTCAGAGATAATTGTTGTAGTTTTTACCCCACCACATTTCTTTGATTTCATTTATAGCTAGTTACTTTGTGGATTAAGATTTCTTTTGTTTGTTTGTTTGTTTGTTTTGGGCATATTTACACCTGTATTGGATAGCCGACAGATGGGGAATAACATGCAACAGTCTGGTCAAACGTGAATTGGTGATGTTGCAAGTTACTCGTAGATTACAATTTTACGTAAAACACATCTTTTCTTTTTTATAGATTTACTATGCAGTTGTACAGCTTATATACTATACAACCTATAGAAAGTAGTTAAGAATTGTCTCCACTATGACCAACTACAAGATTAAAATGCTGTTTACACATATATGCATAGTAATGCAGTACTCTAGCATAATACTATTGATACTTCAAGTACATTTTGCTACTGATACATCTGCACTTTTACGTTTTGAATAGAAAACTAGATTTGAATACTTCAACCACCACTGGGCACAAACACACACACACACACACTCACACATTGCTGAAAATCATCTCTCCTCTCACCAGAGCACCCTGACACTTAATATGCGACTCCCCTGAATGGAGCTGACATCCTCCTCACTATTTATAATGTTCACTCATATAAGGCACAGCTCCACAACAGCATGAGCGCAGTGCAAACAGACAGCAGTCTCACACTATATGATGTCATCGCCTAACTCCTAGATCCCACTTCTATCATGCTATGCTGTCTCATCCCAACTAACGAGACTGGGACGTTGGCCTTATGATGCCTTTGTTCCTCTCTGGTGCTCTGGCCAGTCCAAGTAGACTTTCCAATATAGATCTTTTTCTTAACCTTGCAGCCCCAATGCTCCCTTAGCATTTCATGTCCTCCAAGGCTATTAAACTTGTCACAGTGTATTGAATCATTGATTTTGTCACTCTGTGCATGAGGTGGCTCTTTAATTGCTAGTGACAATTCTGTGTTGCCTTACAGTGATATTTGTGAATTGTGCTTTAAAAGATTTTAGAAGAGGTGTTAAGTTACAAGATTGCCGTTGGATTTTAAATAAATGAAATGACAACTAAATCTGCCATGCGTCTATTAACAATTTATCCACATTTTCCCGGCCCAACCAACATTTGTACTTAGTTCACCCATAATATAAATACGCAGTGGTGTAAGTTAGGGTTTATTTGTGTCTCCCACATTGACTGATACCCACTGATTCCAGCCTTTGGATACATCAACTCAGGTTCGTCCACTAAGCTGTCCCCTAATCAAACAGAGAAGCAAATATAGTTTGTGACAAAGCTGAGCTGTCTCTTCTGCTTTGGTCTCAAACAGCCCCCCCGCCACACACACAATGCTTCATCATGTTTTCACCTATTCACTTTGCATCTCATAAAATAATGTGCATCTCAAGATGTCTTTGTCCAGTGGGCGGACAGTGCTGGAACACCTATTACTCACTCATGTTTGAGCGTATTAGACTGCAGCCATGTCACGCCAGAGGTTCCCTTAGGCCATGGGTTTTTTTGTGTGTGTCTGTGTGGACATTTGGATATGACTGTTTCTGCATCCGTCCGACTTGCAAATTTAAAATTCAGTATTAAGCTCTGTGCACACACGTGTGTGTGTGTGTGTGTGTGTGTGTGTGTGTGTGTGTGTGTGTTAGGGTTGCGCGCACAACGTTACCCCTGGCTGTGACCCACAGCTGCAGTTTTCAGGAAGTCAGGAGGAGTCTCCATGTGCTGTCGCTCCCATTCCATCACACACACTGACACACGCCCTGCAGTCCCACTGTGTGTGTCTGTGTTGTCTAATTTACCTCTGGTCTAATTTACCCCTCTCTTAGTTTCCAGCACTACTTGGTGACACTGAATCTCCCTGTGAGATTGACTATTTGCAAATTATACCTTTTTATGCTTATACTATATATTGATAATCCAACATAAGATAAATGCTACAAGGCAATTTAACTTTTATTACTGGTGATTTAGGCCTCACTGTGTCCACTGAAAGTCTGCTGTCACTGTGTGTTTTAGTCTCCCTGCTCTCTCTAAATATGCATTCAACAGCTGTCTCTCTCTCATCTCCATCCCACACCACTTTGCTCCTGACAAATTGATGTGGAGCACTTTTACATAACAACTACGTATCACACACACTCCAAATACCATCCACAGCAGAAATGTAAACCTTACTCGGCCATTACACATATACCTTGCTGCAGGTGTTAAGAGCACCAGTGTTTGCATTTGTGAATGTGTATTTGTAGTGTTTCCTTACTTTTCTCTTTGTAGAACACAAATGCGGCTTCCATGTTAACTATTGCTTGGAAAGTGTGCAAAATAGGGGCGGGAGAGGGAGAAGAAGACAGAGGAAGGGGGGGGGAGAATTGACATTCTGCCCGAGCACTGCGCTGTGCTCGTGGAATAATGATTAGCTCCTCGGTATTCTAGTCACAAATGCTTCACTATCAATGAGAGAGAGAGGAAGGAGGAAACATGAGGGAGGGGATAGAGGGGGAAGAGACAAGCAGAGGGAGGTGGGGGAGCGAAAGGGAGGGAGGATGGAGGGGTGGGTGGGCACGGTAGAAGAGGAGCACACAGGGAGAAACAAGGTGAACAAGAGAGCAAGGGATGAAAAAGGCGAGGGGTAATGGAGGACAAAGTATAGTATGACATAAGCAGTAGACGTAGGTACTAGTATGCTGCAGTATCTCTCACACACACACACACACACGCGCGCGCTGCATGTGTTCAGTGTGCACATTTAAACAAATGCAACAGTCAGACAAATCTGCTAACTAAAAACGAAGCCAATGCAAGCAATGCACACAAACACACATGCACCTTTGCATCAACACACACACACACAGAAATACACCACTACATGCATGGAGACTACTTTGTCAAAGTCACAGCAGGTACAGCCACCTCAGCAAAGAGAGAGACAGAGGCTATGTCGCAGGGGGGGAAAGAGAGGGAGAGACAGAACGGGGGAGTGATGATGAAAAGAGAGAGAGAAAGGAGAAAAAAAATAAGAGAAGGACAGAGGGTGGAAAGGAAGCATGTGCAAGTAATACATATGTAATCACAAGGCATGGAGAAAGATAAATGTATACCATTACTTAAATAGGTCAATCATACATTAATAACTACAATATGATAATAGAGCTGGGAAGTCAGCTGTAGCAGACTGAGTAAGTTTGCATAAGTGTGCTCACTTAGTCAAATACAAAGAACTACATCATGTTTTTGCACGCCCCCTAACTCAGAGTTTCTTTTTAAGATGGATTATCATAAGAGAAGTGAAACGTTTTCAATTAAGATGGAAAATCAGTTGTCTATTATATCATTTACTGTAATCTTTCTTGTAGAGCTAAAAAAATAGTATCAGTTACTGTAATAGAAAACGTTCATTTTTAAATAGATAGGTCAAAAGTTGATGCTCTGATTTTAGGCAGCAAAAATAGACTTCAATATACAACATATACCTACTTACCTACTTAAATGTATATTTAAGTAGGTAAGTACCATCATGTAAGGTAAATATGAATAGGGATGCATGATTTTGGCTAACATATATAACACACCCCAAGCAGATGTCACCAATTTTGAGATTCTGCATGTAAATCTCTGGTAGTGTATATATAAATATAACTTAATAAACCATGGTCTCCATGAATAAAAAGCAGTATAATTTATCTTGTAAGGACGTATTGTGTAGCACTGCACATAAAGTGCATTGACCTTAAGGTGATTTATGATATTTTCATTCTTCTACTACTGTATGTGATTTTTACCGGTAAATGTTTGACCTTTAATGGCTACATGATAGTTTTGCGATCCGTCATAAATATATTATAGCAATACATAGTTCTTTAACTTTGTTGGACATTATACCACGCATCGCTATAAAGATAACACAGTTACACTGCAATTATTATTTATAAATAATGGTTCCACGATTACGTGTTCAGTCTTTTTCACCACAGTACTAATCTGTGTCAGCAAACAGAATCCATCATGTTTCCTTGGAAACAAAGCTTTGCCCAGCATCTCCAACTTGCCAAGATGTCAATAAAAATGGCATCAAAAAAGCATGACTTTAATTCTTCTCTGGAGACTGGGTTTACAGTGACTGTATAGAAGTTTATTGTAGGTCTATATTTTTTTTATTTCCAATGATTATACCCCCCATAGTAACATTTGAAGTGTATCCCTCAGATAAATCATCATAGCATTACTCTAGGGCCCATTTTGTAGACTGAAAAAGCTTCAATTCATATTTAACATGAAGGAAAGCAAGAGTACTGTTAATACAGTAGTATTTACTGACAGCATATATTGGTGTTACTTTCTTTTGCGATGGAAACTAAATCTTCAAGACAAGGGTTTACACAGGTTTACACCAGTGATTCACAACCAGGGGTTATCTCGGCAGTTGCCCTGCGGCTGGTTAAATTGAGTGGAAAGAAATTACCCTAAATGTATGACTCTTCCAGGACAAACCTATGGCGGACCCAAGCTTGATGATGATGACACATACCACCACAGCAGGGGTGGGAGGGGGATTTTTGATATATATATATATACACACACACATACACACACGCATTTTCTCCTTTTATGCATATCACGTGTATGTGCCTTAAATATGTGGGTTAAATATATATATGTGTGTGTGTATTTATTTACTTTCTTTTTATTCATTTGCTTAATATTTTATTATTAATAGATACGGTTTTCATGAACACCACTGCAATAGGTTAGGTTAGTAATGCTATATGTCATTCTTACTATTTTTATATATATATATATTTCAGTTGACTTCCCATTATGTTTATAGTCAACTCTTTTTTTTCTACATGTAAACATGTTTTTTTTCCCCTTTCTTTTAAATTTTCTCAGAGACAAATGGAAATATTGATGTATTTTCCATTTTGTAATTGCACAGTAACTTTAGCATTTTTGAGTATGTGAAAACTACACTGAACAAATTATAAACGGTGGGGAAATGGTGACCCATGGTGTGCCAGCCTAAGGCAGCCTGTGCAATAAGCATGCTGTCTGATGAGCATCTTGATATGGCAAACCTGTGAGGTGGATGGATTATCTCGGCAAATGGGAGAAGTGCTCACTACAGATTCTGACAGATTTGTGAACAATATTTGAGAGAAATGGGCCTTTTGTGTACACAGAGAAAGTCTTAGCTCTTTGAGTACAGCGCATGATGAATGAGGGGCAAAAACAAAACTGCTGCATTTATAATTTTGTTCAGTGTATTTAGCAAGAAAGCAGAGAAGCGCAAACTATTAGCTATTTAATGGATAAATGGTTGAAATTGCTTATGGTAATTGATTGGATTAATGGTTGATTAATGGATAAGAGGTTTAAATAGCTAGAAAAGGGATAAATGGTTGAAAATTCTAAAATCAATTAATAAACATTACGTAATGGAAACATTGTAAAAATAAGGAAAAAATAGCTTAAAGTAATGGATAGGGCGTGGAAAAGATAATAGATAAGTGGTTGAAATTGCTAATGCTAGCTTAAAGCAAGCTAATAGATAAACGGTTGAAATGTCCTTACCTGCGACCCGTAGTCAGTAAATGCTACATTACAATAATTAGGAATGCGTCTCACAAACCTATTTACAAAGGTTCACATTGCCACAGAAAATAAAAATAAAAGCCACACCTTAAACTAAAGCAACTTATTACTGTTTTAAACCTGTGTAACCACGTCATTGCCGCTCCAGCACTATGCTTACATGGAGGTGTAGCTGAAGCCAAAAAGCTCGTGGTGTCCTCCACCTGCGCGGGACACTGTCAGCGACTTTACTGCTGTGAGAGCTGAATATGCACATTCTCTCCTGAGGGTCATTTGGGTATTTTTAGTGTTTATGATATAAAAAGAGGTAGGAATCAAAGGAATGCCCAGAGTGGAAGCAGCTACTGCATGTGCTTGTCCTTTTTTTCATTTGTAACACGGACGCTCCTAAATCTGATGGTTATTTTAGGCCCATGTATCTGCATAATTGTCCATTTCATTTGGTTTTATTAAAAAATAAAAACCCTCTTTTCACTGCCTGCTTCTACAGTCTATTAACGCCATGAATAATTTAAATACGTAATTGCAAAAAGTATCACACATACAAGCATATAGGCTACAGCAGTTTATATTCCTCTCAGCTATGTACATGCATGATTATGAATCATTTATTGAATACTGGTTTGTGTGTTTTCATCAGTGAGGTGCAAAATAGAAAGCTATTCAGTTAAACAGTAGACATGTCAGATCACAAAACACAATATTTGAGGTGAACTGAAGGTCTTTTGTGGGGGTCACATCTTTTGGATTCAATACATTTTTTTGAAAAATGACCAGTCAGTTACATCTTTCTGCATCTTTTCTCAGTTTAATTCATTTTTCCACATCAAGCACCTGCTGGATTCAGCTGCAGTTTGTTTGGCAATAGCCATTCTCTATCCCAATATTTACAGTTTGGTGTCTGCAGTTACAAAAGACCAGATCGGATCTGTCAGCTATCATCCTGGCATCATGAAAAATCACACTTAAAGCCATAACTTAAACTATAGACTCTGTAGAATTTAAATTGCATTTAAATCTGGATTTCAAGACTATGCGTCACTGTGGGGAAACATCTGTTTTTGTACAAAAAAAAACCAACACAAAAATAAGCCTGAGCTAAGGAACGAACACCGACAATATCCCGTTTTCTGTACAGCAAATAGACCATTATACTGCACTCAGACTGCTTCCCAAGACCATAATAGTTACATGATTTCAAATCCAGCATGAACAATTTCATTACACGTCTGTGTTTGTGGTGTGTTTTCCATGTTAGGCAGCAGGTATGATAAACGGCACTCCACCAGAATATCAGCTGACAAGATTTGCTGGGAAGGAGAGAAAAGAAACATGTATTTATCGACTGGTTGCCTGTTGACTCTCTCAGAAAAGCAGTGAAGAGCAGCTAAATTCTTGGCACTGGCTTCTTTTTTCTCCTCAGGAGTCCTCTATTTCCTGATATGCTTCTCACTCTGCAGAAATTCTGCCATTTTCCCATTTCAGTTCCCCGCACAATCATCAGCATTTCTCCCTCCATGACATGAAAACAAACTAAGACTGAGTGCCTCTGCATGTGTGTGTGGTTTCAAACCCCCCTGTCAGCAATCACTGGGTGGGAGACAGCCATAAACTGTGCTTTAGAAGCCTATAATAGGCTACTGCAGCGCTGGCAAAACTTATATCATATTATGCCTCTTCCCATTCAGACACAAATAGGATCATTATTTTTGATAACTATACAGCAAGTGCTGGATAATTTCATTGCACTACTTGCCACTGCATAATGCTGTACTTCAGCTAAATCATCATAGATCTTGCCGTATCCCTGTTATTATTGTATTTAATTACAGCACAAAACCAATCAATAACATAATGTCTTACAAATTGCTCGAACATTAGGGTTGATCTATACACACACACATCTACTCCGTCCTGCCTTCCACTAACATTAGTGTACATGTGACAGAGAGAAACAGAGCGGTTTGAAAAGCTTTACACTGACTTGTGCTGAGTGGGTCTGTATATTTCATAGCAGAAAACCTCATTTTGTTTGTCAAAAGACACAAGTGGCAATTTACAGCAGGACCTATAAAGTCAATCCCATCTGATGGGATGGGAGCAATGCCCTCCTGTCATCCACCTTATAAAATGATGGACACTGACCAGTATGAAAACTGAAGAGTTTTATTATAAAGAAAGCAGAAGACATTTCATGGGCCACTACTGGTCTTTCCCCTAATAAATAGGGGCTATAAATACACCACGTCTGTATACAATCGAGGGCCAATTTTGTAACCCGTTTTTCAATCAGTTTGAAAGACTAATTTAAAGGTACATTCTGTTTTCCTGCGAGTTTTATCTGTGTAGTAGCCTTTAAGCCATTAGTTTTGCTCTGATTCAACAATGTTATTAAATAAAAAATATATATATTACTACACAGGATGGATATTTTGTTGAAACGGACTTAAAACTAAAACTATATACATATAAAGGTAATAACTGTATATCCTGCATTTATCAAACTCCATCAACAGTCCATATTCTCCACTAATCTTTCAGTCTTTCTCTACTTTGTTGTCCTTCACACAATTGTTTTTTAATCAGCCTTCACACAGTTTCTTCCACAATGAACTCAATGGCATGCTGTGGCGACTGGCTTGTCTCCACCATGGTAATTTCATTTCCATCCATGGTGATCGTGGGAACAGTAATGGTCCGAGATCCCAGAACAGAGGAGGGCAGGATGACGACCTGTGAAGTGCCTTCCATGCCGCTGAGCTGATCAGACGGGATCATGACCGTTTCAGTGCCTCCTTCGCCCCCCTGCAGCACATAGATGGTCTGCACTGAGCCAGAATCAGCCTCCCCTGTGGTGGCCAAAGAAGACAGCACCTTGCCCCCCTCCAGCACCTTGGCGACATGGGCAGCCTCAGCTGCCTGCTCAGCGGTCTCCAGAGGCAGGTCTCCATGTAGCCGGATGTGTTTATCCAGGTTGGAGCGAGAGCGGAAGGCAGCGGGGCAGTGGGTACAGGGGTAGGGCTTCTCCCCACTGTGGGTGCGGGCATGCTCAGTGAGTCGGGCGGCCACACTGAAACTCTTGCCGCAAATCCAGCAGCAGAAAGGCCGCAGGCCGCTGTGGATGCGCTCATGGTCCTGCAGATGGGGCAGCTGGCGGAAGCGCTTGCCACATGTGGTGCACTGGTGGAGGGATGGAGGAGAATGGGGGAGTGGACAAAATAAATATTTTTTAAAAAAGGTAAGAGGGTAGCAAGACAATACAGCTACATTCACAACAGTGCCAGTGCACAAACTTGACAAAAATTTTCTGAGCCCTTTCTTTATATTGTTCTGCAGGTCTGCTCTGCAGCACTTCTGGCTGGGGTAGATGAAGCGCAGAGAGAACAGGGTATGTAGGAAGACAGATACAAAGCAATAAAAACAGTTTGTTACACTGCAACTAAAAAAAAGTCAATCAATTAATCTGCTGGTTATTTTCACACATCATACAACTGATTAACTTGTTTAATATATAAAATATCAGAAAACTGTTAAAAAAAAAGGCACATTACAATAACCTGAACCTTAAAGTGATGTCTTCAAATGTCTTGTTTTGATGTACCAACAGCCCAGAGCCCAAAGATATTAAGTATGCTCTTGTAGAAAACCAGCAAATATTTACATTTGAAAAGCTGGAACCAAAGAATATTTTGCATTTTTCCTGAATAAATGATTTACGCAACTGATCAGAATATCTGGTAATTAAAATTCTGCTGATCAACTAATCGATTAATCGTTCCAGGTCTACGAGTGTGTAGGGTAGTACGATCAACTGAACAGCTGACACCAGAAAGAAATGTAACCAGTGAGCTGACAGCTAAACAATATCTAAATAATGTTTTCACATCAACAATTCCACAGCTGTACCTTTGCTGACACCCTAACATTCGCTCTCCGCTTGCTACCACCTGAGTGCAGACAATGAACGACAACTAGATACCTGATTAAACCTGAAGCACTACAAAAGAATGACTTCTTTGTGCTTTGTTTTGATTCCTACTGGGGACACTCAGATTGAAACTGTAATCCCTGTTGTCAGTTTTGCAGTTTCAGTATGTTTGTGAGATACATTCTAATAAAATTACCTTTCCTGTTGAGTTTGCTCTTTATATAGCCAGAGTATATAGATATTCCTTCAGCAACGCACCGTATATTTGATTTAAATTAAAATTCATCACCATAACTGCCTGTGTGTTTGAGGACCAATGCTCCTTGAACCTCAGTCCTTAGCGTGCCTGATAGATACGGCTCAAAGCAAAGCCACAAACATTAAATCAATTTCTACAGTCCGACGTGCTGTGATGGGCTTGGGTGGGTCCATAGTTGATGTCCTGCCTTGTCACCAGAGCAGCAGAGAGGGAGAGAGAGAGTCCCAGAATAGTAACAGGCACAGAGGGGAGCTGACAGGTCCTAACTCAACCCTGCCATTAATCACAGGTACACAGGGAGGGAGGAAACACCCACAGGACACACACTGCACAAATGGCCGTGGTCCAGAAGCGTAGAGATGACCATGGGGTGTGAGACGGTGCTGGATTTGAAATTCAGGTGTTTAAGGGTTTGAAAGACTTGTATGAAAAGCACAAAATATTGGTGATGCACGATATTGGATTTTGGCCGATATTCGATATGTTAAAACTAATTTTGGCCGATGCCGATATTTACATCTTATTTTTATCTTTTTTTATTTCTCTGAAGAGAACACTAAGTCTCTCCTGTACTACTTTTACCCTATATTACTCTCATTTGTTGTAGAAACATATATTAAACAAGACAAATAACATTTGATTCTATCAAAAATGTATCATTTTATAATTCACCCCTGAAAACTAAGTCATTATTTCACTTGGGAGATGATTACATGCCACATTTTAATGTGAAACCGTAACAACCAAGCTGAATATATTTTCTGAGCTACAAACAGCACTGTAGGTGCCTCAGTCCTTAGGATGCGCTTTAAAGCATAACAAACAAGACTGAAAAAAACTTGCGCTAATGGAGGAGATCACGTCTGCTGCTGTGGCTGTAGAGCTAATATCTATTGTCAGCTGTTCACACTGTTCCAGCAAACTCCTCAGCATGTAAAATATATTCTTTTAGAGGAGAGATGGCATGTTGGGAGTGCTTAAAATGTCCTACAATCTTCCTCCTGTTTGTAACGTGATGAATAAAAAAAAACTTCTGTTATTTAGTATTAAATGTGCCCGGGGATGAACTGTTTATTACCAGGCTGCAGTGTCTGGCAGTGTTAACTGAATTAATGTGCGATACAATAATCGTTGGTGTTAATTAATTAATGCGTTAAGGCGATAATAATGCACTAACGTTCCCAGCCCTAATTATATCAGATCGATAATTATCGTGCATCCCTACAAAATATGATTCAGAAGGTTGAGAGAAATTTCCTTTTTATGCAAACACAGACACACACCAACACCCTTCTTACCTCAAAGGGCCGCTCATCAGTATGTGTCCTCATGTGGACCTGGAAGGTGGAATTGTAGGAAAATTCCTTGTGGCAAATCTGACAGCGGAAGCGAGGTCGGTTTTTGGACTTGCTGAGCGTTCCTTGGAAATGGGCCAGCACATGCTCCTCCAGGGCACTGTTGGAGGTAAATCGGCGGCGGCATGGCCTCACTGGGCATTTGAGAGGTGTCTGGCCCGTGTGGGATAATCGATGGAGGTCGAGGCCCTCCTGGGTCATGCAACGGTGACCGCATAGGTCACACTCAATCTGAGGGAGGAATGAAAAGGAGGAGGGACACGATGGGAGGGAGACAAACCGGAAAGCGAGGGGATGGAGAACAGACAGAGGAGGGCAATTAATGAAAAGAGAAAAGGTCGGTGTCTTCGTGGTCTAACTGAGACGTAACCACGTCACAGTTTGATTATGACTGGGGACCTTTGTTAGATGTCACCCCCCTTCACTAACCCCACATTTAAGTCAGCTACCTAATAAAGGCAAAATGCCAAAAACCAAAAATAGAAAACTCATTTATGATTTTGAGTACTCCCAACCTGTCCAGTGCATCGTCCCCGGCCCTGACCACGTCCACGACCAGTATTCTTCTCCTCCTCTGTTGTAGGGCAACGCTGCATGTGGATTTCCAGTACTGATTGGTTCACAAACTGGGATGAACAGTGAGGACACGTCGCCGGCTGCTTGTCTGCAATGGAACAGTGTCAAGTTTTAAACAGGTGGTCATACGCTGTCTTCCTACTACAAGCAGCTCTCATGCCATGCTAATATTGATTGCGAGCCATCATGCCAACAACCATGTACTGACAAGTGGCATAATGGCTGGTGATGGGCAATGGTGCCCAAACACTGTGTCCAAAAAAGACTGAGCCTGTGGTTGCTTTTACTGTAAAAACACAAGGAGAGTTGGACCCAACAGATGTATGCTACAAGATCTAAGGAATGTACTTTTATGTTACTTGTGTTGTAGATTGTGGTAAAGCAATAGGCCTCTAGACCTTTTCCATGTCGCAGTCGGAAAAACAGGTGTCAATAATTAAATGAATGATGGCTGAATGCTATTTAGCTGCTTCAGTTTCCGGGTCCTGGTAGTGTACACTCCCTGTCACGGCTTACTAGGACACTTGAATAGAACAAAGTTATCATTGATGTTATTAGTAACACTAATAGAGTGCTTTTTTCTGCAATAATCAAAATGTCTGCTGTGAAAAAAGGCCTACTGGTCAGTTAATGTTTTAGTCAACTGAGTCAAAAATTTATCTGAAGACGTTTGCTGGTTCTACCTTTTCAAATGTAATGATTTGCTGCTTTTTTCTGTTTTGTATAATAATAATAATAAAAACATATTTTAGACTGTTGGTCAGATACAACAACAATTGTTAAGATGTCACCTCAGGCTCTAGGAAACTGTAATTGGCATTTTTTCACATTTTGGAGACAAATCAATTTATCAATACACTGTCAATCACTGACAGATTAAGTAATCATTATTCGTAGCACCCTAATAAACAATTATATTCATTATCAATTGATCTAACCGGTTAGTCTCTCGATTAAATGATTGGTGGTTAGGTCTGTGAAAGGTCTAGCAAATAAGTACCGATCGTAAATTCCCGGAGTCCAACGTGACCAAAACCTAAAAATATTAATTTTACAGTGATACAAAACATAGAAAAGAAGCAAATCCTCACAACAGAGAATCCAGATCCAGGAAATTACTAATCGATGGTCAAAATTGCTGCGGATTAATATTCCATCAGTCAGTTAATCAACTGATCAACTCATGATAATCTCAGCTCTAATCATCTAGTGCCCAAGTTTTATTTTGGCAAAGCAAACCGCACTCTCACTGGGTTGCTCTTTAAAACCCAGAAGTGAAATCATGGCCACTGATTCATTCGGTTCATCAACTTGTCCATAGGTTGCCATGCCAACATCTTGCAATCTGCTAAGCATCTGTACTGTCTATCCCAGTGGGGGCGATCCACTCTGCTCCCCACTGGGACCCTTTAATTAAACCTTTAATAAGTATATTCACAGCCTATGGCCCTGGACTGATCAATGGATCAATCTCTCCAATAATCTCTCTCAGGAGTCACATACTTCCAACCGCTACTAATGAGGATGACTTTCCAACACCCCCCCAATACATTTAACTCCACCTTCCTCCTCCTCTTGCACATGGGACACAGATCAATGGAAAGTCATTGACCTAATGCGTCGGAGGAACAATGCACATATTACATGGATGTACTGTATGTTTGTAAATAAACAAGATAGGCCACCCAAGCGGGATGATGGAGGCATTTTTTATAACTTTACATTAATCAAATTGCATGCGGTACTGTTAAGAAAATCATATCTAATTGGTTTTCATTAAAAGCTGACACAGATCCTTGCAACTGATTTCCTATGTTCCACAACCGCACTTGGTCTCATCCTCAATCTTGAATGTTATCACACAGATAAATAGACGGAAAAGTTGATTAGAGATATAAGAGAGGAAATGGTCGCACAGTGAAAGGATTTGACATGTGTAAAATATATTTTATGTTTTTGTTATTCCAGGTTGCTCCTGCTAACCATAAAAACATGTGGGTGAACAATATACGCGGGGCTGAGCCCTGAACTCTCACCTTGGTGAGTGAGCGAGTGCAGGTCCAGGTCTTTCCTGCGTTTGAAGGCCTCTCCACATTCGGGGCAAGGGAATGGATGGCTGGTGTGGAGCAGTCTGTTACAAACACAAGAACACATTTTGTTTATAACTATTTTGCATAATATTGACAATTATAAGTTAATCTACAGAGAGTTTAACATGGAAACAACTCATAGGAACAAGCAATAGACAATTACATGAAATAATTATGTATAAGATGCAAGTATAAAGACTCATAAAAATTGTAATAAAGAGGGGATGGGGAGTCATACTTTGGTTTTAATCTGCCACTCTATATGTGACTTGTAGGAGGATTACCAGCAAGTATGTGCTTAGCTGTGCTTCAGGTTAAATAAGGGGTATTAGCTGAGCATATAAAGGCTAGAGATAAAAGAACAGCAACAAATTGGGAGGAGTCAGAGTTAGGACATGAAAGACTATATTTATCCATTGCATAACGTTACGCTGGATATAGCCTTAGGGGAGGAGAGAAGTGTTAGGATGTATTCACCTAATGCTGCATCAGGCCCGATTTCACAACATGGAACAAAAATAAAATGCTGGTTCTTTGGGCAGCTTCTCATAATCAGAACAAACACAGATGCTGTTGAAGTTCAGGAAACACAATGATCCACTAAATATTGCATACTTACAAGTAAGTATACTGTATACATTATGTATATCATAATGCCACAGGTAGTGTTACAACAAATGTACTTAACTACACAAGTCACTTAAAGTAAAGCAGGATGCTAGAGGTGATGTGCAAGGTCATTTCTGTTCCCAGTTACATAGAAAATAGTAATCAATATTTCAGGGACAGCTGACCCTGAGGCAGCTTGGAGCATTAAAATTTCAGTCAGGGTCGCTTCTTCTAGGCAGATGTTCTTTAATGAGTATAGGTGACGTACGTACAATATTAGTACAACAAGTAGGTAATATGCTGACTAGAGGCTAAAATAGTACGATGATTAATCAATTTGTTGATGGACCTAAAATGAATGAGCAACAGTTTTGATAATCACTGAACTGTTTACACCATTTTATGAGCAAAAATGCCAAACATTTGCCGGTTCCATCTTCTCAAATATTAAGATGCTCCTTTTCCTCATCTTCTAATGCCGCATTCAGACCAACCGCAAATTTTCGCCTCGCGACTCTTTCCTTGCATCAGTACATTCGCTGCAAGTGTTCACACACAACGCGAGAAGCCGATTTTAACACGATATGGTGAATAAACACAACTCGCCTTTACTACAACTGTATGAACCCAAAGTAAACATTTTGCTGTGATTAAATAGCAATAATCGGATTAAACTGATGCCGAAATAACAACAACATGATGCAGATTTGTTAAACATATGAATTCATGCTTTGTCAGGTCTGTCAGCAAGACAGCAGGACAACAACTTCTAAAATGTTTGTTTTCTGAATGGAATTTGGATCGATCAGGGCTATGCTATGCTAACTTGGTCACAGTAAAGTACAATGATAGCTGGAATAAAGTTACAGACACATGTTTTCTGAAATCATCAGGTAGTTCAACCTCCTCGCGTTGCTCCCTGCTCCTCTCCCCCATGTTTAGCAGCTCTCAGCTGGCCAGATTTTCAATCCGCCGCTCTGCCCGGTCCTCTCCACACAACGCTCTGAAGCCTCGGTGACGTACGGACACTCTCAACACTGAGGCTATCGCGACTCAGCATCATGCGACTTCTTCGCTTGAGTTGAATTCCTTCGCGTTGCCTTTACGTCGCCGGCCCCGCCCCCTTCGCACCGCCCAACAGAAAATCGCATCTCTACGTGTCTTTGCATTGACTTTGTAAGTAAACTCACCGCCCCAAACGCTCGCTTCGCTTTTGGTCTGAAAGCACCGTAAGGCCCCATGTCCACCAAAGCTTTTTTTTGCCAGCTGAAAACAGCATCTGCTGCTCTGAAAACGGCCAGCAGGGAGCGCTAGCGGGCGTTATTGAGGCGCAGCGTTTTTTCCAACTGCTTTGGTTGCTATGATACATTTGTTGCAAGTAGTTCTACCTAACTTTACTGGATGTAAAAATGTCAACACAGAGTAGAGTCCTTGCTCTGCATGAAGTGAAGGCTGAAGCAGGTAGAGAGAGAGGACGGTATGTGGGTTCATGAGATTTTGTGGGCGAGGAAAACATCTTGGCGAGTACCACCGTTTAGTCCAAGAGCCGAGGTTGGAAGAAGCCCGGTTCCAGGATAGTAACCGTTGCTATGTTGTGGTATTTGTCCCGCCCCTCCTCTACTGTGCAGCATTTTTCCCAAAATTCAACTCTCGGCGCCCGGGAAAAAACGCTCAGCGCCCAGCGTGGAAAAGATGCTCAGCGGTCATGCTCCTATTGGAATGAATAGAAAAAAACGCTTTGGTGGACACGGGCCCTAAGATAGGAAACTGAATATCTTTGTTTTGCTGAAGTTCTACTCTTGACCTTGGAAATAAGCAAAACAATCATAACTCAAAGTTACCTTCAATGTGATGTCACAATGTGACATTCAGTGTGCTATAGCAAAAGCCAATACAACACACACACACACACACAGTATATCCTCTCCCTGTTCCTCAACCAGGTAGGACAGGACCAGGCTCTTCCCCTTTCCTGGCTTGTTATCGTTATCATCTTAATTTACTGGGCCTCTGTCTGTCAATCATATGGGGCTGAGGCTCAAGGGCACCCACACATCTCAGTCAGCGTGTTTGCTACACAGCTTAAAGGTCTTGCTCTGTAGTCGGACACGGCTCAGCTACTACAGCTCCTGGCGAGGGGTAGGAGGTTTATCTAAATCCTGTCCGGGGTTCTGTTTGAAACAGTAATTCGACTGCATTTACACAGTAAACAGGGTTGGAAATGATTGAATATCTCTATGGAAATCCAGAAGGTTAGTGGTAGTTAGAGTTGAATATAGTGTAATGGAAGTAGTTAGAGGGTTGTAGGCATTTCCACCAACACTCCCGCAAATAAAGAATGCTGAATAACTAATGAAGTGTTATTGTGTTATTACTTGTGATGGTTAAGCTGATCCTCCGTGTTGAAGCGCGAAGGGCAGTGAGGACAAGGGAAGAGATGAGCAGCTCCCTCACTGTCCAAAGTACAAACCTGTATTGAGGGACACAACAGTCAAAGTCAATAAAAAACAATTTCACGGCAAGTCATCTACCAATAATGTCTTAAATTATGAAAGATAACATGTTAAAATAAAAACCCATCACTTCAAAAGTGACACCTACAAACAAAATGACTGCTGACCTCCAAGTTAATTTCACATTGCACATAAAGTTTAGTTAATATTCTAAATTGAATGCAGCTTATTTATTTATTTTATATTTTATATGTGAGCTTTTGGACTTGATCTAATTTAATAAGGAGAGCGGTACCGGTTTGCGTCCACGCTTGCGCCGAGGCAGGGCTGATGAGTGAATGCGTTGGTGTCTTTTCAGGGTGGCTGCCTGGGAGAAGTTTTTGCCACAATCGTCGCAGCTGAAGGGCTTGTTGCCCGTGTGGCTCATGCTGTGGCGCAGCAGGCTCTGGGAGTTAGTGAAGGACTTTGTGCACACCTTCACAACAACAATAATCAGGATTAGTGCCATAGTTGTATTTACAACATTTTTAAGTACCTCTTGTAAGGGAATAAATAAAGTTGCATATGGCTGTTTGCTCATATTATACTATTCAAACCAAGTTCCCTTGTGCAGCGACACTGGAGAATGTGTCAAATATAATGAGGTTGAAAGATCAAATTATGTCTACTTCAAACCCAACCCGTTTCAAAAGCATTACATCATCACATCAATGTCTGCCATATGACATAAATGGCATTCACATCAAAGAAAACTATCCCTCAGGCAGATTTTAATTCAACTGTGATTGGCACCTTGCACGTGAAGAGCTTTTCCCCGGTGTGGCTGTAGACATGGGTGCGGAGGAAGACGCGTCGGGTGAAGGTTTTGCCACAGTAGGGGCAAACATGGGGTAGTGGCGTGCGGGCCCAGTCCTGCAGTAGTTTGGCAGGTGGAGGGTGGTTGGTGTTGTCTGAGTCTGCTGCAGTGCTGCTGCCTTCTGATTCCTCTCTGGTGCCTGAGCCCTTGTTTCCTGGAAAGATTTATAAAAAAATAAAAAGTTAATTGAGGACTAAACCATCTACATGCAACAAATGCCTTATTTTGTCCCCTCAAATGGGCAAAACTAACACTTTCATTTACCTTTTAGCGCACTGACACCGCTCAGGATCCTGAAAGAGGGCTTACTTCTCTTAGAAAGGGGTGAACCTGATTCACTAGCAGAGGCAGGTGGGGAAAGCAGCCGTTTCGAGCTCTGTGGAGTATCTTGAGGTTTAGTGACGGCTGTTTCATCACCAGTTTCAGCTGCATCTGCCACCTCTGTCCCTGATGAGAAGCGGTGCTGCCGGCGATGGTACAGGTACTGGGTGGTGTTCATAAAGCCCTCCCCACAATGGGGGCAACTGTGTAGTGGCTTTTTCAGGTCATGCTTCTGCTTACGATGGGTGACCAGCTCTTCCTCATCGCTGAAGCTCTGCCCACACTGGGTGCACATGAACAACTCTGGATGTGTGAAACTGTAGCTGGCACTAGTGGTGGGGGGAGTGGCATCCTGTCCCTGCTCGCCAGTCCCATTGCTCTGAGTAAAAACTTCCTCTGATGTCTCTTCAGGAACCACTAGCATTTTTTCCTCGCCTTTCTGCCGGTGCTGCTTGCGGTGGTAGAGAAATAGGGTGGTATTTAGAAAGCTCTCCCCACACACAGCGCAGCGGTGCAGAGCTTCCTCAAAGCCGTGTTGGGTCTTGCGGTGTGCCACGAGTTCAGACACCAGGCCAAAGCACGAGCCACAATCCACACACAATAGCACTGGTTCGGGCTTAGGCTTTTTGTTTGCGCCTCTCTTCCTGGGAGATGAATCCTCTAGGTTAGAGGTTGAAGGGGCCACCTCAGAAACAGCAGGATCAGAACTCTGAGCTGAAGATGTATCTGTGACCTGCTGCCTCTCTTCCTCTGCTACGAATTCCTCTGGTTCTGGCTTTTTGCTAATTTCACTCTGCGACAGGGAAGAATTATCTGGATTTACAGTTGAATCGGAGCTCTGAGTTGAAGCAGTCTCTGGCTCAAGTTCTGGATCAGGTTTGGACTTGGTCCCGGAAGCAGACTGCTGACATGTCTCTTCTTTACGGTGTTGCTGCCAAAGGTCCAGGCTCTTGAAAAGTTCATCACAATCCCCACACTGGTAGAGGATTCTGGGCTGGTCTGTAGCCTGCTTGAGTTCACTCTTCAAAGGTTGCTCAGAGGAGTGTTCTGCATGAGCTTGGATCTCTGGGTGTGCAACTGTCCTTGATATATTTATTACCTGCTGCTGCAAAGACAAGGGAGGGGGAAAAAAAAGAAAAAATAAGAGATTATCCTCAATGTTTCACTTCACTGTGTATTTATATACACAACAGAAAAACCTCCTTGTACTACTAATTCAACCAGCAGTGTTTTTATTTTATTCTTTCTGGCACATGACGGATGAGAATTCAGTGTTGGGGTACTAAGGTCAATTAGAGCAGCATGTGTTTATGGCCAAAGTTCCTCAGAGAGCTCCAGACAGCCCAGATAAGGCCTCAGCCTGGCCGATAACTATCAAAAGCCCATCAGGGTTGAATAGGTCACTCCACAGGGTTTTACATTTTCTCCCTCAATCTATCCAGATGATAAAAACAGAACATCGAGGTCGAGGAAAAAGATGTCTGAAACTGTCTCAATCATGACAGGTTAATATGTCTCACATGCTTTAATGATCTATGGGCTTTTGTTTCAGCATTCATTCAGTATGTGAATACTGAAGACCACCCCCACATGTGGTTTGGTTGATTCAATAGCATTTCGATTGCATTAACATACATTTTTCTTATGCACTGAGCTCAACATTTATTGTGAGTTCTAAACCAAATGTATTTTTCATTATTCAAGAATGTCATTGCAGAAATACCCCTAAATTATTGTGATATTGTTTTAGGTTCCATCACGCACCCCTATGCTAGTGTATCTGAAATTGAAATGGGCACAATTCATGGTATTCATAGTAAAATGTAAGTGGATGACTTAAATTGTTTTGGGTTTTTTTAATTATAATTAAATGCGTCAATCAAAGGAATCCAAATTTCCCTCGGACGATGTCTACAATGAAACATCAGGATGGACAATGTCATCAGGTGCGCGGGCGCGCTTGGGGGGCAGCAGTCGTCTCATGTGTTCTCGCGCAGACTTCACTCGGTAAAAAAAAAAAAAAAAAAAATTAACTTACGTCACAAGTCACGGTGGATATTTTACGCACGACCAGGTAAAGCAGTAGGGAACACACAGGGTGCAGATGTTGGTTTAAGTTGTTTGATAGGCTACGTCATTAATAAGCCGACGTGCAGCTCACCTGCTGCCGTGATAACTGATCGCGGGAGGAAATATACTGAAAAAAGACGAGTTGTCAGTCTTTTAGGTGACTTTATAAAAACATACTGCTGATGGAGAAAATGGAGCAGAGGGGGGCGAGAGAGAAAGCGGGGCGAGCCGGGGTGTTTACCTGACATGTAGGTGTGTGTGAGTGTGTCAGAGTGTAGGGAGAAGAGAATTCCGTGGCAGGTGCAAAGCATAGGCTACTTAAAAACAATGATAAGAATGTTTGTGGTCATTAAAACCTGCTTTCACAGGGTGTTATAATGTGAAAATTTGAGATTTTCTTTTTGCTGGGGGGGCGGGGGTTTTACAATCACGATGCCGGCTCAACGTCATGATGTCTGTCAGCCATCGCCAATGGACGATGGCATCGTCTATCGGCCCAACCCTAGTCAATCGTGAACAATAATGAGATAAAACGTTACACATTATGCTAAAACATTATGTCACAGGTGAGGAACAAGTTACTTTCAGTTACAGTTACTGTCTGTGGTGAGAATCCTAAATTTCTTGCCGAAATGGCACATTTTCCATTAAGGTGGTACAGAATTTAACTTTGTTAGCTCTAAGGCCTGCTCTGACAAAAAGCTATTTTGTCTACATTACTCAAGCCTGTAATGGAACAGAAAGCCAGGATTAGTCTAAATCAAGATTTATGTTTTGAACTCGCATGGAATGTAAAGAATGTTTTTTTAATCTTCTGTAGTACAGCTCTACACAATGGAGTACTCGTGTTATCTCAGATAGAATGAGTTCTTTGTACAATCTAAACAGGACATAATCTCAGTCTGGAGGCTCCAAAAAAAAAAAAAAAACATTATTCCTGCACATGTACAGTAAATTAATCTTCCTCCACAGCTCAAGCATGCACAAAACCAGCAACATTCCCAAATACAGTACAAAAGAACAGCCGCAAGCAATAGTGGTCAATCAGCCCATCTCTGCCACTAAACTGGAGATAGGGTTCCACATTATTAAAAATCATGAGAAAGTAATATCAGCAGGAACATATTTGAAGAAAAAAAAGCTTGTATATCCTGTGGTCATAGCAGTAATGTAATATGTGAACAACGGCTCAACAAAAATGACTCACTCGAATGACTGTACCAAGCAATGCTGGAGGTTTCATATGTGAAAAGGGCTGTTATAAAGACTTACATATCTATATCAAACATCACTAGTCTTCTTTTGTGATTCTTCTGACAAGTAAGAAGGCCTTTACCTCAATATGGCTCGCATCCTCTTAAACCTCTAAATGTTAGAAATGTTTCATATCAGTGGTGTGTATTTTTAGTATATAGTATTTTCCATGTTTATTTCATAGTCCCTTCATTTTTATTATGAGTGAGGCTTTTATTTGGAATTTTTGAAAATGCTTTGTATGTCATGACATACTAGGCATATATATACACAAAAGATACAAGTTGCAAGCCACAAGAGTGACATTATACTTTTTACAAAAGGCAAACAATGACTGAAGTCTTTTTTACCCGTGTGATAAGGTGATTTATGCATTTTGTTTAGATTTGCAATTGATACTGAATTACATAACAGCTTTTGTGACAATATGTATCTAGATGACTACCCAAAATTATTATAGCATGACTGTGTATTGTTAATTGGTGTTGAAGCTTCAGTAGAGGATGAAACAAAAAAAACAAACACATTCACATAGTAGACACCCCAACTTTATCCTACAAGCTTTGCCTGCACTGCCCATTTACCAACTGACCTCACTAAACATTTGGACATGTTAATTTAAAGCTGAATAAACATGCCATGGTACAGGCACTACTAGTTGTCTCTTTATTTGATTTATCTATTGCACAAGTTGTGGCGTTCATCCCTTCCTTACGTTTTGCTGTTGATTACAATTACTGAAATGACAAAAAGGGCATCACCTACTATGCAATGGCTATTGTTTGACTTAATGAGCATTATCAGTCAGAAAGGTCAGAGCACTGAGAGTGAATAGCAGAACATACACTTCAAGTAAACTATGCATAAGGTGCCAGTCTTCAAGATATAACACTTGACCATGCAGCTGATGCATTACAATTTTTAAAACTACAAGAAATTGAAGGATTTAGGCTTTCAGGGAGCAACCCTAGTCAATTTCCTCTAAAGCCTCTAATGGTGCCATATGTGAAGCGCACATTTTCATGTATATTGATAAGGAAGTTGGCAGATGCGGCAGGAGTCACACCATCTAAAAGGAAATCCGACGAAGGGGTAAATTTGTTTAGTGAAAGCAGGGTGAGCTTCTGATGAACCAAATCACTGAAATGGCAAACTTTGACTTGTTCGGTGGACAGTTTTGAGGAGACATTTTTGTTCTCCTTTAAAGCTTGAGTCTCTCACTTCCAGATACAGGGGACATATCTTAAGTTACACAGTCTCAAATTTACCAAGCAACCCCATTTCTTATCATTATAGTTACCTGAATTCCCCCACTCATCTGAGAAATGTTGAAAACATTTGTTAAAAGAGCTCCTTGTGTCCATTTGAGACATAAAAAGCCTTTGGTTTATAGCAATGTCATACAATATACACAGAAATTATGATAATTTAACTAATGAAGTGGGGCTGCTTCCAATAAACCGGATTATGGAAAAGTGGAGGCCAGGAAGCCATAAGGTACCCAGGTTTTATAGTGTTTCTCCAGCTGTTTCATGTATGAGAAGGCCAATGAGAGATTCATCAGGAGAAAGTATGGCACTGACTGATGCATTCCTCATGCTCTTCTCCCTGCTGGCGACTCAGGATGCAATTTGTCTGTCATGAGTGTCACTGCTTTATGGATGTGTGTTGAAGACTGTAAGGATGGAAGTCTGGGCACAAGCTCAGACAGCCATGCCCTACTGCTAAACGAGGGCCAATGACTTGCTTTTAACCCCAAGGGCTTTCTGAAGTTGTCATGGGAATGCCAAAAGATAAAAGTGCCAGTTGCACCAAGACTCAGCTCAATATGTCAAAGTTAAACAGAATAACTCGCTGCATTATACAACTTTCAAACTTTGCAATTCAAATAGCGCCTTCGTAGAACTCAGAATTAATAGAGCTCAGCATTTTGATGAAATACATCCCAAAGAATATATTCTAAACAGGACACAATTTAAAAAAATACTGAATAAATGCAAAAATCCACAGGCCTCTCAATTTCACTGAGCCAAAACAATAGAAACACAACTGAATTTACATAGAGAAGCATACATTTAGTACACAGAGGGAAAACACAAAATGAAAAGATGAAGAAAATTAATTTTTCCCCTCATTCTCTTGAAAACAAATTGTTCATTATTATTGGAGCATGAGGAACATTCTGGTGATTCAGCAGGCCATGCCGGATACCATGTAAATACGGCATCCTGGCCTCAATCTGACTTGCGACCTTTATCATGCCTTTCCCTCCTGCACTCAATCAGACAGTGTTTTATCAAATGAACGCCCCAAAACAATGCAGTGGTGGCTTATATTTCAACTATGTTGCTATTGTACTGAAACATGTTACCAAAAACAACATCTCCATTAAGCGAGCCTATACTGTCTGTCCGGACTTAAAACACACACACACACACACTTTCAGAACAAAGCTCAACCAACAACTCTGAAATGGCTGATATATGCCAGAGGAGAGCTTATTCAAAATACAAAAGATGCACTGTCACATATTCTAAAATTTCCATAAATCGATAATCAATCCACTTTTAACACTGCAACATTTTTGCCTGTTACACCTGTTCGCCTCACTAGTGACTCATTACTGATAAACAACTAATGTGTTATTTCGCCATTACTCCAGACAGTAAGCAGTTCCAGGTAGCGCTTGAGTACTTACAAAAACTGGTGAATAATCTGCAGGCATTACTACACCATTGCCAATTTATCAGGATGAAAGCTAGAGGTCTAACAGATGGACTGGTGTACTGACTGAGTGACTGATATTTGTCTTAAATAAGACTACCGGTATAATGTATGCACAATTGCACATGTTCCAGTAACAATAAAAAAAGGATGCAAGCCCAACACATTATATGTAATGTCGAAATCTAGTGAACACACACAAAAAAATTGCCTTTTAAAAATGTATGGTTTATAACTCCTAAAACATATAATCATGTGAATGCTTATGATTCTTTTTGTTTTTAATGTTATTTTAGATCATTTTGGAAACTCACGTGTTTATGCATCTCAACTGAATATTGTCTATACTCTTTTGTAGCACGGTATAGTAGTCTTTGCCTGTTGATTGTATTTATGGTTGTAACAATGTTTCAAGGTTCAGTGTGTAAGTTTTAGTGGCATCTAGTTGTAAACGATGCGAATTGCAACCAATTGCTCACTGTGCATTCACTTGCTCCTCGGACGGAATAAGTACTTTATAATAAATGTATTAATTCTAACGGCAATTGTAAATTCAGCAGTACAAAAAACTAACTTTGTACCTTTTCTTCATGAGGTTGTACATCAGTTTAATTTCTAAATCCAACAACAAAAAGGCTTTGAAAACTGTCAACTTACTGTCTTATTTTAAAATCTTTATAAAAATATAGACTACCCCTGGCAAAGTTTTTATTATTTGTGTCTTCTTTTATATTTGTATACCGTTTTATATACTTCTGTATGTACCCTGTACACTTTATTCCTCTTTTTGCAATAAAGATTTAAGGAGAGCGGAAAACAATCAGATTATTCCGACACATCAATGCACCAGTCACCGCTCTCCGCTTTGTGAAGTAGTTTGTATTTGGGATACTGTAGAAACATGTCGAGGTTCATATAAGGGGACCCGCGGTGTATGTAGATAGAAATGGCTCATTTTAAGGTTATAAAAACATAACGGCTCATTATGTAAGGTCTTACTTAATACACCACTGAAAACATAGTTATTTACACTGAACAAAATTATAAACGCAACACTTTTGTTTCCCCCCCATTCATTATGAGCTGAACTCAAAGACCTAAGACTTTCTCTATGTACACAAAAGCAATGTTTCTCTCAAATATTGTTCACTGCATGCTCGTCGTCCTCATCGGGGTCTCAAGTGGCCTTTTATTATGGCCAGGCACACCTGTGCAATACCCATGCTGTATGATCAGCATCTTGATATGCCACATCTGTGAGGTGGATGGATTATCTCGGCAAAGGAGAAGTACTCACTAACACAGGCTTTGACAGATTTGTGAACAATATTTGAGAAAAATAGGCCTTTTGTGTACATAGAGAAAGTCTTAGATCTTTGAGTTCAGCTCAGTGTTTATAAGCGTTTATAATAAGGGTGCTCCGATCGATTGGTCTCCAATCATAATCAGCAGATAATGGCTTTAACTAGTTTGATCGGTGGCCGCTAAAAATGCCGATAAGAAAAGCCGATCAGATTATGCAATACTCGCCAGACAAATTTTCACTACGCTGTTTGAGCGGTTTTCAAAGCTAGCTAGCACCAAAGTCCTTCTCAGACAAGAAGGGATTAAAGTGCCCACATAATCATTTACAATTAGAGTTGAGCAGCAATCAGACGAGTGGAGCAACACGCAGGAGTGATCATGTGAAACTGTCGCAGCTGTGCTCATCTCACTCACACGCCACCCGCAACTGGAGTTTAACAGACACATCAGGCAGAGAGAGAGACTGATCCTTCAGTGTGAGTTTCCTGATGCAAAGAGTGGTGCCACTCAATCAGCTGACTGCCTCTCTCTCTCTGTTTTCATTACAAAAACGGAGACCTTTTGCTACGTTTCTGCCTCCCGTCCAGATTAAAACGGTGAATCAGAAGATGTTTGTGTGTCATCGTTTTATAAAGTCCTCTATCTCCGTTTTCAGACACTCACATTTGGCTTTGTGAGTCGGTCTTATCAGTCATGCAAAGCAAAAATATGATGCTTTACAGAGTTTTAGTATTTTTATTAAAACATAAGTACTGTGTAAATAACACTTAACAGTTAGCCTAGCCTACTGTGCATGCTGCTGTATTTACTTTGCGACAACTCCCAGTCTGTTTTCCACTGCCGTCTCTCGTACTCCCGTGTTACTTTCAGTAACAGTTCAATTCATGCTTACACTGGCACGCGCATGCCCAGTGTAGCTACCTGAACGGCCGACAGAGATCAACTCTGATACGCAGCTGAAACGCTGCTGTGGACGGAGAAGATCGTTTTCGTTATAAAACTGTTTTAAAAACGTAGCAGTGTGGATGTAGCCTCACATTACCCCACTCCTCTCTCTAATCCTCTCATGTCAACCCTCCCGTTTTCCCCGAGGTTCTCCCGTATTTTTCCGTTCTCACCCGGTATCCACCCATTAAATGTTTCCCCGTAAATCTCCCGTATTTATAACCTTTATGAAATCAAACAAAAACCTTCTGGTCGTATTTAAAGTGTTTGCTACTCTCCCTCTGGTAAAGTCGGTGGCAGCATGTAAAATATGTAGACTGTGCTTTTTGCACAATAAAAAATGAAAACAATCCACTGAAATGATATAAGGCCTATAGCCTACTAATGGCAAACCATATGAAATTATAATGAATGTAGTAGCCTATGTAATATTAACAATTGACTGTATAATATGGAATTTACATTGTAGCCTATTTATTTAAATCTTCCTTATTCTCTGTAGCTCTTCTCCCTCTCTCTGCTCCTCTCTCTCCCCACTAAAGCCCACAGAACCTGCCTGAGCTTTCCAGAACAAAAAGCAGCTACTTCAGAGTTTATCATCGACTCATGATGCCTGTGCTCCTTTATCTCCTAAATATTTTGGCTACAGCCTTTTTTGTTGCAGTTTTTATGGTTGTAGTAAATTTATAAAGATGCTGTTCGTTCAGTTTTCGTAGTTTATTCCACAGTAAAGCTATATTTGTTAAGCTATAAGATGTTCACAGTAACCAGGCAAAGGCTGCTATGGTTTAAGTCTCTAACACAGATTGAGTGGAATTTGTTGCCCATGTTTCCTGGCAATAAAATAAACAGTTGTCAATTCATGATACTTTATCATCTGTTAACTTTAACACCTCTAGTTTATAATTTTGTTTATAATTTTGTTCAGTGTATATTAATTGCATTTCTGTTAATAGATCCTCCTAAAACTACATACTGACCCTTTAATTCTGCCCTTTTGGCCAGATTTCTTTTAAAGAAGAGTGGGCATACCTACCTTCATGAAGGTTAAAATTAGGGCTGCACGATTAAGGCAAATTAAGTCAAACATGTCGTGCTACAACTATCCATGGGTAATCAACAAGAATAGCCCAAACTGATATTATTATTTTTTTTTTATTATTATTTAGTACGATTTAAGGGTTGTTGGATACATGGAGTTTCATCAGTTCCCAAAGTGTGATGGGATGTACTTCATCCATTTATCATACAACCAAAGCAGGCCCCACTACTCGCCTACCACAACCTGAAAATGAGTGCTGCCATTTTGGTTGCTTGATAAACTAATCAAATGCACCCCTTTCCAGACCTGCCTGTAAACATGTCATGCATACAATGCAGCTACTGACGTTCAGTTACATGAGGCGGCTTCTGAGTGCGTGTATTCCCGTCATCAGCAGCACCTTGTCCCAGTGCTGGTTAAAATTTACTATCACTGGGCTGTTCCATGCGCTAATGTACACGCACACACAAAAATGATCTCCATCTGTATATACCAGGCCTGTTTATCTTCCACCACGCAGATTAAGCATACATTTGAACATTGTTAGAAATGGTAGATTACATGTAAATAACACAACTACGACACACAAGGCCATTTGTTTATTAAGAAGCATGTTGTTTTTCCCAAATACCTCTCCACTTGTCCATGCTGGTGTCAGATTCGAATACCAGCTGATTTCTGGAGGGTTGGCACAGGGCTGAACCAAGTGTGGTAGAAAGTAGAAGAAGATAAACTTTTTAAGGACCCAAATGTATCTGGTGAAATTTCTGTCTTTTTTTCATACTGCTATATATATATATGGCAAAAAAAATAAATAAAAAGAGATATTGCAATATCATTTATTCCCAATATCGTGCAGCCCTAAAATGTTCAGTTTTGTTGAAACAGCTGAAGTTTGGGGTGCTTTTGAACTGTATTGCTTTAAACTGGCAGTTGTTTCTGTTATTTTGTCTACACCATTAAAATCAATGAAGGTAGCCTAAATAAAAATATGACATCAGTGTCAGAGTAAATTATTACAAACAACTCAATGTTAAGTGCTCTGATCAGGGTTACTATTACTATGATGGGTAGCATAGCACTGTCAATTTATGACTAAAGTTACTCTTCAATGTCATTCTCCAGAGCTATTTCAGAAGCTTTTATGTGATCACACTGCTGGTCATGTCAGGCCACACCATCACAATATTCAGTTCTATTCCTATCTCTATTATCAGTTCTATTCTATTCCACTCAAAAACACCCGAAGCACAATCATATGATAAAAAGGGGAAAGGGTTGACTGTGCCATTATTTACCCGAGTCTGTAGCAATGGAACATTGACAGGGATGGTTCCAGATGTGTCGGGCTGTTCATCCTCAGCAGTGCACGTCAACTGGTGCTCAAGTACCTCTTCCAGGGTGTTAAACTCCTGGTAGCAGGGGAAGCACATGTACACAGACGAACTCTCCATGGCTGCCAGGGGATTAGAAATCAAAATCATTTCATAAGAAACGTAGCAATGCAAAACTGATTTGGATAAAAGATGAAACGGTTCACAAAACTCAGCACACTTAAAATATGAAAGTAATATCACAATGTGAGCCTTATACAGATGCCTACCCACCAGTACATTACATCTGAAGTTGGGTTGTGAACATTGCCCTCTCCTGATGAAAAGACATCCCTGCATATATTATCAAGACAACAGCTTGAACTCATGTGCCAGAAGGCTAACTCTGGGGTTGCCAAGATGACTCACCATGCGCTGAGCCAAGGCTAATTGTTATTTTGACCATGCAGGTTGCTGCTCAGGTAGTGACCCTGCCAAGTCTTTCTCTCTGCCATCTCATGGGCCAAGCTTAGCTCCAACATCAATTAGATATTTGCTGTAATTGGACCCAGTGCAGTCTAGCTCATGCTGCTTCTGAATTTAACTATAATCAAAACACAATCCTTCCAACTCGCTGGATACAAATCAGACCTCATACTGCAGCAGCAGAGATCTTACCTTACAAATCAAAAGAAACCCACTGAAAGACACACATCTTACCTTTGAAAGATACCAATGTGACACAGCCTCTAGTTGATAATTTTAATTAGCAGGTAAGGCCATTACTTAAGGGATACGCTGCTTTTTTATTTTCATATTGCCTACAGAAGATGTAAATCTTTGAAAATGGGTCAAAAATTCTTCGTAATGTCACAGATAGTGTTGTAGTACTCAAGACCGGTCTTGGCATCGAGACCGGTCTCGGACTCGACCACATTTGTACTCGGTCTAGTCTCGGTGTCGAACATAGAGGACTCTGGATTTTATTTCAAGACCAGTCAAGACCATAACTTTGGGAATATCATTAAATTGCTTTTGCATTGTCTGATTAAAGGTTTTCTTATCTTATTAATTTGTTAACATCCTAACTTTGATTGGATGTTAAACTTATTGCTTCAAATGCCAATAACCCTAATTGAAAATCCCTAATTAATATTACAGTATTACGGCCCCCCCTTCACACACACACTCCAAGAAAGTGAATGAGGGAGACAGCAGAAGCTGTGGCTGTCTGAGAGCAAGAGGATATGTCAGCAAAATCTTCTTAATAACATTTAGCTACCTAAGCTACAAAGAGTTAATCTGTCACACAGCAACCTGAAGAAAACACACTGCAATCTGTAAATTCTACTGTGCAAGTGACTAATTTAGTTAACATATTGGGGGAAGTAGCTTATGTAGTTAGTTTGTTAGAGACTGAGGACAGAGCATGTGGGGAAAACTTGTTCCTAAAATCATTTTTGCTTGTGATAAACAATGTTGAGACATGCCACATTAAAGCTATGTAGCTAATGTGTTAGTTAAGTTACATCATCGTTAGCTACTTGACAGCTGCATACAGCGCCCAACATTAAAGCTACGCTCCGTTATAACGGTCCCTCATATGGGTGAGAGAGCTAGCCAAGAGATGTGACAGCAGAGAGTGAAGACAGAGTAACGCGCCAACACTTCTATGATATATGTACATATTAAATAGGTTGCTCTGTATGGCCATAAGCACTTGGCACTTTACTCACTTAAGAGAGCTAATTTTGAGTTTGAATACACAGCTGCAGATCAAAAACAAATGATCAAATATAGAATAAAGTTACAAGAGTCACCCAGAAAGCCTCATGCTTTCACAAAAAACTGTATTGTATAATCAATCAATAATGATAATTATAGTGATATAATCTTACTCTAACAATATAAAAATGTTAAATAAATGTTTGATTTAATTAATTTGAATAACAAATGAATCGGCACTTTTTTTATTAGGATATTTTGTTGAGGAAAAGCGACTGAAAAAAGATTTTTCTTAAATTTAACTCATGCATTTTTGTTGAAAAAAGATTTTATAATAATAGTTTAAATATTCTACCTAAGATTTGTAAAGTGATCCACTGATTGGCATCAAGTGTTTGTTGTGACCATAAAGAATAGTTTAAAACCACAATTAACAACAACAATGATATTACATTTATTGTATAACTTATACCAAATTATATGAATTTTTTTAATGGTGATTTGTATGTGGGTGTTTTAATGGGAATGTGGATCTTTGAGATCAATTTGAGAAGTACCTATGATCTTGTTCCACATTTTATTGTGTGTCATGTAATGCGGGGAACTGGTCTTAATCTTGACTGGGTCTCACACTCCCTCGGTCTTGGTCTCGACTTGGTCTCACCCCCTAAAAGTCTTGGTCTTGTCTTGACTACAACACTAATGTCACAATAGCTTTGCTTATTGACGTGTTTAATGACACAGCGTAATAGACTTTGTCAGGCATTTGCTACACAGACAATATGTGTCAGTGGGAGATATTTACTGTTGGTTTTGGTCAGGTGGACCTGTTTATAGTAAGAGAAAAATAGATATAACCAGAGTTATCATTTAAACAGCCAATTATTATTAATAATAATGTCCCACTGCCGCCTGTTGGGATGTCTAGTCTGCTTGCATCATTCCTTTCAGCAGAAACTACACTGTCCTGGCACGGATGGTAAGATACAAACCACTGGGTTTCTGCAACACTGTCCATCTCAGCCTGGCAGTAACGTTAAACAATCAGATGCTAGGTGGTGTTCATCTGCTTTTACACTCCCATCACTGGTAGCAGTTTCCTCATTATAATTTGCCTTTATTAGTAAGCCATGTGGTGGATGACTAGCCAACACGTATGAATGTTTAACGTTACTGCGGGGACAATGTCATTCCAAAGTTGATTCACAAAGAGACACAGGAGGACACAACTACCAATAAAACGTATTTCATGCAAAGGCCGGCTAATACCAAGACTCGTGTTATCTCCTTTGACAGTTTGTTTTTGGAGGGGGGGGGGGTGTCTGTCCCGAGCTAGCACGAACGACAGATCCACAGCTAACGGTTAGCAGTTGGCTAGTAAGCCGTCTTATCTCTGATCAGTGCTGGGCTGCTAAAATGCAACGATGGCCATCTTTCTAGCAACATGGCTAACGTGTCCCTGGCGTGGTAGCTAGCTATTTTTGCTAGCTTGGAAGCTAATTTAAACAACCGTCTTATTATTCCTTGATAGCGGGCGTCGAAGACAAATCAGCTAGCGACTAAAACCCCTTTACCGCTTGGACCAGTGGTGCTTTTACTTTGAGGTACCAAGGAGAAGAAGAAGAAGAAGAAAAGACCGAAGAAGGAGGGCGGGATACGCTTCTTCGGTGGTATAATGGCGGCGACAGACTAAAAGTTAACATTAGCTGTCTCCCCCCGTCGAAATCCTCCATACATAAATATCAGTGTGCAATATGTCGCCGAAAAAGTAGCATTCATATGAAATAAGTTAAATTAATTCAACATAACTCACCTTCCTCAGACATTACCGGTGGAGGAAATGGGACAACTTCAGTTTTTTCTGCATGTTAGAAGGCTCGATCTGATTGGCTGTATCAGTCACTTCATACACCAATAGTGTTCGACTACACATAACACTGAGGGAGTTTGTAGTCCAAATGCGCGCCAGGCCCAGGACTGCAGCAGGATCAGTCAGATATACTAGTACTGAACTGTGCAGTTTGAGATACTTGTACTTTGAGAATTTAATATTTCCATCTTCTACTACTCTGTACTTATACTCCATACATTGCAGTTACAAGTTTGCAGATAAAGGTCCAACACATACATAGGCTATGACAAGATATGATGCCTTGTTGTAAATTAAACTCCAGCAGCTACAATATTAATTAATGAATTAATTAATATGCATCTTAATGCAACAGTAAAAATGATCCAATAATGTATACAATACTCTACTGTACTACTTTTACATTTGATACTCCAAGTGCATTTTACTTGAAATACCTTAAAGCAGTGTGCGCTGCTGTTTTCTGTGCTTATCTTAATAATAAGAAATAATAGTTGACAAAGCACTCCCTACTCAAGGTCGACTTACTAGCTTTTTTCCATAGCTTTGAACTATATCACAAGGTCTTCATCAGTCAATTAGGGTTTGCTCACTTGTCATGGAGACAAATCTGGTGACATGCAAGCTCAGCAGTTCTTATGATTCAGTTCACACTTCTATGTCCAGATAAAGCGCTAGTAAGTGGCCTGTCAGTCAGTGTTGTTTTGTCAAACTACAATTTCCAATGTCAAGGATAACTTTTTATGCTTATAGTCAAGCCAAAAACTGAAAAGAGGTACTAAAAGCACACGATGACAGTGTGACACAGTTGATAACTCAGGGAAAAGCAAGTAAGAGAACGCTCAGTTGGATAAAATGCTATTTGTACAAAATGGCTTATAAGAAATGTGTTAAGTTCATAAAGTTGTGTTAGTAAAATCAATACATTTTCTTTTCTTGTTCAGATTGTTTAAATTGGATCCCATATGTCCAAAATGCTGATGTCAAAATAGGTATATAGCCTTTTAAGGCCTAGTTTACACAAAGCTAGGACATACAGGCTCTAAACCAGAAAATCAACTTCTAGTCAGTTAATGTTTCCCCTTCCCTGTCTCAAACCAGAATAGTTTTTTTTCTCTTTGCAAATTGAGTTGCAAAGGAGGAAGAGCAAAGAGACGCTAGACTAAGGTTATACATGCATAGGCAAAAGTTAATTCACAAGAGCCTAAAATGGTGTCACAAGCATTTGTTTAAGCTTATTTACAAATGAAGCCTTATTGACTAGGCAGCAATACGTTCCAGACAAACAACATAAGATAGATAACACAGAAAAGTGACAATAAAATCAACTTCAAGTACAATCATGAATATTTACTTAAAACCACCTAAGTGCTGTTACTGCTGGTTTTGGTTGTTGGCAGCTATTTGTGGGTAAGCTACATAACCTTAAATACAGCACACCTCCAGTAATGGTTAATTTAAGCTGACCTTTGCCTTTAGTTAACACAGTGCAGTATTGAAAGCTTCAGTATTGTGGATGTGGTAATAATGCCTTTGATTATAGTACGTCAGATAGAAAATGGGCCTATTTGTACAATTTGTGAAAATTCAGATTGTTATTTTAAGCCACACAGAATGCCACATAAACTGTTATATAAGATATTAGTTTCAGAATTGTTTTACTACGTGGTGACACAACATTCTGAGTTTGTTACTGCAGCTCCTCAGGGATTAATTACTGACTTTTTTCAACTTTATTATGCAGTGGCAGCAATAACTGTCTCATGTGATGTCAACTGCACTTGATTACAGAGGTTTATAAAATCTACACAATCCACATTTACGCTGCTCAGAGTAAGTACAGCCAGTTGCATCAAGTATTAAGTCAGTGAAAGTATAGACTAGCCCACTCCACTCATTTCCCAGAATTACACAGTGCCCCGATTTGCCCCGTTAGCTGATTGGGAAGATGAGCAGCTCCTCCAGACTGCTTAACCTGACTCCAAATGGTATTAAAGAGCAGGCCGGGCGCTCAGCCAGAGGGGCCAGGGCCACTCAGGATCCACAGAAACTGTGCAATCTGCTCGACACACTGCAGAATAACGTTATTCAACCTTGACATATCATATCACCCAGACTTAGGAGCCATGTTTTTCATTAAAGGCTATGGTTCAGAGACTGTAGGTCCCAGGAGAAAGAGGCTGTCTTTGTTACGCAGTGCTGATTGTTCAGCATCCCCACACATGTACCTTCTTCATCATTTTCTTCCTCATCTCTTGTTGTGTAGTTTTCACTGTGTCTCTAGCTTGAGGCTTGTGAGCGCAGCTGGTGTTGCACTCCTGCAGTAATAGGCTAATAAGAATGTGCTTTTCTCTAACAGCAGGATACAAACACTATTTGACATGATATCTGATATAAACATTGATAAGAGAATTTTATGGATTTTTGGTTGAAATTAAATAACAGAATGGGATGCAATTTTGGGAGGGGTCATTCATAAGTATAAATCTGTATCTGTTAGGAATGGAGTTGTTGGGTGTACATTTTATTGTGTTTATTATGTCTTTTTTATACCCAACAAGGTACCAAACAGATACACAGTTCTCCACTCTGGGGACATCTGCCTGTCAGTCAGTCAGTCAGTCACTCCACCAATTTAGTCCAGATTGAAATATCTCAACTACTGGATGGCTTTCTAAGTAATGGCGTACATTCATGGTTACCAAAGCTTTAATCCTCATTACTTTGGTGATCCACTGATTTTACTGTTGCGTCACCATCAGGCCAAAATTGCAATTTGTCTCATACTTTAGTTTATATAAGTTACTGCAGAACTACTGACAGCTGTGCTTTGTGTTTAGTGCTAATTAGCAAGTGCTAAACAAGATTGAAACTAAGATGGTGAACATTATATCTGCTGACCATCAGCGTGTTAGCTTTGTTATTACCTGCATGTTAACATGCTGATACAGTTGATGTAGTTCAAAGCACCATTGTACATAAGTACAGCCTCACGGAGCCGAAAGCTTGGTAGACCCTCATTGTTCTTGTTCACTTTTTTTGTATTTATTAGAGTCAATGAGCTGGATTTGTTCCCCTGCAAAAAAAATGATAACAAACTAATTTCAGGAGTTTTCAAGTGGAGCATTTTCGTAATTATGAGGCTAGAAATAAGGCATGTTCTGTCAGCAAACATTTTTGAAATTACATCTACGTCCAAATTGAGTTTTCACCCATTAGATTATTTTCTGACAACCTTCCATATTACATATCTGATATGATTCATCTCATTTTAATTCTAAGCAAATAACATACACCAAAGTAGAAAGGCACCAAACCCTCATATGCCCTGTTTATGACAGACTTTGTAAATTAATTGAAATCCATGAAACGTATAACAAATCAGAACAAAATACCATCTAAAATTATTAAGGGTATGTCTCAGAATTTATTATCTTACATTAGGGTAAACTGCTGCTCTGGGTGACATTATTAAGATGTCATCTCTTCCCGAGAACACTTTCTTTTCATAACACCTCTAACCCTCTAACCTCTAACATGCACTTCCTGTGCTCTTCTTCTTCTATCCCCTTACAATTCTCTTGTATTGATTGCACTTTTTTGTTAACTCTTACTTTTTTCCCTAGGTATTTACTTTACATGATGATGCCATACGTGCTATTAGTTCTTACTAGAATTTATTGCGGCTCTAACTAGGATGTATTGTCAGTTGTAATTCTCGTGCTGTATTGATGCTTTGTTGATGCTTGTATGTTGTTCCTCAAATGTAAGTCACTTTGGATAAAAGCATCTGCCAAATGAGTAAACATAAATGTAATTGTTAACAATTTGTCAAATGATTTCTAAATTCACAACAGGTTGGCAATATTGTGCTAATGCATTAGTCCCTGTTTACTTAATGTTCTGTCTGGATGTACAGTAGAGGTGTTGTTTTTTAATGTATGTTGTACAGTATATGTTCTGTGTCTGCAACTCGAAACACATGTTGAGCTGTTGTTAATGACGACAGAAAATAAATTGACAGCAACAGTTGTCATTTATGTTAAAATGTCTGTTAAACCGTAACTGCTATATAACTGTGCCTGTAGCGGTTACTACTATCAACAAAATGTTCAGCTTAAATCAGCTGCTAGAATGATTTAAAAAGGCTTTGACGGTATGTTTACTTCTTAATAATCCTACTAATAACAAACATAAGTCACCCAGTATCACAGGATATCTTCTGTCTTGCCAAAGTTTTTCTTCAAAACCAATCACACAGTGCTAAATTTCCCCTCGGGGATCAATAAAGTATTTCTGATTTCTGATTCTGAAAATATCTTTATGAATCCAGACCAACGACTGGGCCTGGTCATACAAGGGCAAAGTAATAATTTATGTGAGCTGAACCTGAGGGGCAGGCTTAAAGGTTCTGCCAGGTGTATAAATATTTTCAACTAAAAACAGAGAAAGACGAAAGATGAAAGTTCACAGACAGCCTGAGACTTCATTAAATCCTGCTCTTCTTTTGTGAACAGTAGATCTGAATGAAACATTTGAGGCGCTCTTGTGTGGGAAAGACTTCCTTGGCCCTTATTAAGCGGCCAAGAAGATATTCAACCGTGTTCGACATGTGTGCTGAAGGTCCTTGAAGTCATGGAACCAAATGAGACTTGAATTCTATGTTATGATCCGATACCTTGAAGCTAAAGTGCGACTGTCTCAAAAAAAAGAGAGATAAAGGTTAAAAGAGAGCATCGCTGAAATACATCACCATAAGACAGTATGAATTCCATTATGTTAATTGTTCACACGTCTGATATTATCAAACTGTCAAAGTGCAAGATTTCATCAGTCAAGGTCAAAAAAAAATTTCACTGACATTTGCAATAGCATGGTTCCCATAACAACTGTCCTGATTTCATCATTTTCCACATGGTTCCTTCCAGAGTTCACTGATCCACCCGACTCCACCGCAGAGCATAACAAGAGCTTCATTTCAATAATCCCTCCGTGAAAAAGTTTAATTCAAAGCTAAAGTAAATCCTATGACTCACACCTGATGTTAAATGTGTGTTATTAACATTTCTTGAAGGAGAAATGGTACATGTATCATTAATAAAAGAAGCCTAGAAACTAAAAAAACAAAAACTGCACTCCAAGAAAAGAAATAGATTTGTTACTGGCTCAGCGCCCACCTTAGCTGAGCACAAACTTAACATTTGCTCTTACCCTCTTCACACTGCTCATCGCGGTGATGCATGACTGAAAACAGATTGCATCCTGGGTTACCAGCAGGAAGAGAAAAATGCGAGATGCATCAGTTGTTTCCACCCTATCTCCTGAAGGATGGCCCAGCTGTATCAGCCAGAATTACACAACAAAATCTCCAGGCCTCCTCACCCCCAACTCACCATCATCTGGCTCACTGCATACATCTTCATTAGCATGTTTCATTACTACTTTATTCTGCAGGCGTGGAAGAGGTACTCAGAACCTTTACTTAAGTAAAAGTACCAATTCAAACCTGTGATAATACTGTTACAAGTCCTGCACTCAAAATATTAGTGAAGTAGAAGTGCAGAAGCAGGGCTGGACTGGGACAAAAAATCGGCCCTGGCATTTTTGGCTGAGCCAGCCCACCAAAATCGGTCGGACACCCCTCACCAATACACCATCGATCCATTTAGGGGGTCAGATTAGGGGTGTGATGAAACACTGAGACGTAACATTTGCACAAGACTGGTGTCCATGACTACAAAACAAGAATATATTTTAATAGACCTACTATTTGGAAAAAAATATTTATAGATAAAATATTTGATTGGGGGGTCTGGGTGTCCTCCCCCTGAAGATTTTTAGCATTAAACACTTAATTTCCTGCATTCTGGAGATATTTCCTGCATCAATTTATGGTGGAAAAGTATTTATTTTTATAAAGGGAAGCACTATATTCAAGTGGCAGGTAACAATTCACAATATATAAATATATAACATATAATGCAGTAATCAGTAGCTTATTATTAATTTTTGCTTAAGTTACTTTTTTTTTTGCATTGCATTGCAGGTTTCAGTATAGAAAATAACCCAATGGGCCGCTGTCCATGCTTTATGGGCCGATCGTTGGCCCGTTTTTTAAAAACAGTTATATAAATGAATAATTCACGTTACACCGGCCCTTAAGGTGCGTTGGCCCACTAGGCATTTGCCCGGTATGCCAGATTATCAGTCCAGCCCTGTGCAGCAGTAATGTCAGTTAATGTTATTTAAAATATCAGTAAATATATAAGTAAAAGCACTTAATATGCAGCAGAATTTTAATGTCATCTATTTGAGGTGGAGCTTAAAACCATTAAAATAGTTTGATGTTCATTTTGGTTTGTTTAATTTACTGTAACAATGCACTGTAGATTATAAAACCATTATAGGCGTTTTAAATTCCTAATCTGAAAGTAGAGCTGCCAAATAAATGTAGTAAAGTAAAAATTAAAATATTTGCCTGAGTATAAAAAAAACATTAAATTGAAATACTCAAGTACAGTTACCTCATAATTATACTTAAGAACACCATGTAAATAAATCTAGTTTGTTACTTTGTACGACTAGTATTCTGTATCGTGGCAAGATTATCCTGCGAGGAGACTCTGGGGCAAAAAGGAGCTGTTTTTCCTCTCATTCTGTGTGCTTTGTGTAGTGTGTTTTTATACTGAAATATTTGGACTTCTGATCAATTGGTGGCCGATACATTATTGGTGGATAATTTAAGAAAATAAATGATAGTTATTGTTCTGATGATGTCACCCAAAACTCCATTCTTAACCGTTTCATAGTTAGTAAACACCAGTGGTGGAAAATAACTAAGTGCAAGACCATTTCCTGCTACATGAAACTTACATTCCACTATATTTCAGGACAATAGTGTACATTTTACTGCACATTTATCAGACATGTAAAACCATATGATATGAAGAGTTAGCATTTCCACCAAAGAGGCATTTCCCATCTAAACGTCCAAGATGGTTTTATTTTAAATAAGTGTTTCAGGCCCAAAGATGTCACATAATCCAATATTTTACAATACAAGCAAGGATTAGAGAAGTCAAAAGAATGAATACCACTTTAAGCAGAACTTAAATCTCCCATTAATCATCCTGTTAATCGTCTCATGACTCCCCCAGATGTATACCTTGTAGGAAGGATTGGACTAGTAAAATGCTAATTACACATTGACGCATCCGTAAACAAAATAATAATGTTATATATCTCTATATCTCTATCAATTACAAGGGGCCATTTAGTACTTTTACTTGTTTCTTTAAGTACATTTTGATGATAATTCTTCTATACTCTCTCTGGTACTAAAGAAACCAGAGATTGGCAGAACTGAAAATAAACTTACTTTTTCTGTCCTCTTCGCATTTTTACAATTGCATCGGTCACAACAAACAGATAATCTGTTATCATGATTGGCCCTAAAATTCCAGAGCGGTGCATGCTCAGATGATTACTACTTAGTCCTAGAAATATTAACCGGTGATTTGACAAAAAAGCATTAACCTGGGAATATAACATAAGCACAAAACAGAAACCATGAACGTCATGAAATTACAATTTAATGCAGGGAACCTCTTTAAGACAAGGCCTCATTATCAGCTACTAAAGGAGGACCAACCTTAAGCCCAACACATACCAGTTCATATTGTTCTTATTGGCAGCTTCCATGCAAATTATCAATTCAATTAGGTCAAGCCTGCCACTTTGCCCAGTTGGTAATCTGGCCTTGTGGTGCACAGAAGGACTTCAACTAGCATTGGGGAGACTTGACTTCAAATTACTGATGTTCTTTCTATACACAGGACAAGAAATCAAAGAAACTAATAAACATGCCGTTTTAATGTCATTGTCACTTGCATCCCCACTGTGATCATGTAAACATGGCTCGCTTATTCAAGTATAATTAAATCAAGTGAGACAGGAACAGTTTCATCACTTTATTAATGAGTTTAATTATTTATACCAACAAACAAAAACTGTCTCTCTCCCACCATCCCTCTCTCTTCATCATCTCCTTAATCCAACCGTTCTGTTCCCAACCATGAGATTCTACCCTCAGACAAGGCTGATAAAAGAGCAGGCTCACAGCAAATTAAAAACAAAGTGTGACAGATCAGAAGGAGGGGGGAAAAAAAACATTAAAATAGCACATTTAGTCAGCTCTTCATTTAGGAAGGAGTCAGGAGTACAGAGAACAATGTCCATGGTCTGCCAGCACACATACATTCCCTGCAGCTAAGTTATCTGTGAAGCATACACACTTGTACTAACAGGTCAAACCTGTTAACACTCATACGACACACAGGAAGCGAAAACAGACACGGTCGGACACAGGAGATGATACATGTCAGTGGACAGATTCATTATTTCCCCTCTCCTCCAGACAGACAGACAGACAGACAGACACACCAGGTGATCCCTCCCAACATCGCGACCTCCATAAACCCAGAAGCTTGTAACATTCCCTTCACATTGAAGTTAAATGGAAAACTGGATTTCCACCTGTTGGCTAGCATGTGCCACACACACACACACACACACACACACACACACACACACCGACGTCTGGATTTGAGTACAGTATCTTGGATGTGAAATTGTTTTGCATGTGACATTGCTGGACAAAACATTTGGGAAAACAATAACGACCCAAAAAAACAAACAAACAAACCTTCAATTTTACCACCCGAGTGGAAAATAAAAGATCCCCGTCCCCTTCCAAAAAACACAATACAATAAATAAAACAGTTATGACAACATTTATGGGGGAAAAGGGAAAGTCGTAAAGAGAGAAATGGAGGGAGAGAGAATAAATGAAACATTTTGTTCTGTGTTTCCCCTCCTGAACCAGGGACTGAAATGAAATCGTATTTACAGACTGCGACTGAGGATAAACAGTCCGGCCGCTGTTGAGCCGGTCTACTAGAGAGAAAAAAAAAAAATTACAAGAACAACAATATAATAACAATAATAACAAAAATAACAAAATAAAATAAAAGGTACTTGATATTTACAGTTTAGCAGTGAAAAAAGGAGGAGGAAAGAGGGAAAGAGAAGGCAGAGGGGATGAGGACAAAAAGATATGGAAGGGGAGGCTCCAAAAGCTGTTGGGTTTCAGGGGTTCGAGCATCATTTCTGGTCAGATTATTACTGAGATTAGTGGAAGTAACAGTGTGGTCAACTTGGGCTGAACATGCACATTTGCGTGGTGGAAGAATGAAAACTAGTCCATGCGGACAGCGGCTGCGTACATCATTCAAGATCAGTTCCTAGCATCATCACAGGACAAGAAGAACATGATATGAGTGTCACAGGTAGGCTGTTTGGGAAGGGGCAGAGAGGGTTTTAAACAAATCTCTCACAAACCAAAGACAATTCATTCATACTCCTCCCCCTGCACAAACAATAACTGTGTATACTATCTGAAATGACAATGACGAGCCAGGTGAGCAGTGAAAGCGGCCAGTAGTCTCTCTGTGCCCTCTGCACCTGATGTCACCATAATAAAGCTAATATGAAACCTAACACCGCAAAGTGACATAATTAGTGAGGGGACTATGCACCCTACAGTGCTGGGCAGCTGTGTTTATGAGACACATTGAGGCTTCTGGATAAGATGCAACTGGAGACCCAAACCAACGGCTCCCTCTGTGTGAAGTTATATTAACAGCTGGACAGGACACGTAACTCGCCCCTTTGCTTCCCCTCTACTCCCTTTGGAGATGTGCAATACTCACTTGAAAATTAATTAACATGAAACGCTTGGTTTCCAGCTTAACCAATGAAAACAAGAGCTTATACTGAAGAAACTGAAGATGTGCACTCTGCTCGTATAAAGCTCCCTCGCATTCACATAAAAGGCAGTTGAGGAGCTAATATTCAAAAAGGAACTGTAAAGACAGGCTGTGGTGCCCCCCTTTGTAATAAAATTTAAAACCACCTCTTATCTAAAATGACAATGAAAAATCAGCCAATATGTTCTGTCTGGTATCAAACTGGGAGATTTTAAAAAAGTCTTCACATTTGTTCACCATTGGGCTGGGTGAACTGACAATACTTGAGTATGAGTTCAGGGTAGAAAATGACAAAAGACACCAGTCTAAACAGTGTGTTGTACGATCAAACACTGTGTTGTACAAGTGTGCCATTTTTGACCCTTCTAAGGATGATTGTCAATATTCGTCAGGCCTTAGACGTGGCCCTCATTCTCAACTCTGTAGCCAATCAGGACCCCCATTCAATGGCACCACGGCCACACATAAAATTAGCTAATGCAAATAAAATGAACATAAAAGAGGGATAAAAGTCAACTGTAGATTATAATACAGAAAATCCACATAACATGTACAACCCCCCTCCTCATCTCCAAACTTCCTACGCAACCAAATAAAGTTTCTTTATTTAACAGGCCAGACAAGGGCCACATGGACTGCAGCTTAAAGTTAGCCCAAGCTTGGCTACCTAAATGTCCCTAAAACAACCCCACTCCCTCCCTGAAGCTAACACACACAGAAATCGCTTTCTATTGAAAATGGTTAAAAATCAGGGATAACAGCAACGCTGTGTTTGTGTGGGTGTGTATAGTTATTCCTTTTCTATCTTAAGAGTTTGGAGCCAGGAGGAAGGTTGAGAGGGAGAAGAGCAGAGGAGAGAAAAGGAAAAGGGGGAAGACTAAAAGAAAGGATGACAGAGGGATGGATGCTCAGGTGCTGTTGTTGATGGACCCAGGTGCTGAGCTGGGCTGGGCGGAACTGTCTGACACACTGCCCTCTGCAGGGAGAGAGAGGGAGAGCACACTGGTTACCACCACCAAGATTATCTCACAGAAAGAATTCACAGACATATCCTGCTCTAAAAGCAGAGTTTCAAAATGGGTCAGAGTTCAGACTGTGGTAATTCTTAGTTTTTGGTCAGGGTTATATAGGCCAGAAATTAACCATGTTGGCAAAAGACACTACTTTTTAACTGTTAGCTGAGTATCATTGGACAATCCAAATTGAGTGTTACTTGCAATTAGGGTTCAAACCGCAAAGCAGTAAAACCCTATTGAGCTTTTGTTGGTTTATTATCATCACCACCATCGGCTCAAGTTGCTGTTAACGTGGAATGAGCTGGAAATGATGTGCAAGTTCTTCCACAGAAATATGAGCCCAATCGGCTTTCATGGTGGCGCTCTAATTAAGGCCCAAAAATGAAATTTTGGAAAGGATCTCATGTCACTTGAAATTTATCAAACAAGTCTAGCTCAATATGCTCTACAAAATAGCCTCTTGGACACTAAATGTCAGTCATGATGGACTTTTGGATGTGAAAAAGAGTACAATGAACTTTTTGGATTTTGAAGCACTGCAGGAAATGAGCAAGATTGGATGAAAAAAACATGGCCGCCATCAACCAAAATATCTTTGCAGGGCAGGGCTTAGCAGGAAATTGGCCATAACTCAATAATGATATCTCCAATCATCATAAATCTTAAAAGATATCATCAGTCTGTGTTTGAGAAAACCACACATGCCAAAACCGTGTACCTCAAAATCCAGAGGACAGCAATTTCACCAATTTTGGTATGCATGCTCTAAGGGCCAAGTATCTAAAAAATCTGAAGTGCCATATTGACTGGTGCAAGTCGGCGTGGCCTATCACATATTTGCTCATTACTCAAGATGCCTTTGAACAATCCTGACTGACTCACACCATCTCCTCAAGATACACAGTTTCAATAAAATCCAATGAAGGGAGGACGAAGGGCAGAACTTTGAGTGTGCATAAAATACAATGAAGAAAAAAAAGTGTGTGATTGGGCTCACTCTTTCAAAGAGAACTAAACCAGTTAAAGTGGCTTTGCTCGGCTTTGAAGCTTGAAACCTGTTTGTTGCTGCTCACGGCTTCAATTTTGGGTAATTGAGATGCTTCATTCAGTTGAGCAAAAAAGGGTTTGAACCCAAAATTGCCACTTGTGACTATATTTATTTTGTAAATTCATTCCAAATCAAAAACTATAAATACATGCAGAATGTATAAATAAAAGCCCAGCATCAAAAACATTTTATGTTGTGACACATACCATGTGAGGCAGGCGATGTCTGTGCACGAGCGTGAGGAGGAATGAGTGTGGAGTTCAACTGGGGCTGGATAGACAGCTCTGAAGGAGCAGAAAAGGCAAACAAATGTTTAATCACTCATAAAATACCTTCATTGCAATGACATGCCAAACCATGAGCAACAAATTGAAGGTCATCAGAGGTCAAATACAAGAAACCTATAGTGGAGCAAAAAAAAAAAGAATGAATGATGATGGTGGGCAGGTAAACTGACCGATGGGACTGAAGTTGAAGAGGAGGGGCAGTTCTCGTCCACTGGGCAGGCGGGTGTTGGGCTGGCGCAGCTCATCAAAGAAGGCGTGCGCACATGCCTCCAGGGGAGACAGCCTGGTCACCGGCGTGTATTCCAGCAGTCGAGAGCAGAGGGCGATGGCCTCTGGTGGGGTACGAGGCTTAAACACCTGACAGAAGAGAGAAATTTAGGGTTCTGTATTAACATACTCCGTGTGACCATGGCAACCATAGAAACTACAGGGAGGGATAAGATACAGGAGCTGATTTTCCTGTATCCAAGTCCCCCGAATAATACACCAGCAGAGAACAGCCAGATCAATAAGGAGAAACATATAGGAGATATTGCTCCAAAGTGTTTGTTGTTTCATAGTCTGATTATCCAGTCTGGGACAATAAGCAATATTTATGATAATAGTTAGCAAAACTTGGCATCATATTGCTAATAATTTCCTCTATACCCCACTTTATTTAGCTGCGTGATTAGTTTATACAGGTGCATCAAAACATTTGAATATTGTGGAAAGGCACATTGTGAGCACCAGAAGCAGACAGAGATTAAAAAGATCAGGTGTTTTGAGTAAATGAGCTGGTTAGAACTCTTCTCAGGTCGACAATTATGCAAAAGATACGCATTTTGAGATACCAGAGTTTTCATTTTTCATGAGCTGTAATCGTCTCTTAATTAATCATCTAGATTAAAAACAAAAAAAAAAGGGCTTAAAATATTTTACTTTATGTGTAATGAATCTAGAAAATATATAAGAATATACAAATATATAAAAGAAAGAAAGAAGTATGGACTACTTTTCTAATCTGAAAACAGACTAGTCTATTTCTATGTTGACGTAAACCATCAAATTCCAATTTCTTATTTTGGTGTTTTCTTGTCCCATAAAGGGCAAAAAAAAAAAAAATCATATAAACTCTAAAACCTCATACTGATGTGTGGATAACGGCTATCCAGTATTATATTCTCCAGTAGTGTGAACATACCTTTGTCCAAGGGTGTGCTTTGATCTGTGGGAATTTGAACTCTGTGTAGTTAGGGTTCATCTCCCTGATCTGCTCCCTTGTTGGTGTCCCCAGAACCTGACAAACAAGGCAAGTGTGAAAAGTTAATATTCATTAATATTAATCACAATCATTGGTGTATCCTGCAAAATGTGGAGGAAGGATTATCAGTGTGGATGATAACATAAATACCCTTTGTTATATTAAGTGTACAGCTTGCATTTTCCTTCTGGATATACTGTTCTTCAGTTAATAATATCTGTATTTTAAAATACTATATTTAATTTAAGTACACATGCATTGACTGGTGAGGTAGAACGTAGCATAAACTTTGCTTACATGAACCAATCAATCAATGGATGTGTCTTTTTCCCTAGTTCTTATAAACGCAGAACAGTTTCTTAATACCCAAAGCCTATACTGACAGTAGTTTCAATTCCAAACTATCTCTTTTCATCTAGCAGCTTGTGCCATCAGTTGGCTTTCAGCCACTGTCTGTAGTACCCCTACTGTACCTTGATGATCTCTACTAGCTGGTCCACACCACTGTCCCCGGGGAAGATGGGCTGGCCTAGCAGCAGCTCAGCCAGCACACAGCCGGCTGACCAGATGTCAATGTTGGACGTGTAGTCGGTGGCACCAAAGATGAGCTCCGGGGCACGATAGTACCGTGAGCAGATATAGGACACATTCGGCTCCCCCCGAACTAGCTGCTTTGCACTAGGAGATGGTAGAAGCAAGACAAGGCAGAAACAAACAGTTGAGGAGGGCAGTGCCATTCAACATGACACTTTCATTTCTGTGTGTTTGTTTTCATGAAACCACAGCATGTTAGCTACCAAGACAGAGAGGTAAGAAGACATATGACAGATCAACACAGGGACAGTCAAAGACTGAGAAAGAGATGGCTACACAAACAGACAGCCAACTAAACACGCACGCTGAGACACAGACATTCACCACAATGGAAAGAATGATAGACAGAGACGTCCAGAGGCAGCTTTGATACTGACCTGCCAAAGTCACAGAGTTTGAGGATGGCAGTCTCTGGGTCCACCAGGAGGTTCTGGGGCTTGATGTCTCGGTGACACACGCCCTGGGAATGGATATAAGCCAGACTGCGGAACAGCTGGTACATGTACACCTGAGGGGCGACAGAAGGGGTTGGCATAATGCCCAACAGTGTATAACAACTTAGACAGAATCATACAGATATTCCAAGAAGAAAGCAAAACAACATTTCAGGACACCAAACTTCACTAATGTCACGTCTTTTCTTTGTTCTCATGTTTAGTCAGGTGATTTATGGCTAACGGGGAGGTGTCTAGCTCAGTGCTCAATCAGGGTTTCTGCAGGGTTAGGGTTATTTTTTCAGTACTTCCTAGTAGTATATAATGTCTGGTTGTTACAGGTCTGATGATAATGACAGAAACCCCAAAACAGAAGGATTTATCAGCCTCTTGCGAGTACAGTCCGCTATCGCAACATTCCCACTTTTAGTTTATAGATGTATAGTGTCTCCTGACGGGCTGCAACTGGACACAACAACATTTTATAACTAACATTACTGGCTACAGCAGGCAAAAGAAAATATTTCAGATTTACGTAAATTAAATAGAAGACTTTTTAATAGTGTGTTTAGAAAGTGAATTCAATATTTTTTTACCCTGTCCATGAATTGCATTGTATAAATTCAGACATTATAATGTATACGATCCAGAAATTAAAATTTCATTGTCATTTAAACTGGCACACAGTACGTGTGACCTTAGCCGACCCAGCTATGGCAGTGGTTCCTAGCCTGGGAGTCGAGATCCTCCACTAGATCAAAAGATAAATCTGAGAGGTTGTAAGATACTTTTTCGTACAGAAGAGAAGAAAAATATTGTTCTGCTGCAAAAATATAGATTTGTTTTTCAGAGTTTTCTTTAACCTTAGCTAAATTCTTGCAAAAAAATGTTTAAGGAGGCAATCAATTTTAATCTCACAATTTGTAAACTAGACATACATAGATGTGTGTGTGCATAGATTTTCACTTCTACATGTGCCTTAATTTTGTTTGTGGGTACACTATGCAAGCAGCTTTGTAGCATCTGATGAGGCGCTTCTATAACACAACGATGAAAAAAATTCTCTAGGGGTTATATGAGGATGGTTACAATCCTTATCCAACTCCTATTTGTCTACACATCCTAGGTCAATGATGTCATCCTTGAATAAAAATTACTCACACAGTTAAGTCTGCACCCATTTAATGCGTTTGTGGAATGCAGGCAGTAAGCATCTTAATATGACAAATCACTGTCATCATCACCATTATCGTCATTATTACCCCCATGATGCAGTGACAGCAGGCCGGCCACAGATTACAAAATGATTACAGACAAGATGACTGAGAGATGATGGTTAAAAAGGGGGCAGAGAGAGTGAAGAGGAAAACAATGAGAGACGTGGCGAAAAACATGAGACCCAGGGGAGAGGGAGGGGGAGAAGACGACCCCGTACATGCTGTGATAGAAGTGTGTCGCTGGAGGATGGAGGGATGAAGGAGGAGAGAGAAAGCAAGAGAGATCAGTATGCATCTCAAAGCCACATGGGAAGCTGAGGTAGGGAAATGGGCCATGAGACAGCAATAATGTCCTCTCTGCTGCTACAAACACAGTAAACACACAAACACTCTCTAAAACGAGCACCCTTTTAAACAGAGAACCAAGTGTATTGCAAACAGATTCATTCCCAGGGGACCATCTTTCCCTTTATGTTTTCATAATCCTTGAACAGTGAGCTGCATGTGGAAAACAAAACCGGAAAATACCTACTGTTTATTACTTCCACAGGCAATTACTGAACAAAATGTTACTTTCAGTTTCCACGAGTTTCTTTTAAAAATGCTAAATAACTGATGAAATACTATTCAAAAGACTGGGATGAAATATTTAAATGTAATCTCTTATTATTTGACACAGAGAGATAATGACCTAGCATGGAAACCAGTCATTAAAAATCAAAAAGTACAAAATCAGACCTATTCATCCAAGTGAATATATGATCCATATTCCTTGTCAGAGTTGCAGATTGTGTCTTAAAGTCTCATCTTTTTAGAATTAAATATTTACAGTAGTATAATTCAAACCTCGAAAGCACCAAGAGCAGAAATTTCTACCAAAGATGGACAATTCTCCAATGTGTAAAGCAGCTGCCTTCCTAACTGATCGTACTGTCAAAAATTAACGAATGCAGATTTACAAGTTAGAGCCAAAATTCATTCCAGATGCATTAATCCCACACCACCACCTAAATGTACTCAGAATTTATGTCCCTTCTCAGAATTTTTAAGATGAACTGACAGAAGTGAAAACATAACATCTGCAAACATCTGGACTACAGGTTTGTCTGTAGTCAGAAAGACCAGATACACCTTTCATTTATGGTACATGAAAAGAAGAATGAATTAACCTTATGATGCCTTTAGTCGCATGGTGAAAGCAGTAAGGGCAAAATGCCCAGGAGCACATCCAGCGTTATCTACCCACCTTAACATAGATGATAGGGATGGTGGTCTTGGCCTTGTTGAAGTGCCGAGCCACCCTGTACACTGTCTCAGGAACGTAGTCCAGCACCAGATTCAAATACACCTCATCTTTCTGGAATGAGGGGAAAACAGGTAAGAGGACTGCAATAATTAGGGGTGGAAAGTGACATCTACTACTACTGTAAATCGGATGTTATGACAACAATCCAATCTAAAATAATATATTGGACTTCACATGGGGTGAGTAAGTTAACAATTATAATTAGTTATAATTATTCTAGGTGACTGACAATAAGATAAGTTAAACATTTATGCTTTGCACTTAACATCTCACATGAATACTTGGCTGCAAGCAATGATTACAATGATTACATTTCGTGCAGCTCATTGCCACAATATTTACACTTTATAAGTAATAACACATCTATCATCACAAGTGTAAATAATTGATTAGCCATAGTAAATACTGTTAGAGCACATTGCAGTGTAAACAATGTTTGACTCAAATTTGAATATTTGAGTATTTTAATGCCCTGTGACATCAATGCAATACTTAATTCATTAACTATAAAATCTTTCATTATGAAATATGATACATTAATGTCTACTCTTCAGCGGAGTTAACATACAATGACTTATATGGGGATTCTTTATGGAAATACTGTGCTATGCATGCTGTGCCACAGTATGCATCGTTGCGCATGGCTTATATATAAAAATGCTTTTTGATCTGCTAACAAATATTTTGTTTCTTTAACATACAGTTCAGAGGTTATGGACTAAAACATAAACCTGTTCATCATTCTATATCTCTGGTGTTTGTTAAGGCTTTAGGGTATGTGTGAGAATGCCTATGAAATGTATGGTTCATAACAGCCCTGTATAAAATATTATGTTTTTCATGAGTTTGTATTTTTTAAATGTTGTCTACACAGTTTTGTTGCGTCACATGCCCTCCAAGGCAAATTCTAAAACTGTTTGTTCCTTTAAGTATTCTAAGAATCATAACATTGTCATTTATTAAGGAAAATTTTCAAGTAGAATTACACACATGGTTTTAAGACTAGCAGTGGTGAAATGTAACTTGAATTTTAATTTTAGGCTACTTTGTACATCAATTATAAGAAGGGTTGGATCACTATATAAAGCAGTTACTTTGCAGATTAATATTTACTTACAAAACCTAAATTGATAATAGTTTATAAAATGATGTATTGTTACAGATGAAAGTATCCAATGTGTTAAATCAACTTCCTTTCAATATATTGATATTTCCATATCAACTGGCAAAAAGGATAATTTGATATGTGACCTTGGGGTGAGGTAGTTTTGCCATACTGTTTTCAAGGTCAATGACCTCTGAAGATCAAAATAATATATCTATTTAAAAATATAACACTGACAGGGACCATTTTGCAGAATCATCAGTACATTGCTGCTATGTCGTCAGATGGAGACACATTCAGGGCAAAAGCAAAAACACAATAATAATCTGAGCAATTCAGTATAGGAGTTTGGACTGTTAAAACTTCAAGTAAAGACTTTGAATTTGATGTACAATAAAGATCACCATCAACTTGTCTAAAACCTGTCTATGAATCATCCTGGGTGGGTAGTGCTTCATCTAGAAACTTGATTCCTACCACATAAAATGTCAAGTCAATGCATACACACCTTCTCTCCGCTGGAGTAGAAGAAGTAACGTAGCCTGACTATGTTGCAGTGGTCCAATTTCCTCATAATTTGCAGCTCCCTATTCTACAATGAAGAAAGGAAAAAAGAAAAGGGAGAGACAAGGAAACATTGGGAATTGAGCAAAAATATGACTTTCATAGCAAACTGGCGCACGGTGTTAATTCAGGACAATTTCAGAATATCATCATACTCAAATCCACTGAGTGAATGAGCAATGCTTAGAAAAAAATATACATTAAGTCATCTGCGTCTACCAAAATCCACCACAACATTCTTTGAAGATGCAAAGCTCCTATTTAAAGCATTTCACTTACTGTAATTATCTCAGAGAGTCAGCCTGTCTTAAGCATACCTTAAACCTCTTGTCTTGGAGAACTTTCTTAATCGCCACCATCTCCTGGCTTTCGATGAGGCGAGCCTGGTAGACCACTCCAAAGGAGCCATTTCCTATAACCTTTATGTCTGTGTAAGACACTTCCTGTGGGCGATCAGGGCCCTGGCCGGGTGTGGCTACCACGGTCGTCACTTTGCCGCTGTCTCCTGTGGATGAAAGCACAAATATACCTCGTCAGTAATAAAAATGTAAACATCCAAACATAATGTAATGAAATCATAAATGGCATAACTAGCAGCAATGTTTTTCATGGATACATTGATGTTCTGATATTTGATAAACACACCCACTCCAATACAGCCTTTAAACAAGTGTCCCTAAGAGAGGGAAGCTAAACATCAGAAAGCACTGCGTCCTTCTCTAAATGGTTGTGACCTATGTGGTGGCTCCCCAGACACTCTCCACTGGCTGGTAATGCACTGTTGATACTTATTTCCCACTGCTCCCCTGGGTAAAACTAGCCTAAACCCCTTTCATATTGGAAAAACACAAGTAGTTCAGGTCTACTGAACCAGCGTTCCTTCTGAGTTAAATCAATTCATAAGAGACTTTAGTCAAAGATAAATCCCTTGTCACACAATTACCAGAGACTTGAGTCTACAAGAGTATCCCAGACATATTACCTATGTAATGTAACCTATGATCAAATAAAGAAAACCAGTAAAACGTGTTTGTATTCCTGGCGGCCAGCTTCATTATTTTGCATACCCAATTCCTCCACCTGTGGCAAATTTTTAGAAAGTTGTGAAAGTATTGTTCAAACTCCAGTAACATTAAATTCTCATTCCAACCCTCGTGTGACAAGAGTCACAAAGCCAGGCCAGGTGACGTGCGTTAGCCCGTTCAGATTGCAGGTTTTATCTGCGTCTCTCTGTCGATCTGAATAGATTTTTACTTTCCCAATCACAGATCCAGCCCAGCACCTCTGCAATCTCAATTACCACAATGTCTATATTCCAATATTATAGATATACCCCAGGGATGAGTTGACATAATCCCTGTGTACGAGCCACTTAAGAAAATCGTTGCATTTGGTCATTTTTTTTAATGTAATCATCACACTATGGATGTTCTCTTAGCACTGAAGTGTTACAGGTGGACTAGGCTATAGTTATATGTTTTGCTATTGTTATATGTTTTGCTATTATGCTTTCATTAAGAGCTGAAGTACAGGTAGGTATATTTGCAACATGTGATTGTGGCATACAGATGTTTAGGCATGGTGCTAGGAAAATGTAGAGAAGTCTGCAACACTTAAGACTGATATAGATATAGTGTAAAATTGTGTAAATAGAAACGGGACAAAGTCTGAGACAGACAAAGGAGGAGATGTAACCTTTGGATAAGAAACACCTAGTGACGTTGTGATCTAAACCTACAAATAAAAATAAAATAAACCTACCTCATTCTAAGTTTTCCCTGCCTCCAGGACATGAGTATACTAGTTGAATTCAAAAGAAAGTTGACTTTAATTTAATCGATCATCACCACTCAAAACTAAGACGTTTTTCTCACCAAGTGGCCCTGGAAACATAAATATAGTGGCCCCTACAACCCTGACCACATTATGTCCACATAAGAGGACAAGTGAGATCTCTAGAACTTACCTTAGAGAGGATTTTACAGGACAGAAGAAATACTAGGTGTGTGTTTTAAACTAGTCCAGCAGTGTCACTGTCAGCCTACGTTTGACCTTGTGGAAATCAGGCATAGTGAGATGTTCAAGATATAACTAAAACTGACAGCTCTAGTTTGGGTCAAGTAGCTGCTCAGTGTTTCATGCCCGTGCACGTGTGGGGTCAAGAATGATTTGACAAATTGGGACCAGAAGCAATGATGCTGGGAGGGGAAGAACAGTAGAGAAGAGGCCCCGTTGCCAAAAGGCTTGTCAGAGCCTGTGATAAAATTGCGTGGACAGTAGCACACCCAAAAGTGCTACCATTTCCTGGGCTTGCTCACTTCGCCTGTCTCAACAGGACCCCTCCTGATCTCTAGTAAGTCTCCAAAATGGAGTCAGACAATGAATTTTGGGTTCTCTCACAAACTGACAAATCAAGACAGTAATTTGGCTTCATCACCTGCTATTCCTCCCTCTATGAATACATTTACTTTAACAAAAACATGATTGGATGATTGCGATACCAAAAAAACAACAATTCACTTTCCTACTTTTGCAATTTTCCATGCAAAACCTTTCCACGGTTAGCAGTAAATAGCATATCCACATGATTGGCCTAGATCTGATCTCTACCCTAAGGTCAGCAGGAAATATTCAGCTTTTGAGATCAGTCACTGTGTGGTTTCTGCACATTCCTGTATTCCAGCTACACCATACACTGTTCCTCTGTATTTCCTTTTAGCATCACTTTCATACTCTTTTTAAACAAGTCAAGTCAGAGGGGAGCACATTAAATATGGAGCAGCTGTGGCATTATAGTCCCTTGAATAATGAATGCAAAGATGAGCACTCTGCCCAGCTGTCAGTGAGCAGCTTTGGTTTCTGATACGTCAACGCAAGCCTGATGAGTAAGTGAAAAAGGGTGAGCACAGTGACATTCATTACACCCACACTTATAAGCAATTATCTGTTAGCTAGTTTGTAAGTGAAAAACTCAAGCACATTTTTAAACTTGATAAAATTATCAGCAACTACATGATACATTATTCTATCATTAGTGGCCTTTAGGCATTACAGCAGTACCGTGTTTGACATTGTTTGAGGATGGCTTTACACAGGGTGTGGTGTGGATAAATCACTCGAAAGCTATTGGTGCCTTTTAATCCATATGTCTACATGTTTCCCCTCCTCCACAATAGAAGATGCTTCAATTGACCCGACATCAGAGCCACACTATAGTGTATTTTACAAATAACTTATCAATGGTCTTTACATCTGCCGATCAAAAAAACTACATTGCAGACATTACTATTGTAGTTTATGATCTTGTTTCACGCCACTCAAGATGGCGCTCTTGCAATCTAACTTTTTCTCTTCCGTTACCAATTCATACCTAAACTCAGGATATCTGTCGATGCCATGTGCCGATCCAAAATGGTGCTCTCTTTCTCCTACATTTAAAATCTACTACACTGCGTTGAACTCATTGGGATGATCTTTATGTGATATGAAGTGAGGCCAGAGGTTGCCCTGGCACTAAATAAAAAGTTGGAAGCCCACTAAAACACTTAATTTTATAATGACATTGATAAAGAAAATGTATTTCATGTGGATTGGTCATGTCTTCCTTCAACGATTTGAAGCAAGGGCAGAGGCAACTAGGATTTTAAAGGGTGTGACAGGATGTAACTACACGTAAAAAAACACAGGTCCCAGTAAAATATCTCCATACCTTTGAAATGAGTAACTAGTCGTAGGAATACAAATTTTGAGGTGGAACAACTTTGAAAACAACATGGGTGCCAAGCATAGACTATATTAAAGAAGTAGACATAGTCACAGTGACGTAACCCATTGGTTTGTAAACTGGCTTTGAAGTATCGAATTTGGCATGTTAGCCGTTGCCGTTTTTTTTGGTTTTTTTTTATTTAACCAGAAGTGACCATATTTGGACAACTTGAGGAGAGCTGGGGAGGGAGATGCATTGCCTAACTGGTCGCCATGCTAGTGACTTCTTATTTACAAGGTAGTCGTTCTCTAAAGACCTACGCTTTAATCATGTATTGTAGTCTAAATGGGACCATAATTTACAAAATTGAACATGCTGTACTGAAGAAGAAGGTTTCTCGTGTGTGAAAACACCAGAATGGGAGTGGAGGACCAGCAACGCTTGAGTTATACGGCATGTGCTGTAAACCGTCGGCTACCAAAGTGCTCCTATTATTAAAACCTTTGTGTCCATAGCACCAAGAATTGAAAACTGTCAAGTGTAAATTCCTCAAATTAGACTACTTGCACAATGTAGTGCTACATATAGCCTGTTTTATGAACTGCACGTGTGCTTACTTCCGGTTTACTCCTTACAGTGCCGTTTCATCCTTATTCTAGCCACTTATCACAGTTACTGTTCATTCGGACCAAACACAAAGCAAGGGTTAGGGGCGGGGCAATTACATACAAGGCCAATGCAAAGGTATTCGAGCGAGCTGCAAATTTTAAACTCGAGCAAAAAAGTTCCAAGACGCTGTGTCGCGATAGCCTATCAGCGCCAAGATTGTCCGGACGTCTCCGACGGCTTCAGAGCATTGTTTGGAGAGGACCAGGCAGAGTAGGGGAGTGAATCACTGCTGGCCGACAGACAGCTGCTGAGCTACGTAGACCTGTGGAGAGAGCCAGGGCAGCGCTGGAGCTTTCAGATATATAAAACACCCACAGTTGGATGGATTATCCTCTGACAACTACGCCGTTTACCTGCGGGAAGAGCTCAGAGTTTACTGCTTTTATTAAATTAACTCGTTACTTTAATTTTTGGGATTAAAACAGTGATTTATCTTCACTCACACTTCTCAGCAGCGAGCCACCGTGTGTTTTGCGGTTCCGCTGTTGTTGCTAGTGTCTGTGGGCAGCCAGAGCTCTGTGATATTACTACTTCATACTTATATAAAAACAGGACAAAACTGGACATTACTTGGAGCAAAGGAAAGCGAAGAAGTTGAACTACCTGGTGAGTCCAGAAAATGTGTGTCTGTTACGTGATTCCAGCTATCGTTGTACTTTACTGTGAACAACTTAGCATAGCCCTGCTCAATCCAAACTCCATTCAGAAAACACACATTTTCAAAGTTGTTGTCCTGCTCTCTTGCTAGCAGACGTGACAAAGCATGAATTCACATGTTAAACAAATTGGCATCATGTTGTAGTTATTTTGGCATCATTTTTGATCCGTTTATTGCAACTAAATCACAGCCAAATGTTTACTTTGGGTTTATACCACTGTAGTAATAGCAGGTTGCATTTATTTGCATTATCGCGTTGTTTGAGAGCAGTCCCCTGCAATGAAAGCGGCGCGAGGATTAAATTTGCGTTTGGTCTGAATGCAGTTAGCATTGTACATAATATTTACTTAACCATTTATTGTATATAGTATTTTGATCATTCCAATAGCCTAATCACCTCAGTGTTTTTAGACTGCGAGACAGCTTAGCCAGTCAGTTAGCCTAGCTGGCTACTAAAGTGAAGAAAAGCTTCAAGCTTATGAGGAGGGCCTTCATCTTTACAGAGTTTTGCTCAGTGCCTCTTTTCTCTTCATCGGCTAAGTTTGCTTCTGTGAGCTTTCACAGCCAAGGACAAGAACAAGCTGTGGGCTCACGAAGCCTATTGTTACTCTACACTTCTGTGGTTTATCAGTGAAGTCTCGGTTAGTGACAACGTCGTTGCTGGAGAGCTTCAGGGAAAAGTGGGATATACATCACATTACATTGTCCAAGTAGAGAATAGAAAAAAATCATTGTTTTGGTTTCACTACCAAAACTCGTATGATATTGCAAGTAGCATCAAATCATTTCAATGGATACCAAGACCTTAAGAATCAATTTGTGACTGTTCTAATAACTTTACTTCAGTGATTTGCATGATCACTAAAGGCTTTGATCAGCCAAAATGGCTATATATTTTCTTCTTTCTCCGTCACCTCCTACTCTCAGTGTAGACTTATGTTTTTCAATATTGCTGAAGGCACCGTGTAGTTGTTCCCATTTTTCTGTCTCTGTCATCAGTATAAAGTAGTGATTCAACTATGGCTTGTTAATGCTACCTGTTAATCATAAACAGCTATTCCTTCACTGCTGCACTTAAACCATTGATCAAATCACTGTTACATAGTGCCAAGTTGTCTGACAACAGTAAACAGAGGTTAATAGTGACATGTGTATTGTGTAATTGCAGTATTGGTAAAACAACAGAGAGAAGAGTAAGCAGAAAGTGTTTTTCTAACATTACTGCTACAGAGCAGCATATGGCCACATACTCGGTTTTAATCAGAAATCAGAAATACTTTGATCCCTGAAGGGAAATTCTGTTTTTTCATGCATATTAAAAATCGAGGGCCGAGGCATCTCTGACACAATAACATAATTTCACAGAGTGTAGGAGATTCTGATGATTCTGAGCCACTCTGAAAACTGAGCAAGAAAGTGAGCTTACATTCAAAAGCAATGAATGTGAATGAGTCACCTGATGAAGATCTGCTGATTGGCTGCATGTACTAAGTTCAGCAAAGACCTACTACACAGCAGCTAGAGTCAACTTTGATCTTTGGCTTCCATTAATTTTAATGTTTAGTCATTACACCTGTTCTAATAATCGGTTTTTGATCAAACTTTGTCCTATTTGACACACGATCTGCAATGCTATTTTCTTCTGTCTCTCTCGGAGTCTGTCCTTCTGCACACCTCTGTCCAACCCCACAGATCTTCAGCCAACAACTACCGCTGCATAGCTACATGACCCCTGAGCATTCTGCAAGTTCTTGACATCACACCAACAAAACCAACTGGAGGGACTTTGCTGCACAGGCGTCAAAATGGTGAAGGGAGTAAGCATGTTCAACCATCAGTGTAAGAGCAGACAGCATACTTAAGGGAATAATGGCTTCCTATAAGGTGTAGAGAACTCAGAACTTGTCCTCCACCGGAGGGTTACTAACACAGTTGCACAGGCAATGTGCCAAAAACAGGTTTGCCAAACTGTTTCCTAAATGCTAAGCTAGAATTCTCACTTTCCTGGTGAAAGATGATCTAAGATGGATCTATATACTGGAGCAGCTGCTTAAACGACGCATATATGCTTTCATGTATGCATCCAGGTGAACAGTTAAATATTGTTAAGGTCACCATGCTAGATAAAATGCAGCTGGTACTCAGTAATTTGAGATATTGTCAGTGAAAATATTTTCCATTTCTTCAGGATAACATTAATTACTACGAGAATACTAACAACACTTGTTTGATTAGACCGAACCGAGGACGTCGGCTAAAAACTTAGATCAGATCATTTAAACCTACTCTTTACAAATGTTAGCAAGCTAGCTAGCCTTCACATCTGATTTTAATAATGAATATATTATAGCGTCAGCTAACACCAACTACATGCTTGGGTTACAATGCAATAATAATGGTTAGGTAATGACATAACTTTATTTACCGTCGAAATACAATGGCTTAACAGTTACTTCCAAGCCTGCCAACAGCAGCTAACGATAAAGTTAGCTATGCGATAAAAGCCCTTGATCGCAGTGGTTCCTCAATGAAAAACACCGCTAACGTTAGCAGGTCAGCTAACTTAAGTTAGCTAACAGCAAGTTGTTAGCTGGTTAGCTCCGCGGCAATGATCGACATTAAACCCACTCCGACACATTTCTTCACAAATAACGTTCAACCCGAGCTATTGTAATAACATGAAAGTTTGACTAATGATATAAACATTGAATAATACTCACTAGGCAGTTTCAAATTCCCAAAGCTCGTCGAGGTGCTTCCACTGGCTTGTGAAGCCCCAGTTTTTCCTGTCGAGCTTCCACCGGCTACTGCTGATCCGGCACCGGCTGCAGCGGACCCGGGAGCTCCGGGAGGCTCAGCGAATGAGCTGGTCCTGGGCCGCCCGCTGCCGCTCATATTTGTGTGAACTAAACCCGGGGCAAGGTTGAACGTTATTAGCAGCCAGGCCGGTACAGACTTAAGCTATATAAACGTGTGTTTTAATATTCGATATAAATTTAAACTACACTTACAGCGTTCAATACAGGTTGCCCGTCTCCCCCTTTCTTCCTCTGTAGAACAGTGATGGTGGGGGGACTGGGGAGTTGACGCACAACGACGTAAAGCTCGCAAGGGTGTCTGGGAAAATGAGTTGTTAGTGGCTTCGAGTCAGCGCTATCAAACATTTGACATCGAATTTACGACGAAAATCGTAATTTACAGTGCTTAAAACTCACTACCACTTTATAATTGGGTCATGGACATATAGCTAACACATTATTAACAGGGCCAACGTTGCTTTTTAAACGGAATAAAGTAACGATGTAGATAAGCCTAACTTATTCTGTAAAAGACAGACATCCACCAAATCACACAAAGTAGCTAACTTAAAATTACATACATTAAAAATAAACTTTTAATTTTTATTTTATTTTATGTTAAAAGGGCTCCGGGGAAAACAGTCCTCCAACACTCGATAAAAAACTACAAATCCCAGGAGTTAATCACAGTTGCATGACAGTCAGTCAGTCTGTCCAATCACAGACTCTGAAATGTCAAGGCTACCGCAATGGGTGGGTCTTCCTATCACAAGAATGGAGGCGATCGGTGGGCAAACGTTTCATTACACGCTTACAGTTATAATTTCTCACGGATCCGTATCCCATTTTTGATTTCCATACCACACATGGTGACAAAAGGACTATCAAAAGGAATACACTCGTGTGAACTAAGAATGATGACTACACGAGGGACTGTCCAACGAGAGTAAATGAGAGGTAAGGAGAAAGAAGGGCCCGCCGTCGTAGCCGGAGAGCTTCGGGTAAAAGTGGGTAGCGCCGCCTGACGGACCGCCCGACGAACCGGGGAGCCGCTGTCAGGAAACCGCGGTGCCGAGAAACAGGTCTGCAATATCGGAGGGAGCGCCGCCCACAGCTCTCCATATGCCATCACACACTGTAAACAAAGATATGAATCACATTTGTGAGGGAAATCAGACAATGATTTAGTGATGTTCTGCTGAGTGGTGGTCGTATTGTTATCAACAGAGGGCCCTCATTTGGCTAACGGATAAAAAATGCGGTGTTTGTTCGCGGGATTGTTCCATAATATCTCTGTGGGAACACTGCTGGGTCTTTATTTTGGTACAAATACATGACCGTTGTAGTTTTGCGTTAGATGAGAGAAACACTCAATTCATATTTGATTGCTACTACACAACTGCTGATTTATATGTTGATATTGTTCAGTGTTGCACGATGTCATTTTGATTTTTTGTTTACCACAGGTGTGATCTTATATTGGCCTTCTGGATGACAACAGTAGTCTTCATTCCTTCACTGGACACAGCAGTGGACCTTCAGTTTAAGGCTCACCACCTCATCACCTGTCAGAAATCGCCTTTCATGACACACTTGCAACCTACATAAGACAACACACACACACACAACACACACACACACACACACACACACACACACACCACAGTACCACCATGGCCGAGCAGCAGCAGGAGGAGGCAGAAGGTGTGTATGTGGAGCACCAGTATATGTGCAGTGAGTGCCATCAGCTCTTCAACACCCTTGAGGATGTGCTGATCCACCAGCAGATCCACACTGGCCAAGAGGGGGAAGGAGAAGGGGAGGGAGGGGAGGCCATGACCTTCCAGGGTGTCACAGAGATGGGGCAAACCCAGCAGTACCAGTGTCTGGAGTGTGGGACCCTCCTTGTGAACCCAGAGGAACTGCTGCAGCACCAGGAAATGCACATGAGAGAGGCTGGGATGGAGGTGGAGCGGCAAGGTGAGGGATCTGATTGTATTTTGAGCATCCATTCACATTAATGGCATTTGCACAAGATTCATTTTTGTTTTTTATTTGCATAGCTTTTAGTCATAGTCACTTAAGATACAACACTAACTGCGTATATGACTGTTCCCCAGAGCTGTGTGAGGTTTTGGAGACTGAGGAAGCAGGGTCGGAGGCTCAGGTGTCGGGACCGGTCCAGTACCAGTGTCTTGACTGTCTGGCTCTGTTTGACTCACCTGACACCTGGCTGGAGCACCGGCGGACCCACAGCAGGAGTAGCACACACAGTAGCACAGAGACCATGGTAAGGGACAGACATGAGAAAAATTCAACTTACTAATGACTTTAAATAAGGATTTAACGCTTGTTCTAATCTGGAAAGTAGAATCCATTTACCTTTTCCTGTATAACTACTAAGTAGTTTTTCCGTCAGAATTATTGATAATTTAATAAGCCAACTGGTGCAGATTCTCACAATGTGAGTAGTAACAATGATTAATAAAACTTGCATATTGGGCTACAGTAGTTCATTAAGTAGGCTATATTGTGCAGACTTATTCACACCCCAGTGCTAGATTTATGTTTGCTGATGCAATTATTTTAAAAGATCAAGTGCATTCTCATTTATATTGGGTGTTTTGTCCTAGAGTTTCAAAGCAGAGTTACTGTGCATCATGAGACGTGAGAAACATATTTGATACACAAACCAGCAGACACTTGGTAATACTGGATCAAATCGTATTATAGAGGATTGAGGTTGATGATGGAACGACTAAATCTGCGCAATAATACTGGTAACAGCAGTAAATTTACACTGTGCTTAGTCATTCGTGTTGTTTACAGCCCAACTTATCTGTACAAATGGAAAGAGCAAACTCTCTAAAACCTCTGGAAGACACTTTGTAAATTGTTTTCGGGGACAGATAGCCCATGACAGTTTTTGACTTTGTATTCATTTCATTTGCCATTCAGCATTCAGGTCGCTTCAAAGTAAAACATGTGACTCTGATTTGGTTTGTGTAGGCTGGCACAGATTGCTTGCGCTGCGACTGTACTGTAATTCTCAGAAATACTAGTTTGAATGGGCGTCACGGCCAAACAGCAGACATCCAGTCTCCAAATTATCTGATAATCAACTAAAGAGATGATAATAGATAACATTCTAAATAAAAGAGCTATTATCAAACATTGCTTAATTTCTTAAGTACTGCATCAACTAAATATAAAGATGTAGTAACCTTTGTGTTTTTGGCCCTTGCAACAGGAGTATGTGCTACAGCCTGATGGCACAGTCACTCCACTGAACAGCATGCAGAACTACGTGCTGAGTGAGCAGCAGGCTGGGGAGATCTTGGCACAGGTACTTCAGTTTGTAAACACCTCACAACAGAGGAATACATATGAGAACTCAATGAAGGGGAGTAAGGTTTCGCTGTCTTTAGAATTTCTTTTCTGTACGATTCTGTGTGTATTTTCCAGGTACTTGCCCAGCAGCAGCAGCAGCAGCAGCAGCAGCAACAGAAGAAACGCCAGTCCGTTTCCAAACTTGCCGCACACTCCCGTTCCGCTCTGCTGCCTCCAGTGACACCGACTCCCGGCTCTGCCACCATGCACCTGCAGATTCTCACAGCTCAAGCTCTAGCAGACAACTCCACCACTCCCAGTCAGCGCCGCTCTAAGCTGCCCCCTCTGTTGCCTGCCGTAGGCCGAGGCTCCTCTGCAAAGCTAGGGGTCCTGGAGAACGGTGTCCAGAGACTGGAGTTAAGGTTGGCCCCCGGTGTCCAGGATGACGGTCAGCAGCTGCAGCAGCCAACAGAGATGGTGGTCATCCACCCTTATGAGTGCTCCGAGTGCTCCCTTCTCTTCCAGACCCCAGAGGACTTCCTCCAGCACCAGGGGGAGCACTTCCTGGGTCAGGACAAAGAGAGCGGAGAGCCAGGCGTCATGAGTGGCTTCGAGGAGGTGCGAGGGAGGGAAGAGACTACAGAGAAGGTAGAGGACATCAGGATTAGAGTATCGGAGAAGAGGGCAGCTGTGTGGGCCAAGCCCCAACAGTGTGAGCTCTGCAAACGCACCTTCACCTCCGTCAACAGGCTGGCTGCTCACAAACGTGTGCACGAGCAGGGCACGTATGAGTGTCTCGAGTGTGGAAAGGTGTTCAAGAAGGCAACGTCTCTGCAGACACACATGCGCACACACTCAGGCGTGGCCAGGTACCTGTGTGTGGACTGTGGCAATGGCTTCACCACTGAGATGACTCTTATCGTGCACAGGTAAGACTTACCAACAGCAGCCAAGATAACCGTGAGACACAGACAGCTGATATGAACCTTTGATTCTGTTTCTGTCTGTTTCATCTTTTCCTCCTGGTGTCTTGCAGGAAGTCCCACACTGCAGACCCCCTTCACAAGTGTCAGTTCTGTAACAAAACCTTCACCAACATGACCAAGTACCTCTACCACCGTAGAACCCACCTCAATCGCGATTCATCTGGCACCCCCGCCCCAGTCTCCATGGTATTAAAATAAGCATGTCCCCCCTCCCAATTGTGTCCACAACCTCAAGTTAGTATGATGTATAAGTTTGATTTATACATTGCCTGTTTCCTTCTCTAGATCTCAGCTCCAAGAAGAGCACCCCTCTCTGCTCTTGCCATCCTACAGAGAGCAAGAGAGAAGAAGAATCCCCACACTGATAAGGGAGAAATCAATCTGCTAGCCCCTCTCACCGAAGAGGAGATGGAAAAATTGGCAGAAGATCCAATAAAAACTTCTCAGCACCAAGTGGAAGGAGGTGGAGCGGAGAAGCAGGGGGAGGACAACAACATGGAGGTGTCTGCCCTGCTTGAAGACAGCATGGATGACCCCCAGCAGATGGAGGATGCCACCTCCAAGTGTGGCTTAGCTACAAACCCTGCGGTCCTGGATAACACTGGCGTGGGAGTCACATCTGGCTCCGCTGAGTCAGCAGAAGCTGCTTCAGCTGCATCATCGGACAAAGCCCCCTTTTCCTGTCGTTCATGCTCGAAGACCTTTCCCTCCCAGCTACAGCTAGTTCACCATCGACGCAAGTCCCATGTCACTGAGCGCAGCTTTGTTTGCGGCATCTGTGACAAGTCTTTTAAGAAGCAGATCCACATGCGCAACCACATCCGCACTCATACCGGTGAGCGGCCCTTCCAGTGTTCTGACTGCGGCAAAACCTTCTCATCTCTAGCCAATCTCATGAGGCACAATCTCATCCACTCTGGTGTGCGACCCTACCGCTGTGATGTGTGCCACCGCTCCTTCTCACAGTCTTCCAACCTCCGTCAGCACAGCCTACTGCACTCCAATGCTGCAGCGCTTTGCTGCCCGGACTGCCCCGCCACCTTTCGTTGGCCCACCAAGTTAGCAGCACATCGCTACACCCAACATCCAGGGGCTCCAGCCCCTTTCCCATGTCCTCACTGCGAGGCTGGCTTCCTGACCAGGAGGCAACGAGACAGCCACTGTCTGGAGCGGCACCCCACCCTGGTGCAGGCTGGTACAGGGGTAGAAGTGGGCAAAGAGACAGACAGCCTAGCAGAGTTAGGCAAAGATCTGACCTCAGAGCCCTCCACCTCAACCACAGTAGAGACAGAATCAGGGGATTCAACTAGTCTCTTGCGGGGAGGTTTAGATTGCAACATTTGTGGGAAGAAGCTCAATTCTCCTGCCAATCTGCGACTTCATAGACTGAGTCATTTTGCCTTGGGCCCTGGACGGCCACGGTGCACCTCGGGGAAGCGGCCCAAAGCCCACCAGTGTCCCGTCTGTGGCAAACTTTTTGTGTCTTCCTCCGGAGTTGCGCTTCACCAGCGAGTCCACACCGGTGAGCGCCCCTTTCCTTGCCAAGTGTGCGGCAAGCGCTTCCGTCAGAACACACACCTACGAGAGCACCTGCGCACACACTCTGGTGAACGGCCATTCCGCTGCGAGGTGTGCGGGAAGGGTTTCATCCAGAGTATGCACCTGGCTGAACATCGTCGAACACACACAGGCGAACGGCCGCACGTATGTCCACAGTGTGGCAAAGCCTTTAAAACCTTCTCCAACCTGAGAAACCACAAAAAGACCCACGCCAGGCAGCAGAGGCTGGATGAGGAGGCTGCTGCCCAAGCTGCCATGGAGACCAGCTCTGCTGTGGCAGTAGTGGACGCTTCAACAGTGGACCTGGCCAATGGGCAGCCTCAGCTCATCCAGATCCAAGCGTCTGATCTCCAGCAGGTCAGAATGTAGCTCCAAATCACCTCTAAAAACTGCCATTTAACAAGCACTGTATGAAGATAACATGAACTGGTTGTCAAAGTGGCTTAGTCCTATCTTGTCAACTATTTTAGGTGAAAGCTTTGAGTTTAAACTGTTAAAATTAGTGAAAGGATGACATTTAATCAGCGCCTGTAAATGAACTAATACTGAATTGTTCTTCTTAGGCACAGGGCACACCGACTATCATGTGTAATGAGTTTGGGGAGACCATAGCCATCATTGAGACGAGCGAGGGTGGAGCGCTGCCTCTGGAGCAGGCCTTGGAGATCTATCAAACAGCTTTGGAGAACGGCCTCGCCATGGACACAGTCTCTGTGGATGGGCTGCAGCTCCTCTGAGGACTGGAGTTTAAGTCGACAACAAACAGAATTTATTCTGGTATCGCCGAATTGATGTTTAATACTAGTCTCAGTACTGGCTGAAACAAAGCATTCAGTTCAGAGAAATGATTTACTGGAACCGGAACCAGATAATGAGCTGGACAAGAAGCTATAAAATGAGAAAATGCTTATTAAGTTCACCAAACAGACCAAAGTTTGTCAACTTCCCTGTTTTTACAGAGCTGAGAGGGGTCCATATTCAAATTTATTGAAATGATGCATACTAAAATTAAGGATTTGGCATTATGAATAACAACCATTGGTTGTGCCTCAGATGACATATGTACAATTATCATTTATATGAAATGAATGTGATTTTCCTTCGGTTTCAAGGTTTAGTCGTGCTGTTGAAGCAAAGTATGCTGTTGTAAATAGGTGAAATCAATAAATGTTTTTTCAAGGTGATACATTTGTAACCCCTTCTCATTCAACACAACCATACATGAAAATCCACATACCTAGAGTCAACGATGTACACTGTGGAGATGTGAACTTCATTTTCCTGAGCTACAACCCCAATTTCCAATAAAGTTGGGACGTTGTATAAAACGTAAATACAAACAGATTACAATGATTTGCAAATCCTTTTTAACCTATGTTCAATTCAATACACCACAAAGACAAGATATTTAATGTTCAAACTGATATTTGCAAAAAACAAAGTTTCACTCACTTTGAATTTGATGCCTGTAACATGTTCCAAAAAAGCTGGGACAGGGGCATGTTTACCACTGTGTTACATCACCTTTCCTTTTAACAACACTCAAGCCTCTGGGAGCTGAGGACTAATTGTTGAAGCTTTGTAGGTGGAATTCTTTCCCATTCTTGCTTGATGTACAACTTCAGTTGCTTAATGTCATGGAAATTATATTCCTGGTAAGGGGTTGCGCAAATGATGAGTTACAACCAACCGTTGTCTTTGAATAATTTATTAAGAGAACAAAAAGTACTAAAACACATATACAGCTGGTCCAGAGACCTGCTGCCTAGGGCAGCTTCCGGCGTCTAGCCCCCAGCAAAGGGATCCATCATCATTTACACAATAGCCATAACGAGAATAGTAATATTAAAAGATCATACATAAAAGATTAAATGTAAGAGGACACTATTTTCTTCCATAACACTCAATAGTCTGGGGTCTCCGTTGTCCTCTTTTGCAATTCATAATGTGCCACACATTTTCAATGGGAGACAGGTCTGGACTGCAGGCAGGCCAGTCTAGTACCTGCACTCTTACTACGAAGCCACGCTGTTGTAACACGTGGAGAATGTGGCTTGACATTGTCTTGCTGAAATAAACAGGAACGTCCCTGAAAAAGACGTTGTTTGGATGGCAACATGTGTTGCTCCAAAACCTGTACCTTTCAGCATTAATGGTGCCTTCACAGATGTGCAAGTTACCCATGCCATGCATGGGCACTAACACCCCCATACCATCACAAATGCTGGCTTTTGAACTTTGCGCTGATAACAATCCGGATGGTCCTTTTCCTCTTTGGCCCGGAGGACACGACATCCATAATTTCTAAAAACAATTTGAAATGTGGACTCGTCAGACCACAGCACACTTTACGTCAGTCCATCTCAGATGAACTTGGGTGTTGTTGATATAACGTTATGGCTTTCGCTTTGCATGGTAGAGTTTTAACTTGCGCTTGTTGATGTAGCGACAAACTGTGTTAACTGACAATGGTTTTCTGAAGTGTTCCTGAGCTCATGTGGTAATATACACACTGCTCAAAAAAATAAAGGGAACACTAAAATAACACATCCTAGATCTGAATGAATGAAATAATCTCATTAAATACTCCTTTCTTTACATAGTTACAACAAAATCACACAAAAATTAGCAATGGAAATCAAATTTATCAACCCATGGAGGTCTGGATTTGGAGTCACACTCAAAATCAAAGTGGAAAACCACACTACAGGCCCGATGTCCTTAAAACAAGTCAAAATGAGGCTCAGTAGTGTCTGTGGCCTCCACGTGCCTGTATGACCTCCCTACAACGCCTGGGCATGCTCCTGATGAGGTGGCGGATGGTCTCCTGAGGGATCTCCTCCCAGACCTGGACTAAAGCATCCGCCAACTCCTGGACAGTCTGTGGTGCAACATGGCGTTGGTGGATGGAGCGAGACATGATGTCCCAGATGTGCTCAATTGGATTCAGGTCTGGGGAACGGGCGGGCCAGTCCATAGCATCAATGCCTTCCTCTTGCAGGAACTGCTGACACACTCCAGCCACATGAGGTCTAGCATTGTCTTGCATTAGGAGGAACCCGGGCCAACCGCACCAGCATATGGTCTCACAAGGGGTCTGAGGATCTCATCTCGGTACCTAATGGCAGTCAGGCTACCTCTGGCGAGCTCATGGAGGGCTGTGCGGCCCCCCAAAGAAATGCCACCTCACACCATTACTGACCCACCGCCAAACCGGTCATGCTGGAGGATGTTGCAGGCAGCAGAACGTTCTCCACGGCGTCTCCAGACTCTGTCACGTCTGTCACATGTGCTCAGTGAGAACGTGCTTTCATCTGTGAAGAGCACAGGGCGCCAGTGGCGAATTTGCCAATCTTGTTGTTCTCTGACAAATGCCAAACGTCCTGCACAGTGTTGGGCTGTAAGCACAACCCCCACCTGTGGATGTCGGGCCCTCATACCACCCTCATGGAGTCTGTTTCTGACCGTTTGAGCAGACACATGCACATCTGTGGCCTGCTGGAGGTCATTCTGCAGGGCTCTGGCAGTGCTCCTCCTGCTCCTCCTTGCACAAAGGCGGAGGTAGCGGTCCTGCTACTGGGTTGTTGCCTTCCTACGGCCTCCTCCATATATCCTGATGTACTGGCCTGTCTCCTGGTAGCGCCTCCATGCTCTGGACACTACGCTGACAGACACAGCAAACCTGTGCCATCCTGGATGAGCTGCACTACCTGAGCCACTTGTGTGGGTTGTAGACTCCGTCTCATGCTACCACTAGAGTGAAAGCACCGCCAGCATTCAAAAGTGACCAAAACATCAGCCAGGAAGCATAGGAACTGAGAAGTGGTCTGTGGTCACCACCTGCAGAACCACTCCTTTATTGGGGGTGTCTTGCTAATTGCCTATAATTTCCACCCATTCCTGCACAACAGCATGTGAAATTGACTGTCAATCCGTGTTGCTTCCTAAGTGGACAGTTTGATTTCACAGGAGCGTGATTGACTTGGAGTTACATTTTGTTGTTTAGTGTTCCCTTTAATTTTTTGAGCAGTGTACTTTACACATTGATGTCGGTTTTTAATGCAGTGCCGCCTAAGGGATCGAAGGTCACGGGCATTCAATGTTGGTTTTCGGCCTTGCCGCTTACGTGCAGAGATTTCTCCAGATTTTCTGAATCTTTTGAAGATATTATGGACCGTAGATGGTAAAATCCCTAAATTCCTTGCAATTGTACATTTAGAAACATTGTTCTTAAACTGTTGGGCCATTTGCTCACGCAGTATTTCACAAAGTGGTGAACCTCAGCCCATCCTTGCTTGTGAAAGACTTGTGGGATGCTCCTTTTATACCCAATCATGACACTCACCTGTTAACGCACCAATTAACCTTTTCACCTGTGGAATGTTCCAAACAGGTGTCTTTCCCAGATTTTTGTTGCCCCTGTCCTAAATTGAATATAGTTTGAAAAGGATTTGCAAATGAATGTATTCTGGTTTTATTTACATTTTACACAACATCCCAACTTCATTGGAATTGGGGTTGTACTGTAACATTTATTTAAAGGGGCTGAACAAAGATCGTGCTTCAATTAGTATGACATTGCTGGACCACTCAGTGTATTGTATCTCTGCTTAAGGAAAAACCCATTTTTCACATTGCCAGCGATAAAGTCACTTTAATTGAACATTTTTTTTTTTTTGCATACTGAAAGATACAGATACAAACTTAAGTTATTCATATAAATTCCTCTCTTTTATACCGGAATAGCCAAACAAGGAAACATAACACAAAAACATTAATAGCCATATTTATTATTGTTTTTTCCATTTCATGTTTTACTTCGGTAATGGGTGTCTTAAAAGTCAACTTATCTTCAATGACAGATTTTTCCTTATCAATAATATAATGAGTCTTCTGACTCTACAGTAATTATTTACAACACAACCAAGTCTTGCACAAAGACACAACCAGTATTAGATCCTACCAGCTCTCTTTGATTCATCACCCTCCCCTCACTTCCCCCAGTTTTCTCTCCCCCTCTCTTAAAAAAGGAGGTCTGGAGAGAGCAATAAAGTGACAAAGGGAGGAAGGAGGGAAGGAAAGAGGTGGAGGAAGGAGATGCATTAAGTGTTGAGGCTAAAGAATCAAACTTCGCAAGGGACAGAGAGGCATACAGGGTCTAAAAACATACGGCTTATTACTGTTGAAAGAATAGAAAGGTCCACGTTGTGTTTGTATTCCTCTTTGAAATTAACAATAAAAATAACTGCACTGCAGGTCCTTGCTGAGGTGAAGAGGCCAGTCAAGGGAAGACTACAATGGAGGAACTGTACAGGTGTAGAGCACCTGCCTACAAATATGCGTGTGTGTGTGTGTGTGTGTGTGTGTGTATATATATATAAAAAAAAAAAAAAAAAAAAAAAAAAAGCCTAGTACAAGACAGCTGGCACAAATGACGTTGATCTGCCAGCAATGACAACATGACTAAGGGCCGGGATTCACTGCAATGATATGAAGAGTAATAATAATATCCATAGGAATAGTACAACAACAAACTGAATATGACAATGTTAAATACAAATCAAAAAATCTATTAAAAAGTTACTAAAACTGCTTGGCAGCAGAGGATTAAGGCCTCATCAGCCTGAGCCTCTAGAACTAAGAGCCAGGATGTGCCTGTTGACTCTGACCCACCTCCTTCCTTCATGGCTAACGAGGCACAGGAATGCTTGGTTCCTACCTACTGGCATGTGCTAGGGTCAATCACGAGAAGGGAGGACTTGGCCAGACAGGTAACTGCAGGAATGATGGCACTGCCAGAAGTCCACTTAACGTTTCAGTTTCATTTTTCAGTCACTCCTGGTAGACCTCCACTGAAGGTCTACATGTGAGCAATAAAATGAAGAAAAAGATCTTTCCAGGTCCGCAGCAATGAGTTCTCTTGTTGAATCAAATCGTTTCCGGCTGTCGAGGGCCCAGCCCCCTAACGTTAGCAGAAACAAGACACAAGCTTACAACGGTTAAGTCTACATGCAGCCTGTTCCTCCGGCAGATATGTGCTGCTTTTACTCCTCTAACCCAATTAAAAACAAATATCAAAACATAATGTCCTCACAACTGCTGAATTTCGCCATCTCAGAATGGGTTAAGCAGGTCTCTTCGTCCTCAACAAGAACCCTTTCTTCTTCAAGACAAATGAATGCAGCTGTACACAATGGTCTGTCTCTCACTGGCATCGATTTCTCAAAGGTGGTTTAATGCAGAGTGCTAATTGGGTGTGTGTTTGTGCATTGGGGGGGTTTAGGTGATAGTTTTTGTGCCACTGGTCTTTTTTTTGGTACAAGGGTCACACAATACAAAAAAAAGGCCCAACATTGCATATAAACGTCTGTCACTCATAGGTTGGCTGCTGAGGGGAAAAAAATCTGACCAGAGGAGAGATGAGAGTGTTGATTTTAAAAACAGTGTGAAAGCATGTAGGGGTTGGAAAGGTGTGACGTCACTGATTGGTCAATCTCACTTGTCAGCATTCCTCATCTAGAAGAGTCCTGTGAATCACGAGGATCCTCTGGGCTCGCCTCTGCCCCCTGCTCCTCTTCTTCATCCTGCAGGTCCCCGCATCCTCTCACAGATCCGTCCCCCGACTGGGAGCCAGAAGGTCCAGGGAGGGGACCACTTGAGTCAGGTATGCCTAAACCAGAGGCATCAGACGGGGTGGCCGTCTGCATAATCTTCTGCCGGACCTCCCTGATCTTCAGCTGCAGACACAACTTGGTGGGAAATATATCGGAGTATCTTGTCTGGAAGGCTGCAGTGGCCTGAGCTGGAAACAGGATAACAGAAAGATTGTGAATGGCTGCAAGTGAAACCTCATGAAAATGTTTCCATATATAGTGTGTATGTTTGTGTCTTACCTGACGGAAAGAAGCCCTGCTCCTGGAATAGCTGCATGACCAATGCTCGCCTCTGGTCCAGTGTTCTTCGCAGGGAGGAGTATGGCACCTTATCAAACTCCATTTCTGTCAGGATGTCTTCTCCGTCTGTGGCTGTGAAAAGGGACAAACAGGTGGAGTGGGTGAGCCATCATTCAAGAAGCTAGTTACAATAATCAACATCTTTGTTTATGTCCCCTTATGTCCCATCATCTTTTTCCAAGCAGGAAAAATACAGCAGTGGCAAAATGTGTCTCCAAGTCAGGGATTCCCATCTGGTTCACATATATTTTATTTTTCTAAACTAGTGCTAACATCAGTTTGACAAAAAGATACTTTTTTTTCCCCTGAAGACAACGCTAATGACTGGACTGTTAACTCTCTGTTTAAACTAGTGTTTCAAAAGGTAAATACAGAACTATTTTTGTTAGCCTACAATTTTTGCCTACAAACTACTACATGCCTAGGCACCTCATCTGATGTTTTTATTGCTGGAAAAAAGAAAAAGGAAAAAAAAGTACAAATACAAAAAAGTTTGCAGAGACTGGATCACCGGTAAGTCACTTGTGGCCTGCAAGTATATGACAGTTTTAATTGTTTCCTGGTTCTTATTGTTTTTACTCTTACTAATATTTCTTTATTTGACCATTAAAAAGTTTTAAAAAGCAACAATAGATACAAGACGTTCTCTTAGGTTTATTCTCACTGAGGTGAGAGTAACCAAAATAAATGTAGGAGGAATTTAGAGATAAATCCTTCAGCAAAATACCTTACACAAAAACAAGAGCTCTGCCTCAATCCAAACCCCTGAACCTACACTTCTGCTGCACACATGACCTATCCGGAACTAAAATATAAAAGACCAGAAGTATAAACTTAGACTATGTCAGTGTCTATGTGCCCTTCCCTGTGCGTTACCTGCTCTGTCAAAGGTAAAGATGTCTCCCTCACACTTGGCGGCACTTTTAGGAGTGTTGGGCTCTGAGCTACAGCTTGAGCGCCGACGACTCTTTCTCTTAGGAGAGACTTGATCGTCAGTGGCGGAGTCCAAATCTAGAAGCACACGGAGGGTAAGAAAATGAAAATAAAAACCACCTTAAAACCTACAACACATTTATTTAATTCACATAAAATCACCCATTTTAAAAGTATCAATTTACTGTACAGCTGTTGCTAAACAAAAAAAAACTACATTGTGTAACATCTATAATTTTGGTCCAGCAGTAATGTTGAATTACAATAATATAACAGCGTGAAATGATAATTATCAGCAGACATCAAATCTCCTTATTTAACAGGATTTGTCGCAAAAAAAATTGTATTGTATCATACAGCTAATGTCAATAAACACCGATGAGATAGTTCATATATGCTTCATATACATTCATACTTTCATAAACAACAACTATCTGCTGTTAGCCAAATGCTTGCACATTCATGACAGTTGCTGCAACTACCCTACATTAGTCTAAAAGCATTAAATCAGAGTATGATAAAATGCTCTTGTGAGTGACACCTGTAGAGTTCTTCCTCTTGCGCCGATAGCTGCCCAGAATGGCGCGGGGTGAAGTGGCCAGACTCTGCAGGGTGGGTGAAGGCAAAACCTCCTCAGGCCGAAACTCTGGCAGCTCGGCAAAGCGCTCCTCAAAATACACCTCTGACAGCACCCTGCCAGACCAACACGCGCACACACACACACACACACACACAATATACAGTATATATACACTGTCCATCAACAATTTCTGCGACGAGAAAGATTCACAAAAGGTTTTAACTCACTTGTCCACAGAGTCAAACGTCTTCTTAAGTGGTGGTGGGCGGGCTTTGACCTTTTTGGGTGTAGGACCATCTTTGTCAGTCTGTGGCGGAGGCAGGGCGGGTTCTGTGGCTGATGGAGGGGGGAGAGGAGAGGAGGGGAGGGACTCCTTCCATCCAGCCTGCACAGAAAGTTCAATTTACGCATTTTAGTCAAAGTCACAGAGATGTTATTTAGTCGACAACAACTAGGTAGTTTTGTCTCACTATGCTAGAGCTGAAAGTCTGTGTGTGACGTTCCTCTCACCTCTTTGGTGGTTGTGCTTTCCCTGTTTCGCGTGTCAGAGGAGTCCGTCGCACTGGAGCCCTCCAGGGGTCTGTCAGTGGATGGCGGCTCTTCAGCAGGATGTGTTGAAGGAGACTCGGGATCAAAGGAGAAATGACTAGTGGCTGCAGCTTCTCTCTCTCTCTCCCTCTCCTTTTCCCTCTCCCGCTCCCTGTCCTTCTCCCTTTCTCTCTCTTTTCCTCGGCCTCCTCCTTCATAGCTGCCCACGGGGATGTTCGCCACCGTTGCCTTCACCTTCTGAGGCGTCCTGAGTGGAAGCTGGGTTAGTTTGGGTGTGCCACCTGTAAACAGAAAGAAAATATAAAAATCAATAAAATAATTCACTACAAATTAAAACCTTGTGAACAAAGTGTTGAATAAAAACAAGTACCAGGTGTTTGGATCTGAAGTGGAGGACTGCAGGGCCTTATGGACACAGCTGCGCCACTGGGAGGTGCCACTGAGCCACTACTGCTGGAGGTCTGCGTCTGCCTCTCCAGCTGCCTGTCCGAATGCGTCAGCAGCTCTGTCTGCCTCTCGGCCTGTCTGTCAGTTTGTCGATCGGCAGGTCTGTCAGGAGGCAGGTGCCTGTCTGCCTGTCTGTCCGGATGGAGCTGAGGATGTGGGTGCGTGATTGCAGTGGCGGTTGCTGTGTGTTTGGAGAGGATGTGGGGGGAGGCGCTGGAAGGGCTGGAGACAGAATAGACCAAGCTGGGGGGCACTGCCGTCATGGAGACCACCCCTGTTGCCATGGTGACGCTAGTTGAAGGAGGGTATATGGCGGTGACTATCTGTCCCCCAGACCCTGAGGCAGGGGCTGAGGGCGATGGAGACTGAGCAGTGGCTAAGATTGGTGGCTGACCTGGATGAAGGAAACACGAGACCCAACAGGCAAAATATTTTAACACTTTCACCTGAATGAATGTCCATATGGCTTCTTTATCTGCAATTTATATAACAAATTCAGTCTTTCTTGTCCTATGAATGTGCTTTTAACATGATGAGAGGTATTTAATTTGTCCTAATGTCAGACTGTTGGCATACTGAAATTGGTCGAAATACAAACTAGTAAGTCCTGACAACAAAAGATTTTGTCAGAACAGATTGGTTGGTATATTCATTCAATCAAGAGACAAGTGTGGATATTGTAGTTCAGGGGTCAGCAATTAAACAAACAAGGTAATACTACGGGCCAGCTGTTTTCTTTGTGTATAACATTTATTTAATGTAAGAATTAATTTAAGGTATAAAACTATTATTATATCTGAGGGCAGGTTTCGTGTTTTGAGGTAAAGCAGCTTATGTCAATACTCATTTGGCAAAAATCATATATGCTAATTTATGTTCTGTGTTGCACTATGAGACTAGAGATGTGATTGATAGGTTATCTACACATAAATGGTTGAATGGAAGTTGTTAACTCAAATCTGTTGGTAAACAGGCTTAAGTCATGGAAGGTAAACTGTTTGAACTCACAGAGTACCTGTTTCATTTACATGACGATTGTATTGATTAAAATATATGATTATGATATTATATTATTTCTCTGTGTCAAACCAGACTGTATGCATACTAAATATGGTCGATTTTTGAGTGTGCTGTTGATGGACATTATTCTCCTACAATGCAATGCACAAAGGAAATGGAGAAGCTGCTCAGAGATGGAAAAAAAATAAATCAATTGCAGATGGTGGTGAAAGATACTGGAAAACAAAAAGATCAGTATTAAATCTTAGGAAAGAATTTCACATTTATGAAGCTGGCAGTGGTATACCAAAACTTGCAGTTTGATTGGTGTCCCACATATTTTATAATTTCCTGTTAGTATACTGTGACAATTTAGTATGCAGTGTATAGTGTATGTTTTTTTCGTTATGTATTCTTTTTCAACATAGCTATAGTGTCTGTGGTTTGCATGCCTCTCTTCGTGTTGGCGCAGTATTAGATGTTCTGATGTCATATTTATTGGGGTTGGCCTTGTATTGTTATCTATAGTAAAAAAACATGTATAAGTATGAATTTGAGTTTTAATGTAGGTGTGTTTAATTCAAAGGTAGATTAAGTAAATATTTGTCAGGGGGCCAAATATTTGTGTCCTATGGGCTCATATAGCTCATTTCATACAGCACATGAATCCAGCTCTGCACAGCACTGACCTGCAATCAGAGGCTGAACCAGAGCCTGTGCAGGTGGTGCGATGGCTGTGAACCCGAGTGTTGCCAGGGGCGAGGGAACATATGCAGATCCAGCCACTGGCAGGCCTTGCTGGGTGGTGGAAGAGCCTGATGTCGTGGAGACCAGAGGCAGAGTGGATGGGACCCCTGGAGTGGACTGGACATAGGTGATCCTGGACGGGAGGTACAGAAAAGGTGATCAGATGAGAGAAATAAAAATAACAAAGAAGGCGGCACATGGAGAGCAAAGAAGGGAAGATTTTTGTAATGGAAAGGTATAGTAGCAGTGACAGAAGGTGTTATGGTATAATGAGCCTGAACAGGAATAAAGGGAACAGAGACATGATTAGGAAAAAAACAGTGCTGCAGTGAGGGTCAGTGGGTGAATGTACATCACAGCGAGCAGCACTGGATGACTAGTGCTGTGCTGTGCTGTGCGCTTGTGTGTGTGCGCATGTGTGTGTGTGTGTGTGTTAGGAGCTGAGAGGTAGTGTGGGGGTGGCAGGCAGAGGCAACTTGGGCCACCAGCAGCATGACTAACGCATCCAGAATAGAGCTGTGCTGTTACAGCTGCACCCCTGCTGGAGTTTTTTGTTTCTTGTATTGTCTGCTTGATATGCTTTAAGAAATCTGGACATCCCTGCTATCAGAAACAATACTTATGTATGGTATCATTTATCCCACCTTAAATATCAGCATGTAACTGGAGTTACTGCAATCCATAAACTGCATGCATTTATTTTTGATAACAGCACCTGTTAAACCCTTTCAGCAAAAGCTTCATGAGTCTGTGTTTTTCATGGAGCTTTTTATCCCACTAATAACTGGAATAAAAGTCCACTCAGAATAAAACTGCCTTATTTAAAATCTTTTTAGGCATAAACGGGCCCATTTGGAATGGTATTACATTCTGTCTGAAATGGTTGAATAAACCTTTTATTATCTGTCCAAAGGGGGGAAATTGTCATGTAAACAGTTAGTCTGATTACAATCTATTTTTGGAGGTAAGTTTCCAATTTATTTAAGTCCAAAACATTCGCAAGGGAATTATCTTTACACACACAGTTTTAGTGAGATTCAGAATCACTCCAAGTCCCATGAGTGGCTGCTGTCTCCCATTAATAACTGCAACTACTAGTGTATTCTAAAAAAAAAAAAAAAAACGTTGCTTCAATAGAAAGCACAACAGAAAAACAATAAAGTGCTGGTCTACCTTTTCAAATACCCCTTTTCTAAATATTTATTCTGGAGCATGTACACAGAACATGTAGGCAGATATCCATTTTTTTTCTGAAGCACTATGTGAATCATTTCATGGATGTCAGTCAGATTAATATCACACAGAAAAAAAATATTTTGCTCATGTAACTATGACGTATAGACAAACTGGCAATAATGAAACCACTACTGTGATCAACAGTAAGCCAGGGTAGGGTGTAATAGAGTGAGGCTGGCATATGTTCACAAATAAATGGGTGAGTCAAGCTTTACTGGCACATAATTTGTTTACAGCCCCTTTCAGACATCAGATCTGCAACATCGTTGGGCTCATCTATCGGTTAAAGAAATTGCTTTTGGGCTTTCAAACACAGATCTCCGATTATAGAACGTTCCAAGCTGGCTCAATCCCGGAGAGAACTGCAATGCCCAGCATTAAGGAAACCCTAAAATCCTTTTTTCCCCCTCCACGACACAGGACAGGACAACGAGTTTGAAAATAATGTCATCAAGGAATAAGGGCCTTCATACAGGCCCCGTGATGAAAACTAAAATATATTTTGCTAGCTCTGGAAGGAGGCTCGCTCCTGCTTTAGTAACCCCACTGGTCATAAATTTATCAAACTAGACAAACTTACACACATTTAACACAAGGTAACAGCACCCAAGCTCCTCCAGTTACGTTTGTAGTAAGAAAAAAAAGATATTTAAGTTACGTTTTGGCTCTCAACTAATTTCTCATTTTGCTCACACGGCGTTTAATTTGTAGGTAAAACATTTTGCTAGAGGTTCTATCCACAGCTCGACTGACAGAAGCTTAAAATTTAGTTCAAACTGGCTAGTAATCTGTTCAATGAGATCAACTGCTCCCTGCAATGCTACAGAAAAAAAAAAAATCCTCAATGAAAAAAACATAATTCTCACCTGAAATGAAAAGAGAACATCTCTTCCTACCTTAAAACTGGCTCATGTACAGTATTAGATTTGGAAAAGGCTACACTATAAAGACTTGTTGCGCATAAGAACTTATAATTGGGCGTCACTCAAAATGTAGCTATCTTAAGAAGGTGGCACAAGTCACGCATTTAGATCATGACAATTAGCATCCTGAATGCATTAATGTGAATGCACTGTATTTAGACATCCAGCCAGGTGGATGCCAGAATGACCTTTATGAAAAAAAAAAGAACACTTGCAAACGTGATAGCAACATGTTCAACTGAAAGTACGTTTTTTAAGCCTTCTTTCAACAGCAGGTGGGTTGGTTCAGTCTCACGAAAATAAAAAGAGTGGCAATTACTGAAACACATTTCACTGTCAATTTAGAATAACTGTTGTGACTGAAAACTAATCTGCACTCTTTGTTTCGTTTGTTATGGTGTACTAAAGTGGTGAGTTTACCACTTCAGTAAAATCAAAATTGAAATTGTTATTTGACATATTATCTATTGTCTGCGTATACATCATGCCAGATGGTGTTAAGTCAGCAGTAAATGTGTTGTTGGGGTGTTGGGGTGTTGTTGCAGGTTCAATACAGGATCCAATTCAATTGTTATTTCCTACCTGGTAGGTGCTGGTGGCAGTAGTACAGCCTGGGAGGGGACTGATCCTGGAGCCACCACTGCTGCTGTGCCCACTGTTACAGGGAAGGGGCTGGAAGGGTGGACTGCTCCACCCTGAGGCAGCTGGGACTGGACCACAGGCATGGGAGCAATCTGGATGATCTGGAGAGGAATGAAAAGAGGAGGCCATAAAAAAGGAATACAATAAAGTTGTAAGCTAATGATTTGTTTTTAAACTTAGTGTTACTAACAAAATGGGCACAATGTATAAAGTGTTCATGTCAGTGTCTCTCACTGACCTTGCTTCCGGTCTGAGCTCCGTTCTGGACAGGAAGAGGTGGAGCCACAATGGGAAACTGCTGGGTAGGGGCTGGCGCAGTCCGTACAGTTGCCATGGGAACAAGCATTTTACCCTGCAGCACTGGAGACTGTGTTTGCACTGAAGCAAAGACAGAAAAAGATGGAGAATAGGTATTTTATTTGGAGTCACCACAGAATAATAGCTGAATGTACCTAAAGCCTTGTCATGACTGCTGTTCTCACCTCTAGTTCCCGGGCTGACCACTCCCACCGCTGAGCTAGACGTATAGCCTGTCAGTGAACCTGTACCCTGCTGCTTTCCATTTGCCAGGGACACATGTGTGGGTGTAGCTGTAGGCAAGTTGAAGATACTGGTTGGCTGGCTGAGTTGCTGAGGTGGACTCTTGGGGTGGGTGTTGGCGGGTAGGGTGGGCAGGATGTACTGAACTTGTGTGATGGCCTTACCCCCGGGGGCTGCTAGGGAAGAGGCGGGAAGGAACTGGGGCTGAAGCAGGGGCAGAGGCAGGGGCCCATTGGTTTGGCTATGTGGTACTGAAACAGCGGCAGAGGGAAGCACCTGATGCTGGGAGGGCTGAGTCTGGTGGGAGGGAGTGATGAGCTGTACAGCAGGTTGAGCAGACAGAGCCCCTCCTAACACCAAATTAGTCACTACACCACCTGGGCCCACACCTACAGGATTAGGTGAAGATGAAGAGTAGTACCCACCCCCTGTGGCAGCAGCCCCACCTCCTGATCCTGAACCAATTAGAAGTTGTGGCTGCTGATGGGGAGTCAGGGACTTCCTTTCTGGTGGATGCGGGCTGGATGATGTGTCTCCCTCTCTGGGCTTGCTGGCGATGGGGAGCGGTGTGCTGATAACAGGACGCATTACATTGGTCACCACCGTAGAAGCCACCCTTACAGCGCCAATGCCCAGAAGTGGGTTCGCACCCAGTGAACCTACTGATGAGGACGGAGGCCCTCCTGCTGGAGAAGTAGAGATGACTGACTGGCCTAAAGAGAGAGAAAGAGACTGCTGCACTCCTCCTCCTCCTCCTCCCCCCTCCCCCCCAAATGTGTCCTTACCCTCTCCCTTTCCTCTTTCCTTTCTCTTGTGGTCTGAATACCCTCCCCCTCCTGATCTCCCCTCATCATAATGCTTGCTGGTGGGGTAAGAGGACAGTGAGACACTCCTGCCATGAGGGGTATGGTGTGAGGAAGATGATAATGCAGAGGAGCAAATGACTGGAGCAAAAACTCTCTGAAAAGACAGACAGACACAGAACATTATTTTAAGAAAACATGGAGGGTAAATACTTGACAACTCACTCTATATAAAGATACACTGAAAAGTCCAGGAAAAACATGATTGTTCAAGCCGGTTACCTTCTGATCAATTTCGTCTCCAGAACCGTTCTCACTATCGCTGTCAGTCACTCGCTCCTTACACTTGAGGTCTATGGAACTGTTAGGATAAGGGTCCTCTGTGGAGAAGAGAAATACACTACAGCTACATGTGACATTCCTTGCAATTTATAATTGAATCAAGTCAGGGTGTTCTCAGTGTCAAAACATGGTCATAAATTGGACACAATTTACCCACTTTATGATCTATATTAAGAAGTAGGGGCAAAGTAGTGCAGGGAATAAATAAAACCACATAAAAAAAAGACTATGACAGAGTAACACGAGGGCATTGCTGCAGACATTACTTCAGATTGAAAACCTTATTCTACCTACATGCAGCTGCTGGAAATTTACAAAGTGGGTCAGTGACATAGGAATGTGTCTACTAACACATTAATTAATTTCTTTGAATCTAACAAGGGATGCACTGATCCAATACCGATATCGGCCCAATACTGACTCAAATAGCTGGATCGGGTATTAGTGACAAGGGAGCTGATCTATAGTGCTGATCTATTCAATTTTAATTACACAATGTGTCAGGAGTGTACCGGTAGACCCGAACATTTTGCTAGGAGAGCTAACACAACATTTTGTTTCACAAAGTTAGGAAGAAATGCTTAAATCAAGCCTAATGTTGCCTTCCACATAAAAGAATGATTCCCAGTCTCCTCCTCACAGCGAGGGATATAGCTTATTAATTGTACAATGGTATCGGATCAGCGTTATGCATCAAGCCCAGGTGTTGGTATCAGTACTGAGACTGAAAAAGTTGGATTGGTGCATCCCTGAATCTAACATTTGTTTTCATGAGTAGAGCAGGTCTGATTTCTCACCGATGACATCATCATCTCCCTCCTCCTCACAAATGACCATGCGCTCCTCATCACTGGTCATGTCCTCGCTGACCCCCCGCTGGGACTGTGACAGGGGTGGTGCATGACTAGAAAACTGACTGCCACTATCCCCACACATCTGAAAAAATAAAGCAAGAGACCATGAATCAGAGATGCTTTTGAATCATGTCAGAATGGCTGTGATTTCTCATTAGTGTGTTTTTTGTCTTGTGTTTCAACTGTCTTTTGTGTATTTTAGTGTGCGAGATACCCTTATATCACAGAAAAATACTAGTATGGTCATAACTGTCACACGGTTAAAAGACATAGAAAACAATACTCATTTGGCACAGAAAACAATTTCTGTTGAAGTGAGTCCATTTGCAAACAAACTAGATTTGTTTTTCCAGCAATTTATGCTAACAATATCAACTCTCCGGGTCTATGAGCTGTGCTCCTCTCTTACCTGTGCCAGTTCTGCCAGGGCCTGTGTATTACCCCTGTCACTACGCTCCAGGGTGTGCATGGCACTTTGAGAAAAGGCTCGAGGACGGGTTAGCTGGCCAACAAGGCCTTCTCCTGTACCCCTTTCAGACACACCAACAAGACCTGGACCAGACACCTTCAACTCCACAGAATGGGGTTCTATCAAGGGGCAAAAAGAGGACTGTTAAAGACCTGCAGATCATAAGGATACTGTAAATGACAAATGTTACCAAAATACATGTTGTGAGAGCTAAGTGAAACCAACCTGTGGACTCAGACATGCTCCTTTCTCTGATGTCTTTGCCCCCGGGTACCCCACGGCCTTCAGAGCTGGACTTCTTCCTGTCTTTGTTGCACCACTTCCAGTCCGGGTGGGCCTTAAAGTGGGCCTCTTTTACCTGGGAACAGGAGAAGGGAAAATAAGGAGGGAGTAAGTGAAAAGGAAGACAAAAACATAGTATATGTACTATAGGTTAGCACAGAAGCATTTAGTTGTCACAGTTCTTGAATTTTATATGTTTGTTTTTTTGTCTGAAAATGCATTGTGTACCTGGAAGGCCAAATCATGGTACTTTTGTTTCTCCTTAGGTCCTAGAGCATACCACCATTCCCCAAGAATCTTGCTCACTGTCCTGTTGTCCTGGTTTGGGTGCCGCTGGTGCACCAATGCTCGATGGCGCTTACTGAAAATCATAAATGCATTCATTGGTCGCCGGATGTGGTCCTTCTCCCTCTGAAAGAGTGACCAAGAAAGACAGAGACATATTACATTACATATTTTAGTAAAAGTAACATTGACATTTTTGATGTTCTGGTGGGAGGAGTGAAAAGACTACCTTTCCAGGGCTGTTCTTATCTCCATCTTTGGGCAGCGCACTGAGGGACTGAGTGCGCCTCTTTACTGGGGATGTAGAGATGGGCTGCTCAGGTACAACTCCTGGGAGGAAGCTGCAATGAGACAACAAACAGGCCTCTGTTTTTAATCTTCACTAGATATTCTCACATGCTGGCTTACACCTAAGCACCACTTTCTTTTTACCTCTTTCAGAGGTATTGCACATGTAAATGTGTTCTTTAAGCCGTAAACCAAATTCTATGACTTTACTGTGATGAAACACTTCAACGCTGGTGTTAATATTGACATTTCTTATCAAAATGATAAAAATCTGCATTTCGAGGGTTGAAAATGGCACAACATCTGTTTAAAATCTGTTTAAAATCATCCTGAGCCTTGCACGACCAATGCTGACACAGAGTCAACCGTTTTATATCATGAAGTTTATATAAAAATAGAATGTAAACGCACTCTAATCAGAGGAGGTCAGCCTACCTCCTCCAGCCAACTGACACTCCCCCACAGACACGCACTCAGAGGACTTCCTGTGTTTCCAGCGCAGACACAGAGGCTGACAGCAGCTGCCGATGGTTGGTTAGCTCTCACTACCAGCTCGATATGGGTGTTCCTGCTACACTGAGCAGTGGTCAGTCTGTCACACTGTCGGTAAGTGACTCTGGTCGGTGTCTCCTTACCTCCCACGTCATATACTATGTAGCCAAGAGGCCACACCCCTACAGTGGTTGTCCTGTGCAGTGCTCTGCTGCATCCATAGACCGTATATAAGAAGCGGACATAGTCATCAGGACGTAACCCGTTGGTTTGTGGAGTGCCGTTTTGAAACCTCAAGTTTGGCTGATAAGGCGCCGTCATGTTGAGTTTTTGCAACCAGCAGCACCGGACGTAACCATATTTGTAAAAGAAGGTGGAGTATTAGGAACGTGTTTACTGAGGTAAAAAAATTCAGGTGAGAAGTAGGGTCATTTTACCATTATTTCTAATGGAACCGGACTTCTTTTTGCAACCAGAAGTGTCATCCTGACCATTCAATAGAATGCAGGTTTAAGGGACTTTTGCGTCAGCTTCGCGTCTCAGACCGGAAGCTTCCCACTTGGCTGCATCTTTAAAATGTGTTGGGATGGGAGGAGCTAGCAAAATTTGGGTGTGTAGATTAATATTTTATCTTTAATATTTAAAATAAAGAAGATATGTTATACTTTGTAACTGGTTTTATTTATCTTACAGCTACAAGTCTATGTCGATGTAGACACAGCACAAGTAGTTCATCTCCTATGAGATACACCAGTAGATTCAGCAGATAGCTCATCCATTTCAATTGCTGACAGCCTGGCCACTGCCTTTCATATAGTGATAGAGCCCAGAGATGGAATGCTTTTGTTCCCATCTGCTTTGTTCTGGCATTGAGCTCTTCTGCCCAAATTAGTGCGAGGATACAGAAAATATCACACTCCCTTACGGTATGTGTGGGTACACTGTACCACACACAATATTACCGTGAAGGCTGACTTGGCCCAACACATAACCACTGTTATATTCGGACACTGATAATGGTATATGTGCAGTGTGCATCTTGATGTGTTCGTGTAACCTAAAAGCTTTACGCATAAAATCACTATAAAACAAACAAACTGCACTTACGGGTCATCCACGTCACTCTCTGTCTCACTGTCAGGCCTCTCCCTCTCTGCTTCTCCCTTCTCCTTCTCTGGATGCGGCTCATCAGAAGAGGGGGGAGGCCGGGACAGGGGACCTCTCTCTACAGTGGGAGGTGCCTCTGCAGGCTCCTGTGACAGCGATGCCACCCCATGACACTCTGAGGAAGAACAATAAAGAGATGCATCCTTGTTTGGGACAAAGTCAAAAATATATAAATGGTATTCAAAATAGTATTAAAATCCAAGAAAATGACATGACACTGCTGATTTTCTACAGCCCTTAGGTCAGGCATAAATGTTTTCAGTACCTGTCTTCATACTGGCTGCTTGAGGGTGGTTGACTGGGTGCTGGCCCTCTCCTGGCTGAGAAGAAGCATCTGATTGGGTGGGTGCCAGGAAAGGGACCAAAGAATGCCAGGGGAAGACTGGAACTGACCGGGGTTCTACATTGGTCCACACTGCAGAGGAAAACAGCATTGTTTATTACTACCAGCCAACGCAGTCATCCACAACTTCATAATTTGTCTGTGAGGATTCTCAGCCATCGAGGTCATAGTTATCCAAGAAAGGTTAAATCAAGGGCAGTGGGACTTGGTTGAAGATACTGGAAGACGTTTCCAGTATCTTCAACCAAGTCCAGTTGCCCTTGATCATTTCAGAACTGAAGAAGCCTCTTGGATTGCCCTTGAATTAACCTTCCTTGGAGAACTTTATTATAAGCTTTCCTGCTCCGATATCACATTCAGAAGAACGAGGCGTTGTTACATTCAGATTACCAAGATGCTATTTCCTTATTTGGGGAACCAGGGCCCTCAGTGTAATACTCCCACCAGAAATGCATTCCTACTCCAATCACCAACACTAATCATGTCTTAAAAATTGTTTGCAATGTTACCACACATCTTTTGTATTAGTCTGGAGTGATATAACCACAAATAAATAGACTAAAATCAGTGATAGACTAGAGCCCACAGCTTTGAGACTAGTCCCTTTGGATGCACAGCACTAGTGGCTTTCATTTTAGCCATCTAATAAGGGCTTGGTTAACATCTGGGACACTAGGGGAATGCAATTAACTACTTCATATCAGTATATCAGAACTACAGAGAATATCAGTACTGCCACAGTAGCACACCCCCTGCCACTTAACTGGTTAAATCACTCCAACAACAGCAGATGTACAAAAGGACTCTCTGTTCTCAATAACAGGCTGGATGGAGAACAGAAGCTGGTACACTCTGAACCATCTTAAAGGAATAAGGGCCTGTACAAGTCATATGATCTTCATGTCCATTATTGAAAATAATCTCTTAAGAAGGATGCTTCCCCAAAAAACTTTCAAGTAACAAAATCTGTCCCCTATAAACCTTAAAAATAGATTATTAATTCAACAATTAGGGATTGCATCATGCTAAAACTAAACAATAATGACATACTGCTGTATGTATAAAGATAGTAGACAGTAAGGTAAGTGACATGGACTAACCAAACATGCTTAGTCCTTGGCGGAGATACTGAGGATTCTCTGATGAGAACATGGTTGGATGAAATCCTTGATGTTTCTCCAAAAAAGAATAATGATTTGTCCTTTAAAAATCGCTCTTCTACAGCGCACAGAGATCCAGGTACGGAAACATCTCTAATCCAAAATCTCTAGCTGATGTTGCCGGGAAGCTCACAGATGAGGGCAAGTGCTCAATGGTATCTGTATCCGTTTCATCCCTACAGGTTGCAGTCATCATTCACAATAACTGCTGCATCGTCAACCTGCATCATGAGGATTTTAAGATTTAGCATAGAGAGGTATACTTCTTGCGAGTAAAGATGAAATATGTCTATCAAATAGAGTCCATCTCTCGTTATCGCAGAATGCCGCAATCTCGCACACGTAACAATCAAACATCAGTGGACAAAATGGACGATAAACGATGACAATAAAACACAAAACTTAAGTTAAATATGTAAGGATGCAACAGTGTATAGACCACCCACTGAAACGATGATTATGATCGAAGGCAAGGTTCCTCCTCCCTTTGGTCTAATTACCCCCGATGCCCTCTCTCTCTGTTTGTTTACATTACTAAAGCAGCTTGGCCATGAAGGGGTTAACAAGGCCTCGGGTCCATCCACGGCCTGGATTAAGACATCTGCCCGGACAGTGCGCAGTCTTTCTGGGCCATGACAAACCTTGCTCTGTGCTACAATACAGCTGCAGACAGGTGAAATCGGTTGGTATTAAGAAGCACATAAAGCTCCAGAGTAAATCGCCTAAAGGGCTGATGGAAGAAGGCGCAGTATCGATCTGGCGAAGCAACGCTGCAACAAGCAACTTGGGGCGATACAAGCTGAGGGGATTCGTGTACTTTTAACTTGAGAGAAAGGCTTCGCGTCCAAGCGTGCGCCGTTTACTTAAATACTGACTTTAATACTTGCCGATTCATTTAATAAAGCACAGAGACGCTAATTTAGCTGTCTCTTGCAACAACCGGAGCCTCAAGTGCACCACTCCAAACTGGACCAACCTCTCGGGAACGCCCCTGGTCGTGCACCCGCCGCACAGACAGAGGCAAAAGAAACGCGCTTGTTCTCATGTCTCAACTACAAATGCGTATTCATACGTATTGGATCCAAAAATAATCCAGCGAGGACTGTTTGACAAGTGCATTACACCAAATACCAAGTTGTTTTTCCGTTACCTGCCCCCAGAATTGTAACTATGCACCTGTCTTAACTTGACAATTTAGTTAACGCCACCAAAAATCACATAAAATAGGACAGCGACCAACTTGGGTTTATCCGTATTTACTACGCACAAGCAGATGTCATTGACTCTAAATCTGGTGCATTCATCCATCACCCAGTTCTTAAAAGCCCGCTATCCATCAGCTTGATTATCATGAAAGCTACCACACACTATCCTCTCTAGAACCCAAGTAGTTCAGCTGGTCCCTGTACAGTCTCTAATTTACCAGCTCCTATCCTACCTGGCCAATCTGGCCACAGACCTGACGTTAGCTAGCAGCTGATGAGTCTACAACACAGCGACAAAAAGCGACCACGGTGAGGACTCCTGGCTCTAGGCAGCGAGGAGAAAACTGAGATGAATCGCAGTTTATGTTGTATTTTTCTATCTCCTCCTCAAGGCAGCGAGGAGCGAGTAGCTGGTTGTAGATGCCCCAACGCTGGACCCGGACCCGGACCCGGACCCGACGAGGGGGGGGGGGTAGCTTTACAAGAAGCGATACAGTGCGTTAGGTTAAAGCCATCGGTGAGGTCCGTCCGTCTGCAGCAGGTTAGCTAGCCACTTCGTGCGGACGACATCGGGGCGCACACCGTCCACTTCGTTTAATACTTGGTGTTACGAGTGTTGTTTTGGTCCAGAAAAGTCCTCGTATCGTATCTCCACATCACCCAGCCCGAGTTTACTGCCTTATTTTTGTCTCGTCGTCTCTCACGCTAGCCTTGGCCCTTTCTTTCTCTTTCCCTCCCTCTTCCTCTTGTTGTAAACTAGGCTGCTTACCCCCCCTGTATTCGCCCCCCCCTCCCCTACTCGTCCTGTCAACCTCGCCCAGCCTTGTCCCGCCTCCATCGGCGAATTCCTCTCGGCTATTGGCCAAGGCAGCCAACTGTCATCTGCCCGCCGCGAACCCTGATTGGTCAGAGTGTGCGCTGGAATGCCAGTCATATGCAAATTTTATCCCGGCTTTACGACCATTGGCTCTTGTTACCACAGAAACTTAACTTATCTTGACTATACAACACCAATACTTAAAAAAAGTAATGAAGTTCTCTTATATTTATATAGGACCAGTATCGTGCTTTAAAACATTCATCAAAAATGTGTATTTTTCTGTTTTTCAGTAAGCCCACCCCCAGGCTCGTGTCATTGGTGCAGGTTTCGTAGTAAACCATGACTGATGCGTGAAACTAGGAATCAAAAGCAGACACTCAGATGTAGGCCAACCAATGGCTTAACAGAAGTTAGACAAGATCCCTCCTTCCTACAAATACTCTGCTAGCACCGTTTTACTACCCATGAAGACCATCCGATGCAGGAAGGCGCCAGTGAGCTCTTTAGTGTTTACTTTCCACATTGATTTTGGTCTTTCTATGCATTCTGCACAGGTCATGGATGTTGATGAGGGCTCTGAGCAGGGTCAAGATGACAATGCACAGTCACTGAACCTATATGAGCATGCAGTGTAATTCAGTGTGCTATTTGAATGTTTTTTGTCCAAAGGTGTTACATGCAAACACAATTGCTGACTGTATTATAAATCAGCAATATTCACTTGTGAGAGGGATTGTAAGCCCTTTCTCTGGTAATGCTACACCTTCGCTTTTAGGAATGCAGCGAACAGTGGAGAGGCAAGTGATGCAATTTTCCACCATGAAAAAGCCCTTTTAAATCCCCAAACATTTTTCCATCTCTCCATAATGCAAATAAATATGCCTCCTCCAGACAGAATTTGAAATGTTCTGATGCAACACTCACAGGGAGAGAGAGAGAAAATGAGAGAGAAGGAGAGAATTGAAAACAGGAGAGTAGGGGTGGTTAGAAAGAGAGGGAAAATGGGTGGAACGGGCTAAGAGTGGAGAGGACCAGAGGGTAAAAATAGACTAAGAGTCATTTTCAGCAGGAGAGGCAGGGAGGGATGGAGGAGGAGGGTGGGTGGGTGGAGAAAAAACAACTTGTGAAAACAGAACTTCTCTAAAGGGAGGAAGGGCATAGGGGGCTGATATGGGGGAGACAAAAGGAAAGCATTTAAAGATACCTAAAGTATATTATTTAGGTATAACTCAGCAAACAGACAAACAGGAAGAGGATTTGTGCGCATGATGTGGTTTCCCGTCATACTGTATGAGTCAAGAAGTCATGCTCAGCTTAGCCCCTCTATCCATAAGACAAATACAATACTGGGAGGGACTTAATTACCACTACCAGCCAGTCATCTCATCAGGAGCTTGGAAAGTGACCAATAAGGTTCTGAGAGCCACTGGCAGCCACTGTCCTCAGTAGTAAAAATAGTTAACCCTCTCAGTCCTGGGTTACACTTTTCTAATAATAAAACGCTGAATAATCTAAAGTTTGATCTATACAACTATACACGACTGGAAAAAAGAGAAATAATAGTCTAACATCTCAAACAAAAACAAGCCTTTTTTGCAATATGCCTAAACTCCACCTTAATTTAACTCTCAAGTGTCTTTATATTCTCAGTCCATTGGCTTCAGTACAGCATCTTGAGTCATGTAAAAATACGGGGTGTCTGTACTTCTATTAAGCCTGGGCGTTTCCAGAACTTCAACTAATAGGCATAAGGAGACAGAGAGAGTAAGAGATTAAGGCTTATCATCTGCACTGAGCTCTCAACAAGTTGATCCAGTGAACACAGTGTGTTAAGTGAAGGGAGTTGGACAGTTTGGCTGTGTGAGTGAAAGGAAAAGAGGGTGAAAG